TTGTATTGTAGAGCAGAAGAGTAATTGGGAGGATATGCTTCCTTTGGTAGAATTCACTTATAATAATAGCTACCATTCGAGTATAGATATGGCACCATTTGAAGCTCTGTATGGCAGAAGGTGTAGAACCCCTATCTGTTGGTTCCAAGATGGTATACATTTGATGGTTGGACCTGAAATGCTGCAAGAAACTAAGGAGAAAGTTGAACTTATTAGAGAAAAGCTGAGAGCTACCCAGAGTCGACAGAAATCTTATGCTGACCGACGCAGAAGACCTCTAGAATTTGAGGTTGGTGATAACGTATTCTTGAGAGTATCACGCACTACAGGTGTGGGGCGAGCCTTAAGAGCCAAGAAGTTAACACCTAAGTTCATAGGACCGTATCAGATATTACATCGTAGAGGACCAGTAGCCTATGAATTAGCACTACCACCTCAGTTGTCAGGACTACATAATGTTTTCCATGTGTCGCAGCTAAGAAAGTATGTTCCGGATTCATATCATGTAATCGAGCCTGATGTTGTGGAGTTACGAGATGATTTGTCTGTCGAGGTCCCAGCTGCTCGTATCGAGGAAACTAGAGTTAAGGAACTTAGAGGCAAATCTATTCGGTTAGTAAAAGTTGTTTGGGACCCAATAACTGGTGATGCCACATGGGAGTTAGAGGAAAGAATGAGAAAGTTGTACCCTCATCTTTTCTCTGAGTGATAAAATTTTTGAGGACGAAAATTTATTTTCGGGGGGAGAATTGTCAGGTTAGAGATTTATTATTGAGTAATCTATAATATTTTATACTTGTTCAATGTTAATTGAAGGATTATTTGGTATTGGAATAGATTTAGATGGAGTTTGAAATTATTTATAAAAAAAAAGGTGAACAGTACCGTATGAACAATGTCGGATGAACAGTAAAACCGCCTATGAACAGTGCAAACCGCGTACAAACCGTGTATGAACAGTGCAAACCGCGTATGTACAGTGACTGCTGACGTCATCAGTGACATCATCATGACGTCATGGCTGACGTCACATACGCGTACAGTGCGTGTACAGTATTTTCCGGCATGAATAGTGCTCTGAACAGTGTTTCCGGCGTGAACAGTAAATTCCGGCGGTGAACAGTAAATTTCAAAAAATTTCTATAAAAAGGGGGCTTCACACGAAATTTTCATTTCTTCACCCCTATCCAAGGTTCTCAAAGGTTCTAAGGCCAAAAACCACCATTTCTCTCACACTAAACCTTCATAAACTTAGATTTCTCGCCAGATCTGACTACGTCTATTCTGAAGGATTTGAAGTAAGTTTCTTTAAGTTTGAAGCTAGATTTACCGTTCGTTTCTCTTCTTCTTCTCTTTCTCATAGAAGTTCATGGTATTCTTAGGAGAAACTCCGTTCTAAAGCCAAATCTTCGGTGAATCTTGCTATAAAACAAGTAATATTCAGTAGATCTAGTGTGAATCGTCGTTCTGAGGTAAGGGGAGTTTACTTTAGCCTATGAACTACGTTTTGAACTGTTTAATATGCTATTTTAAGATGTTTTGATATGATTTTGTTAGATCTATTGAATAAAAGCTATTTTCTAAGCTGTAACTGCTGTTAATTGATTTAAAATGCTGAGATTTTGGCTGATCTATCTTAAACTTGCCTTAGCTGAGCTGTTAAAATAATTTTAGCGGTGTGCATCATGCTGAGATATATGTTTTGCATCATTATAGAGCCGAGTTACATGTTTAGGTGGGTAGACGTGTAACGGTAAGTTCATGCTGAGCTGCTGTGCTGTGCTGTCTGGATCCAGATACCGGAATGGGTCGCTCCCGGACATGGTATGCATTAGGAGGTTGCCATCCAATATGTGGGTTTGAAACAGCACTTTTGATACTTTGATGTCTATTAGATATTAAACATATTCCTGTCTTGTTTGTTACGTGGACACGAATCATTGCCAAAAACCATTCCCATGCTGGCAGAGTCTCCCCTTCAACAATAGCAAATGCTAGTGGTAGGACACAATTATTCCCATCTTGTGTTGTTGCAATCAACAATGTATGACGATACTTAGCATACAAAAATGTTCCATCTATTTGAATAATAGGTTTGCAAAAGTTGAATGCTTCCTTGCATTGATGAAAACACCAAAACAATCGCTCAAATACTCTAAATCTGTTGTCCTCCTGATGTCCAACAACAAATGGCTTCGTTTCAATCTTATAAATAGAACCTGGAGCATGAAATTGCATATACTCTAACCATCTTGGTAATGTCGCATATGATTCATCCCAATCACCAAATATTCTTACAATTGCCTTTTGTTTTGCCTTCCAAGCTTTTTTGTATGAAATTTTATATCCAAATTGAGTTGTCATCCTTTCTTGAATTAGACTTATAGGCAATGATGGTTCAAGATTAACCATACCTGCACAAAACAACAATAAAAATTGAACTAAGTATCTTTATAGAAAAAAGATGTGACAAAATAAGATATTATTCAAAACTTACCAATTATGCATGACGAAATCAAATCTGAATCTAGTTTGGTATGATCTTGAGAGATTGTAGGGTTGAGACATGTATGCTTACTGCCACACCTTGTTATTTTCCACTTGATTGAATTTTTAAGCAATGATGCTCTTATTCTCCATGGGCAGTCGTTGTTATGGTTTAAACACCTCACATGCAACTTTGTTGGTTTTGACTCAACAACAAAATAATTCTGATGTATTCTCATTGCATGTTGTTTTAAGGCATTTTTAACTTCATCTTTTGAGTCAAATAACAAACCCACATGTAACGCATCTCCAATAACCCATGAATTATCTTCACTAATTTCTTCAGCTTCAATTTCTTCGTCTGGGTGGTCCCAATTAATAGATTTGTAATGTGGACTTACATTCCAAAAAGGTATTTCACCTACAACTACATTTAAACATACAATATTCATCATTTATAACAAATAAACAATTTAATCAATATATTTTTTAAATGTTACCTCCAACATTTTCTTGTTGTAAATTTAAGTTTGAATCAAAATCACCATCAATGTCTGTATCTGATGAGCTATCTAATGGAATATGTCCTTCATCAATATCATCTGTCTCATCATCACTATGGACTTCATCATCACTATTGACTTCATCATCTTCATCTTCATAACTGCATAAATCTCTATATCCTTCAAAATACAAACACTTTTTCAATATGTATTGTAACTAAAAAAAATTAAAAATAAATTACAACAATATAATTTATACCTTCTGTAACATTTATATTGAGAATTTCCATAGAGTTAGGCGGTGACATTGATAAGCTTAAGTCCAACATATTCGACCCACCTCTTGAACTCTCACCAAATGCAATATCCACGTATAATTCAATAAAAGTTGTAATATTTTGTTGTTGATACGCACTAATCATACAATCAATGTTTTCATCATCACATATATCCAATGCATTGTATTGTTTAGCGCTTGAATCAACCATAAAACGAGAAATTATTCTAGATATGACATGATCATTACTAAGATTCAACTTGTCATGAATCTTTTTCTTTAAATTCATATAACTTATCCCTCTTCTTATCTTTATCATTTTTTTGTTACCTTCAAATGTCACACCTTCGTTTCCAACAACAATTTTTCCATTCCAATACACAATAATAATAATATCATTCATCCTGCATTTATAAAAAAAACATATCAATAATTATTTACAATTATACTTATTTATAAAAAAAACATATCAATATTTATTTACAATTATACTTATTTATATAAATAATATAAATAAATTATTTGTAACACACAAACATATTTTTATTTTCACATTATTTTATATTATATAAAATGTAATATTTTTAATATATATTTCACATATATAAAATAAAATATTCACAACAACTCTAACATTATTTTTTTAATTAAACAAAATTATATTAAATATCTATAAACTTTTAAATTTTTTATTAATTATCTAAAATGTTATTTTTTAATTTCAATCTACATAAAAATATATTTATTAAATATTCATAAATTTTAACTATTTCTAATTAAATAATTAAAACTTTTTAATTACAAAAATATTACAAAAAATTGTAAATATTACTAACCTCAAAACTTTTCCAATCTTCAAACGTATAACCTTGCCCTTTCAATGTGGTTTTCAAACACCTTCACCGTGATTTCAATTTTCAATGTCCCCCATTTCACACTTTATATAGTAACATTTGGTTGGACAAAAGGGTGCAGCCACAAGGGACGGACCAGCGGACAAAAAAAAGTGAAATGCTTTTCGTCTAAATTGGAGACGAATTACGGACCCTTTTCGTCTCTTTTACGGATGAAATAATAAGATTTAACCACGTGTCCAGATCCTATGATTTCGTCCTAAATTGAGACGAATTAATAGTAACTTGACACATGTCCATCGTTTCGCCTCTCACATATACAAAATGCATGACAGATGTCAATATTTAACTTATTTCGTCCCTCTTTTAGATGAAATGAATAAATTTAAAATAAAAAAAATAATTTCGTCTGATTAATATACGAAATCAGAGCTGACGTGGCTAAAAAATACCCCAGACAGGAAATATGTTTTAATTTTGTTTTAATTTGATAATTTTTTTTTAAAAATGTATTATTTTAATCTTTAAGCCCATACGCGGTGTTGGCAAAAATGTTAGTTTGATTGTAAAATAGTTTATTCATTTTCGTTCGTGAATAAAAGGGGCCGCAAACTCTGATAAATAAAAATATAATTCATAAAGGCGAAGAAATTCTTTGTAAATTTTAGAAGAATCTGAAAAATAATTTATTTTTCTAAATCATTTTAGCATTCTTACACGATGCCTTGAACAGTTGTTCATCAATCACAAGTATGTAAATATATTATAGATTTTTACGTCTTTTTAACACGTTATAAACATAAAAATACTAAAAATTCCAAATTTGCTGTAGTATAAGTGAATGCAAGAGATTTATCTCACACCAAAATATCCATACAGATATAGTGCATTGAATGAATGGCTTTCTAGCGGGGATATTGAAAGTGGTGCAGAAAAGGGATAATATCTTCATCTTCTTTCCAGCGTTGCCACGTATTTCAGTTTCATCTTGGCGCCAACAATTATTCTTCGCCCCACATAACTGAAAAAAAAGAATGGCTCTGAAAGTTGCAAATCTAGGGTTTCACTCATTCACTCCATGTTCTCGTTCAACTTTTGTTTCTCCCAAGCCCTCAAAAGTTCGTTTCGTGTTTCGGTCTTCACAAGTTGAACAGATATCTTTTACAGAATCTGAGAACTCACTCATCGAAGCTCTTCTTGGCATTCAAGGACGCGGACGTTCTTCTTCTCCTCAGCAGCTCAATGTCTCTCTCTCTCTCTCTCTTTCTCTCTCTCTCTATCCCACGTTTCTCTAATAACTTTGTTTCTGAATTAATCGTTCATTTTTCTTCCTTTAATGTGTCCTTCAGGCAGTTGAGCGTGCCGTTCAAGTCCTGGAACGTTTAGGCGGTGTTCCTGATCCGGTTCGTCTTCAATTTCATTGCATTCGCCTTCTTTTCCAATATGTTTTCACGTTAGCTTTTTTCTTTATATTTTAAATTAGATTCGGGTTATTGCTCTTACCAATTGTTTTAATGAATATCATGTGCTCGAGAATCAGGATTTGCTTCAATGATTCCACAATATTTACCAGTATTAGGATCCGAGCATACTATTACTCCTTGTTATAAATTATATATGTTTTAAATTCATGAAATTAAAATTTTCAGACGAACTCAAATTTGATCGAGGGTCGCTGGCAGCTAATTTTCACCACAAGACCCGGAACGGCATCCCCGATTCAGGTTGTTTTTTGGATGCATCAGTGAACATATTTTCCAATGGTTTATTGACGTTCTTATATTTTAAACTTTTAATTATTGCCCAATGCCTAAATTTATACATTGGGTCGATATTTGATTTTAAAAAATATTAAATTACGTGCAAATTATCGTTGAATCACCGACTCGCTAAAGTTGACCGCCATGTCAGCAATTTGGTGCCCACTCAGCCTTTTTCCAAAATTCACAACAGACGGTTGATTGTGATTTGAACCACTCAGTTTTTGAATGACTCATTTGAAACTATTATTATTATTTTATTGAGAATTAGCGTATTATTCATTTTCAGCGGTTTAAAATTAAAAGGTTTTCTAGATAACTTTTGAAAAGCTGCTTCATCTTTAATTCTTGGATTGGAATGACTGTTTCATTCAGTAAATATGAAAATAAGGTCATCTCTTGAGTAACACTGGAGGAAGGAGCAGTGTTCATGGATACTGATACAGGCATTTTGTTAAATCCCTAATGGAAATCAGCATATATTATCCTTTTCTAGATGGAATCCAGTCTTTATGTTTAAGCATATTGAGCTTAAACTCTTTCAACACTATAGCAGCTTCCGGAACTAGTGTCATGACCTGTTCAAGACTTACTCCATAAATTGATAATTGATGTCTCAATGTGGTATTCTATATTGCTCTTTCAGAGAACATTTGTTGGGGTTGACTTTTTTAGTGTATTTCAAGAGGTTTATCTACGAACAAATGATCCACGCGTATGCAATATTGTGTCATTTTCTGATGCTATCGGTGAGCTCAAAGTGGAGGTAATACTAAATAACTTCAATTGAAGTTATGATAAATTTAATATACATATCTGTGTTTAAATTCAACATTTCCTTTTTTAACACTTGGTAACACTAAGACATGAACCTGCAAATCCTTTAAGAGGCTTTGCCAATAGTCCATATTGTTTAATGAACTCTACCACATAAAGTCTAAGCTTGGCTCTCTCTTCTCAATGTTGTTATAAGCTTTGTTCGCGGCTGATTCACTTACCTTGTAAAAAATTGAGCTTTAATATGAATTTTCAGGGTTTTCTTTTGTTTCTTTGCATCTAACATAGTTGCTGAATTCCCATTTGTGTTTGTGCTTATTCATATTTTGTTATTCTGTTCTTGCATCTATTGAAATTGAAAATTATGTTTTTGAGAGAGCCAGTGACATTGATATGTGTCCAATCCCATATAGTGCTTTGGGGTTAGTATTAGTAGTTGTGTTGTATTTATGTCTCTCAATTTACACAGGCAGCAGCATCAATTGAAGATGGAAAAAGAATCCTTTTTAGGTTTGACAGAGCTGCTTTTTCTTTTAAATTTCTTCCATTTAAAATTCCGTATCCAGTTCCATTTAAGCTACTTGGAGATGAAGCAAAGGGTTGGTTAGACACCACATATTTGTCGCATTCGGGACACCTTCGTATTTCAAGAGGAAATAAGGTGATTAGGCATTTTCAGCAGAGACGTCATTTTATTAGTCTTTTGTTCGCGTCCTTGAGTAAAATGCTTAATTGTCCGTCGCATGAAATTCCTATATTTGCTTTATATTTCTAAATGTTTATAGCAACATATCTATAGTGCAGGGAACCACATTTGTGTTACAGAAGCAAACTGAACCTAGGCAGAGGGTATTGACAGCAATTTCCTCAGGTATGGGTGTTAAAGAGGTAAGAGCACCGATTTATTTATTTAAATGTTTTTATCAACATAACGGGAATATTTCAATTGTCACTGTTTTTCACATTCTTAATTCCAACAGGCAATCGATGAACTCATTTCCTTAAAGCAAAATACTGGTGAAGAAGAACCAGAACTAGAAGAGGGGGAGTGGCAGATGATATGGAATTCACAGGTAGATTTCGGAAATCCAAACAAGGAGTACCAACTGTTAGTTATTTGATTCATTTGAAGTTCATTTATTTTTGCAGTAGCGTTTGAAACTAATTTTAATGTAGATTTTTGTCTTGAAGTTTTCTTTACTTATTTTAACAACTTATTCTCTAGACTGTGACGGATAGTTGGTTAGAGAATGCAGCCAATGGTCTTATGGGCAAACAGGTAGCAGGCTCATCCTGAACATTTATATTAATATGCACATAAGCTGCTTTATATCTTCAGTTTGGATGTTACGATGAACATTGCAGATTATCGGGAAAAATGGAAGAATAAAGTTGCTGGTTGATATCTTGCTTGGGCTTAAGTTCTCCATGAATGGAAATTTTGTGTAAGTGTCCATTGTTTAAGGTTTACGACTCTGAGTAGTTGACCAAAAAAAAGAAAGAAAACTACTGAGTAAGGAATCCCAACTTAAAAGAAAGGCTGTTTTATATCCGAACAGCATTGTCAAAAATATCATATATGGTATGAGACTATGGAGTTAGCTAGGTATGCCATGATATATGATGATGTAATGAGCAAACCATAGCTGACTTTGTATGCTAGTTTAGAAAGGATAGGAGTGGGTCAATAATAGAGATACCGAAGAGCTTGACAAGCACAAATTTTTAAAAAATAAATAAGAGTTTTGTTCATTCATTTATCTATCTATCTATCTATACGTATTCCTGGAATTGTGTGTCTGAAATGTATCAGTTGGATTGAATGTTTGTGATCGATATTTTCCCCAAAAATTGACAGGAAAACTGGCACCAAACTGTATGACGTTACAATGGATGATGCAGCCATAATTGGTGGCCCATTTGGATATCCCCTAAATCTGAAAAACAAGTTCACATTGGAGCTTCTGTAAGATGACATAAACCAAGATATTATGTTGTCTTTTAATCCATCCAGTATCCGTATTGAATTTGCGGCTCACTGTAGAATTTTATGCTTTTGACTTTTCTCTTCTATACTTCATTAGTTAAATTTTCCTTCGCAGATACAGTGACGAGAAGCTTCGAGTTAGCCGTGGATACAATGATATTCTTTTCGTACATATTCTCACGGGTGCATTGAGGTGAACTAATTTATACAATAAATTTAGAAGATGAGTAGAAATCGTTTTGTCTGTGAAGATTTAAAATCAATAATTATGTATCTACCTGTCAACAACTCATCATTGTAAACTAAGGGTTCAGTAAAATAATCGTTTAATTGAGTGTTTATTCAATACTCTTATTATTGCATAAGTTTATGCTATAAAATTGAAAATAAGATTTATTAGCATAAGTAAAAAATAACATTTTTAATAAACAATTATAAGAAACATATTAAAATAAGTTGAATAGAGCTTATGAAATTCATATTTTTATAAACATAAATAACATTGAAGGACTACTTTTGTGACTTCCAATTAGTATTATTAAATGGTTAATTTCTTTCTCCCTTGAAACCTTTTCATCTTTGAAAAGTTTCTACCATTGAAAAAACGATAATGATTACAAGTTACAAGGAAAAATCATTAGCCTTTTGATTTTCACCAAAAATAACCAAACAACATAGTGCATGTTTGGTTTTTCGCTTATTGGTATAGAGAACACCAGCAATGCAAACCCAAAGCCACAAGCAGACGACTCCAACCTCCATCACGAGCTCCAAAGAAAGGGAAAGGATGGTAAAGGAATCACACTTCACGCAAGAGTTCAAGCAACAAGTCTTACAAGAGAGCGGGTGAGAATTAGTGACACAGACGATGAGAGACAAACTCAAATGTTTTGAGGGTAAGGGAAACACGAAACCATGTTGGGTTTTGATCACCCAACCCGCCTGTTTCACACTTCATGGATTAGTGCAGTTTTGGTCGGGCCCTGTAAACATTGCCCACCTCTATACGCAACATGGAAAACCAATAACCAGTTTATAAACAATAACCATCGAGGCTAAACAAACGTTTATATAGCGATCAACATGTAAATACGAAAAGACAAACGAGCGGAACATAACATACAAAAACACAAAATCAAACAGGCTAAATAGTAATGTATTGAAGTGAATAGTTAAAAAAATACTAAAGAGAACGGTGTTGATAAAATGTCTAGAAAGGAAGCTATGAAGAAAGCGAAAGAATGAGGCACTGTATACCGCACTAATAAAAATGAAAAGTTGAGAAAGCAAATTAAGCAGAGGGCTTTTGGTAAACATAGGTCAAGCCGCACTTGCCGCAGTAGTGGCGGTCGAAGTGGTTGGCCATGAAGGTTCCGGCGCCGCATTCGGCATTGGGGCACTCCTTCCTGAGCCTCTGAACCTTGCCGGAGTCGTCGACCTTGTAGAACTGGAGGACGGCGAGCTTCACCTTCCTGTGCTTGTGCTTGATCTTCTTGGGTTTGGTGTACGTCTTCTTCTTGCGCTTCTTGGCGCCGCCTCGGAGGCGCAGGACGAGGTGGAGGGTGGACTCCTTCTGGATGTTGTAGTCGGCGAGGGTGCGACCATCCTCCAACTGTTTTCCGGCGAAGATGAGGCGCTGCTGATCGGGAGGAATACCCTCTTTGTCCTGGATCTTTGCCTTGACGTTGTCGATTGTGTCGGAAGACTCCACCTCAAGGGTTATCGTCTTCCCCGTCAGGGTTTTCACGAATATCTGCATCCTGGACTGGTGGCTAAGGACTAGGGTTCCTTCTCCTTACTCTTTCTTTGGCTAATACAAGACAAGTTGAAATTGGAACAACGGAATTATAAGGCAAGAGAATCATGAGATATATGTAGGATGGGAACAAAATATTAATTTTTTATTATTTTAGAGAAGCAAAATAGGGAGGGAACAAAAATATTAATTTTTTCTTAATAGTATAGTTTTATTTCCCATATTTTATGAGATTTTAATTTTAATACTTGAATTTTTTTTTTGCATTTAGAATTTTGGTATCTAATAATTATGTGACTAAAACAATTTTTGTAGAAAGATTAAAATCAAAATCTCGCAAAAATTTAAGGACAAAAATAATAATAATTATGTATTTTCAAAATTAAAAAATAAATTTAAAAATGTGCAAAATTAATTTAATTAATAAGTAAATTTTTAATTAATAATAATATAAATGAACATATATTTAGATATTTTAATTTTAACATCTTAAAAAACTATTCTGATTAATAAAAAATATTTTTGATAGTTTACAAATCTTTTATAAATAAACACAGAAAATTAAATATTAATAAAATTATAAGAGTAAAACTAATTTAAAAAATAAGTTTAATTTGATTTTAAATGTAGAAGTTTATGATAAATGTCATACTAAAAAAGGACATATAACTTCATTATAATCAATAATGAACAATAGATAATTAGTTCTTATTAAAATTATGAAGGTGCGTGCATTATTACATTTTTAATAAAATTTATTTTTAATTTTCTAATCCTTATTATGTTTATATTTATAGAAGATTTTACATCCTAAAATAGTTTTACATGACATCCTTTAGAACATTCAATATATATATATATATATACATATATATATATATATACACACACACACATGAATGTTTTAGAAGTGTTTAATGTCCCCCTTTAATTATTTTTATATATAAATAAGTTTTGTTATTTAATTATTAATGAACTTTTATTTAATTATAAAAAAACGTACATAAAAATGACAATAATTCACAATGGACACACCCTTTATAAGAATATAAGAAAACCTTTTTTTCCGGTGAAGATTTGAGATCATGTGTTTAACCATCCCGCACTACAATACATGATAGCAGTCTAAATATAATATGGAAGGAATACTTGGAGCTTTATTTATCTTTGGGGGAAATTTCAACTTTGCTGGGCAAGTAACAGATTTTCCACCCTTCATTTATATGATGATAATCTTCCAATCTTTTGAATATGGGTCTGGTTTACTTGCAACTCTTTTCAACCCTGCCTCTATCTTTTAATACTCATCCACCCAAACATGCTTATGATTTCGTTACCAAAATTTATTCTAATTTAGGACCAGGGAATCCACAGTTCCCACACACCCACACAAGAAAGTTTCTAGTATAGAATAAACCAGATGTATTACAGTTGACCTCGACCATACTCTTACTTTCCAATTACTATTATTCTATTACATGATAAAGAACAAACAATTAATGAATATGAAATTATATGTTCACCCTAAACAAAAATTACAGACAAGGAAGAAGGAACTAAACTTCTTGCTCGTCAAACTGTCTTGAGAACATACAGAAAATCTAGGCACTATCTTTTTTCCTACTCATCCTGTACTTTGCCATTGCCCTCTTGTTGAATGACTGTACTTTGTTCCTCAACGATGGGCTTTCCCTCAGCTGCCTCTTCCACATTAGTGGGTTTCCCCTATTGCATTCAACAAATTCTGGTTATCAGCCGCAAAGACGCAAAGACGCAAGTGAAATATTTATAATATTGAATCTTCTTCAATGACTGTTAAAACTAACCTTGTTTCGATCACGCCATCCAAGTCCAAATGGACGTGAAAGCAAACTTACTCTCCTGGAAGGGAGATCCGTCGTAGGCTCTTGATTGTTTCTTGATACTGGAGATTCTGGCTGTGAAGATCTAAGCAAGGCAAAAGATCAAGTTCATTCGCAGAGGGTTCTTCCCATAAACAATATAAGATCTTATTATTAATACTTGGGTATTAGACCCTGCCAAGGTTTAGGGGAGGTTCAAAACCATACAGAGTTTGAAAATAATGATTAAATCCAAAACCATACAGAAACAGCAATATTGTGGGCACGTGTCAGTAAAGATTAGAGAGATTTTAACAACTTAAACACACCGTGGAGATTGTTGCACTTTAACTTGGCCAGACTGATATTGCAATGTAGCCTCCAGCATAGATTCTGCCATAACTGCTCTCTTCTCCATTTCAGCAAGTGCAGCAGTTGCTTCTTCATACTTTTCCTGCCAATATAATATGTATGGTTGTTATATGTTGCAGTCCAGAAATTCACCATTGTTTCCATTTTAAAAGTAAATATAGCAGTATAAAAAGGCATTAACATGGGTTTGACATTAGATATGGAGAGAACAGAGATTTATAAATGTTGGTGATTGTCCAATATATAACATATCTAATTAGATTTTTATGATGTCCACAGAGTTGCCATGAAGATCAAGTGACATCAAGTTGGCTAAAATGTTACAATTAGACTTCCGCAGAAGCTCCAGTTTCAAAGTGGTTGCTTCCGGACAAAGGCATTGAAATATAGCCTATGTCAGAATAATTGATATTTTGATGGAATACAAGAGCAATAAAAGATGAAGAAATAAAGAAGATAACCTGAAGGACTTGGGCAGCATATCTTTGGGCTGCTGCATCTTGTTCAGCAAACCTGCGAGCATCCTCGGTCACCTTCTGCTCTTGCTCCACCCGCATCAAGACCTACAGCAACAAAATCTCACATCACATAACAAAGCAAGTTTTACTCCAATAATTAATGTGTGTGTAATGATACCTGAAGCATGGCAGTTTCTTGTTCTTGTTTATCAGCAAGTGCCTGCCGAAGCTGAGCAACCTCTTCATCTAGTTCCTCTACCTGAAGATGAAAATAATTAATAAATGTATTAGCTTCTCAAATAAAAAATCAGAACTACGAGGCATTTAATCCATAGTTTTTAGAATTCAAATCACACAACCCAATAATTGTGATTCCATATCGTGTAGTAAACACAGATGACTTTGAATTGTGTGATGTACGGATGAATCTGTGATTCTATATTAAAAGAATAGGAATGACATAATTCAGCTACTGTTATTTTTTAATTTCTCATTATAAAAATTGAAAAATCAAATAAACTTAAATGGTTAAATGATAAAAGAATTGAAGAAGCACTAACCCACTCTATTCAATTATTCACAATTTCGTTTTCATTTTTTCTAAAATAGGGGACCAATTTTCGGTGATGTAAATTAAGATTTTGCATTAAGACTTTAGGAGTACTCAACTGGTTACCTATATGTCACAACAGAGAGAACGAAATTTTTCCCTTCTTCCCAATTTCTATTTTTAGCTTGAGAACAGTAAACTACAAGATACTAGCATGCCATCTGTATTCTGTATTCGTTAATTGATTGTTGAGTGAACTAAGGAACAAGTGTTGCCTTTTATTTTGCTGTAAAGACACACTACATGTAATATCTCAGTCTGAAAATTCACCAATTTGGCTCTAACTGCATAACCCAATTTTCAAGAATGTTAAAAGCGTAATGTTGCCCTAAAGAAACAACTTCAACTATCACAGCATATTGAGAAAGCCAGCAGAGTTAGAAGATATGCACTGCAAATGCATATATATGATGTAGGAAGCAAAAATGCCATGTGTATTTGCAACTTACTTTGGCACTCAATTGCCGCCTATTATCCAGCTTGACCATTTCCATTAATGCTGTTTCAAGCTCCTCTGCCCTGATGAAAAAGAAAAAACCGAAAGGCATAAATGCTATATGCCAAAAGTGAATCTCTCTCTCTCTCTCTCTCTCTATATATATATATATATATATATATATATATATATATATATATATATATATATATACACACACACACACATATCACGTCATGCAATCCAAGTGAAAAAAAGAGACAATAATTATCAAGGATCAGTGGGTGATCTTTATCCTTTCATTAATATTCTATCATTAACCAATTTATAAGTGTGGGTTAATCACCCAGGTGGTTAAGCAGCAGGATCATCAAACTAATTCTCTAATAAAAAACCCTAAAAGAAACAAAGATCCTACACTAATATTACTGCTAATGCTTCAACTCTTCAAATATAAAAAGAACAAATAATAATTTGTAATACTCAGAAATTAAGCTACCCAGTAAATCAACATTTGTGTTAAACCAGACAAGACTATAGGACTCTAAAGCTTTTACACTCATCATTCTTTCTCCATATCTCTGGAAGAAAAGCCACCAGAGATAGTACAATTTGAAGTACCTGAGAATAGATGATCTTTTCTCCTCTAGTAATTTACAAAGTTCAACCTTCAGCCATACAACCTGCATGGTGGTCAAAACACAAATCAATGCCATGTTGTAATTAGTTGCTTTATTTTCCTCTACAGATTGATGACTACTCAATGATTTTTCCTCCCTTTTTCTTGGTGGGGGGTTGTGTGCGTGCTGGGGAGCAAGTGTTGATGAGCAATCATTAATATAAAAGTTTCAAACCTATTTTTCAATTTTACAGAAGAGGGGAAATGGAATATTTGCAAATGTTCATACAGGTAATAAATTGAGCCCAGCTGAGGACAAAAGGGCAATAGTGCTCAGCAACCTGTTAAACACACTTGCATCAAATTAACTGCAATGTGTCTAACAGTTCAATTACGATAAATGCAATCATTAGTAGGTCTCCAAAACTAATTATAACTTTATATAACATGGGTTTTTAAATTTTGGTTTGCTGAATGTATATATGCTAAAAATAACAATAAAATGCATTATCAACTGAATTATGATCAAATAAAAAGGGAAGGAAAATCAACCTGATCTTGAAGATCTGGAACAGAATCTATCTCACCCTCTCCAGTCAGACTAATAAGAATTTCATCTGCATTAGTGGACCCAGATTCTGTGCGAGATAAACTGCCAAGTACTTGCATATCACCTGATTGGTCAGTTTTAGGATCATGTTTGAAATTAAATAGCTTTGATGCCAGACCCTGAGAATCCCGCCAAGCTTTAAGCCCTTTTGATCTTTCTTCAATGGCAGCTATTACAGCTGGCCGATGTTTATTCCTCAGCTCCTGCAACCGAGTTTCATTTATATTTTGGTAACCCATGCAAGCTGTCAAGACAAGCTGGCTGCTATCAAATGTAGAGCCAGCCAATGACTGAAGTAAAGTAACTGCGTCTCCAGCATCTTTTGTTGTTACCAATGCTGGACCTACAAAACAGTAAAATAAAGTTTGGTAAGGATAAGCATGCATGGCTTAAGCATTACTAGTTTACCTTTTTCCAATAATACAATATATAGTTTGAAACTACAAACATTTTCAGCCAGTACCATATAGCTCCATCAAAGCAACTGCAGTTCTAAAAAGCATGACTCGGTTTCCTTCAAAAAGAAGCACATCCCACACTCGAAGAACTGAAGTCCAAATAATTTCAATAGATCAGAAGAAATCTCAAACAGCAGTGCACAATTGCTTATTTGACATTGGTAACTTTGTGAAATAAGACTAAGAAGCTACACTACTCAATAGATAAAACATAAAACCTGACCACTTTCCCAAGGAAGCATGTTGACAAAAATGGAAAGGAACCATGGTCCGGTAACCCATGCTACTTGCACTCCCAGATAATCTAGATGATTGGCTGCAAAAGTACACATAAAAAATTAACAACTAAGAAATGGAATACCAGAGACAAAATTCACATGTTGAGTTCAAAGAAATAAAATGAATTAAAACAGTTTACAAACCCAATTTGGGAAACCTCTCCCTCACCAACTCCTCAAAAACAAATTGATCCACCTGATAAAATGAAAATGTTTTTGAATATATGTCAAAAAGTCTATAAAAAGTTATTCAGATACATTATTTAATTTAAACCAGAATTGTATAGTATAAGAAACAATACCTGAGACTCTATCATTTCCTCTGAATAATAGCCATCAAAATAATCATCTAAAATGCCCATTAATGTCCTGAGGAAAACAACAATGCTCATCAAACACAGCTATAATCACAAAAGTGCATATTTTGATTACATCCTCTATACATCAAGAAAATCAGTTATCTCACGAACGTACCAAAAGGCATTTTCTTCTGGCATCAAAAGGAGCAATAAGCCAGCAAAAAAATTCATGGCCTGCAATTTAAATTATCCCAACAAGCTAAATCAGCGAGTTATGGATGTCATGAACGTTTATGATACTTCTGGGTGAGAAGGCATATAATTAATTCCAAACTTGCATTTTTTTTCATTATCCATGTTATAGGACAGGTCACTGCTATTTGTGAATAGTACACATCACAAATATGAAAGGAGACCGCAAGGCCACCCTTAACAGCACTTGCCTGATTGAGGTTTTGTTCAATATATATGAACCATTCGATTCATGCTCAAGTGTAAACTATTTCTATACCACAGTGATATGGATCATTTTCAGTTCATTCAACAATCAGGTATCAACCTGCTGAAACATACTGCTCCAATGTCCAAAACTACCTCAACCCACATCAATAATGCATTTTGTGGGAGTAAAATAGTACAAGACTCATGACTAGCCAAAACGTTCTTTCAGTTTCCAGAATTTGTGTATTGTATATCGGATAAACCTGTGGCCGATTTAGCTTTGCAAGAATTCCCATTGAATTCCTTGACTCACAATTAAAGGTCATGAAACTCAGGCAACCTTTTTTTTTTTTTTTAAACACAAAACTAATATAATACGAGGCAACATAACTGCCAGTAATTGTTGAAATGTTGCACAATGATATCTCAGTAACTTTAAAGTTCTGAGTGAACCAATTTCTTAGTCAAATCATCTGTATAAATGTTTCTTATAAACATCTCATTAAGTTGTTTGACAGTTAAGTTTTTCAAACTAAATCACCACAACCATATCGAAAAAAATAGAAAAAACTGCTTTTCTTAAAAAAAAGGGGAAAATGTAACTCTTTTCAGAAGCAAGGACCTGGCAGTAACCAACTGAGGGATTATGCCGAGCATATGCAGTAAGTAATCGCCTCAAGGCATTTCTGCCATCCTCGTCCAAAGCAGGATGACCAGGAAATGTTCGAGGCAGATCCTGCACAACCAAAGAACTATTGTGAACCTCAAATAAGAAACTTATTTTATAAGGCTGTATAGATAATATGAGGATGAACAACATTGAGAGTGAAATATCACAGGCAGAGACCTTCTCAATCTGTCCTTTCCATTTTTCTGGCATACGTACAAAATCTGCACTTGTTTTACCATTACTGTCAGTTGACTGCATGCTTTGCTGATCCGTTTTAATTTCAGAATCATTCTCCGAGGCAAGCAGATCCTGATAATACTTCTCCACCCGCCTTGCTTTTACACCCACAAAAGCTTGCCAAAGCTGGAGCACAAGAACAAACACGGGTGTAGTAACTCAAAAAATAAACAAGTGTATTTCTCATAAATATAATGGGTACCTCTCCCCTCAATGCCATTGGTACTCCCCCACGGACAAGAACTTCCAACTCTTCTTTCCAAGGAAATGAAGCCTCTGGTAGTGCAGCATCAGCAGCAATACCATTAGCAGAGGCGCTTGTTCCATCAACAAGAGGCATATCTGGACTAGGATCCGACCTCTCAACATCATAGAACTCCTCATCAGAGTCTTCCTCACATGCTCCTTTTGGTGATTTAGCATCATCAGAATGAGATAGTGATTTAGCAGTTTCAATAATCTGTTCATATTTTAACACGCCTTTCTTGTTTCTTTCATCTTTTACTGACCCTGTTTTCTTCTTTACACGAATGCTCATCATATCCTCGATGGTACGAAGAGATGGCCTAATCTCCGTCCATAATTGGACTCGGTGAACTCTTGTTTCCTCAGACGGTGGTATCTCCTCCTTCTGACTACCATTTTCAACAGTACTGTCGGAACCATCAGGTGTTTGGTTGCTAGCTTCATCTCCATTGACACGATTCTCCAAACTAGCATTGGCTTCCTGCCCTGCTGTTTCATTACCCAAAACTTTCTCACCTTCTCCTACTACTAATTTGTCTGTGGCCAATTCAGAAGATTCTGCCTGCCTATCTAGAAATGACTTCCATCGATCCGACCTCTCCTCTTCTTCCTCCTAAAATCACAACAGAGAAGTGTTAAAGTTGGAACAGCAACCCGGTTACAATATGATGTGCTTTTCGCTTAGGGGAAGAAAATATTCCACCAAACACGTAGTACATTACACATATCCAAATCCATTCTAGTAAGATTTTCAACTTAAAAGGAAGCAAAATTTCCTTCACATCGTTCTCCTAATCCTCCCTTAAAAAACTTATTCAGCAACAAAACTTAAAATGGCAAGGATGGAATTATAAATCCCAAGCATGACAAGACCTTGTATATGTTGGCATATTCACGGTATCTTTGCAGATGTTGAGGTCGCACAGTAAACCCATACGCATCCCTGTCCACACCAAATGCGCATTAATTTCCAAAAATTCACTAATAAAACGATAAAAACCCAACAATTAGGAGAGACAGTAAAACACGCGAAAAGCCAGACCCCAAAAGAACCAACTAAAGCATAAACGACAATTAAGACAGGATAACAACTTCAAGCAAAACGCAACTCAAATTACCAGTCGTCGGCCCCAAGCATAGACGACGTTGCGTTTCGCACAAAACTTACGCCCCATAGCGCTCGGCATTGGTTGCCTCAGCGCAGCGCCGATTCCCAATTATCACTACTAAGTAACAAAAGGAAAAACAAAAAAGGAACAACACATTCGACGCTCACTCAAACTCATTGGACCGAGATCCATCTTCAAAACCCACTAATTCGATAAATATAACCGAAACCGTGCAGTCCAATAGCTCAGTAGTCAAAGTGAATTCAAACCAAACGAACCGAAAAATAGAAAAAAGAAATGGAAAAACCAAATCGAAGAGTCAATTAACGGATCTAACAAGCAGAGAAGGTGAAGGAATGAGAGACGCGTGGATACCTCTTGTGGTCGAAGGTGATGAGAGGGTTTAAGGCTTTGTTAGACTTCATTTGTGGATTGGATCGGCGCCGCGAGAAATCGGGTTGAGAATAAGATCTTCTTCAACTTCGCCTGAAATTTCTGCAACTGAATGCGTATGTATACAGTTAGTTGTAGCTAAAGAGCATAGAGAAGAGAGATAATAGGAAGAGAGCGAGAGAGAGCACATGCACACTGAGCGCGTTGAGAGCGAAAATGGCGTCACGTTATTATTACATGTGCTGCGCTGCGTGATACACTCTCTCACACCACTCCAAAAGCTAAAAAGTTGGTTCAGCAATTTTCACTTTTCATTCCTCAGTTCACTTCACCAATCCATCGCCAACCAACGTGCTATTTCAGTTTTTGACCCTTTCAACTCTCCATTCTCTTCTTTTCGCCCCAATAACAACCCATTTCGCCTTATATATATTTATTATTATTAATCTCTTTGTTATTGTTATTTACCCTAAAATGTGGTGGACCTCGCGTCACATTACCATAATTACGACACCGACACCAAATTATAAATTTTCGATATACCTTTAGAAAATTTGTCTTTGTGGGAATTTTTCATGAAAAATATAGCATTTCGTGCAACTCAATTCTTGTGTCCTCACCTATAAGCGTCGCCTTCCCCATAAAATAAACGCATCCAAATTTCCGGCCATAACTAACGACCGCTCTACAATTTTTTTTAAGTATTCTCATAATATGCACTCTCTTTATGTTTATTATACAGTGAGATGATAAAAAATTATTAAAAAATGTGAATATATAATAATTATATATATATATATATATTTAAATAAGATATTTTAGATGTTGAATTTAAATATTTAACTCTATCGCGATGCGATGATAGAAAAGGGCGATAGAGTTATCTGACCCACAAAATTATTTATTTTGTTAGAATTCTGTTGTTTGTTAATTCTCTCGGATGACAATCAAAAAGATGATTTTCTTTTTTAAGAATAAAAAAAAATTAATGAGCATATACTGTTATACCGTACAAAAATTTATTCCCTCGTTTCTTAAAGCTATTGAATTCCAAAATTACGGATTATAATTCAGAATAGCGAGGAAAAGTAGCCAAGCAAAAAGTAACCCATAAAGTATAATAATCTAAAGTATTTAAATTTATTGTAGTTTTAGTTTTTGCGGGGCACTTTAGTTTGTTTTTTTCATATGTAAAACAAAAAAATAAATAATGTTCAGATATGAGATTTTTTATGAAAATTCAAGATATATTTTATATTTATATACATAAATCATCTGGATTTTGCATATAAAACGTATAAAAAGTGATGCATTTTTTATTTTTTATCTGAAAAAATCTTTTAATTTGCATATATTCTTATTTTTAAATTTTAATTATTTATACTTTATTGTTTTGATAAATAACTAATTAAACTCAATTATCCGTTTTAAAATTTTATCTGATAAGTAATAAAAATATTAAAAAAACCTGATATTCCATTAATTTATATAAATTAACTTATGTGTATAATATTCAAGTAAAAACCAAAGATATGTTACTTTTAAAACCTTTCATGTAACTCAAGTGATAGAGTTAGACGTTCACGAGCTTAAGGTGCAAGATTTAAATTGTGCTTAAGAAAATATCATCCACCTCCCTTCTCCTTAACAAATAAAAAATAAAAAAAATACCTGTATTATATTTCTATTGTATTTTTGACAATTGTTGAAATTTTGGATAGTGGAACATAATTAAAACAATTAATAAATTATAAAAAATGGAAATAGTTGAAAATAATTAAATTAAATAAGTATTTATCTCACCCTCTAATAAAACCTTAAGAATACGACTACATCCCAAACTGAAAAGATATCTCTACCTTTAGTTAATTTTTATACAATGTTAAGGTTATTTTGGGTATTACATGTCCAAATGTTTTCACTTGATCATGGGATACAAGGTCTATCAATGTAAAACTATATTACATGTATATGCTTCTAGATTTGAACTTTGCGTCCATACGTGCTTTTTTGTGTTAAAAATTTATTAAATAAGCAAAATAGGTACTTATAAATTTAAAAAAAATAAAAAAGTTTGGGGTTGTTTGTGTTCTAGCTTTAAAAAATGTTTTTAAAACCAATGACATGTTTAAACTGCATATAATAATTATATTTAAAAAATCAACAAGTCTATTTTAATATTTTCTTATTTTATTATATCAATTTAAAATTTAAATAAATAAGTGTGTTAAAAAGAGTATTTAGAAAAACATTTTAAATTTAGTTTTAAAATTTTATTGTTTTAAAAGAAAAAAATCCATATTTTTAAAGCATTTTTTATTGAAAATATAAATAAAACTTAAACAAATGACCTTTAATATCCTTACGTTTTCTCAATCCACACCATGCAAGCAACCTATAGCTGTCGGCACATTGTAGATTACTTCAGCTTCATCTTCGGTTCCACCACACGTTACTTTTGTTCCTTTTTTACCTTAATTTTGTGCTTATTTAAGGATACCCTCTATGATATTTAAACAAAAAGGAGTGCTAGAGATATTTCCAACATAAAATTTGTTAACACAAACTGAAGCACTATATTTTATTAAAAAATTAGATATATTATTAAATTAAAAGTAAAATTAGATAATTTTTAATAAAATTTAAATTAATAATTAATATTTTTCTTAAACAAAAAATACATGAAGGTTTATTTATGGTTTAAAATATATAATTTAAATTGTTTTTTTATTGTCATTAGCTTTTGCTAACTGATATAAAGAATCTGTTAATTTGTTGAGATTGAAATTTTATTGCTTTAACATCTTCAACGTGTTTGTAATAATGACTTAAATAATGCAAAATCTTATTAATTTCTGAGACGTTTCTTGAATAAAAGTTTGTTACATTGAGATGTAAATTTTTCTTTAAATTCAAGGATTCTTGCAAATGATTATAGCAGTTAGACTCCAAAACTCAAGATTTTGTCCCTACCAAAAAACTCATAAAATAAAGTCGAAAATTGGAATAAGGACTGTATTCTCTCTACCTTATAATATCAAAATAACTAAAATACTATTTCATTTGTTTCCTATGACAAATATTCCAAAACAAAAATATTATATCGTTGTTTCAAACTCAAGGGCTAGTTGAATAGTTTAAATTGGGTAAGGTAAACGCATACTAATACGGTTTTGGTTTATGTTATTTTTTAAAATACTTAGGTTATGTTTAGTTTATATTTTTAAAATTATTCTTTACACAAATAAAACATTTTAAATTAAAATAGTTATAATATTATTACTAATAAACAGGGTATTATTTAAAATAAAAATAAAAGACATTTTGTATTTTTCTAAAAATTGACAGAAATAATGTATTGTATCTCGAGTGGGACCAAATAGTACGCAGAAAAGATTGCAGAAAAATATCCTTTGGTGTGATCCAAGAATTACGAAAAATAACAGCGAGAACTTACATTAGAATAAGAAGAAGGAAATGATGTCAAGCTTGAAACTGAGTGCAACAGCTTCAATCTACTACATGCGCAAAGCCACAACGAAACCCTTGTTGTGGACACCAAACAGAAACAGAACAATTCAGCAAAGGTACATGCCTTCCCATTCTCCTTCAAAAAGCAAAACCCTATCCTTCCCAATTAGGGACAGATTGGGATGTTTGGGAAAGGCTGGTATTGCTACAGATTTAGGTTCCACGGTTCCATCACAACCACAACCTCACCCTCAGCCAGAACCTCCCAAATTGCTTACATTACCCACCATTTTAACCCTCGGTCGTGTCGCCGCTGTGCCGATTCTTGTCGCCAGTGCGTTTCGTTCTCTTTCTCTTTCTATTACATTTTCACAACGCTTGTCGTTTAATCTCATTTCTGTGTAGCTTTCTACATGGATGGTTGGCGAGGAACTGCTGCTACCACGAGTATTTTCGTTGCTGCTTCACTTACAGATTGGCTTGATGGCTATATTGCTCGCAGGGTATTTACTTCAATTCAATTTTTCTTAGAAAACACACCCAACGTTTTTGTTTTCTAAGTTTTAAGGTTTTTTTTTTTTTTTTTTTTTTTGCTTTTCTTTTATGAATTTGCAATGCAGATGAAGTTGAAATCTTCTTTTGGCGCTTTCTTAGATCCAGTAGCAGACAAGGTATTTCCCCTTTCGTTAACTATTTTTATGTAGGTTTTTTCTTTGAGAATTTTTTTCTGAACGTGAATTGATTTCTACCCAATGCAGCTTATGGTTGCTGCCACGCTAGTCTTGTTGTGTACTAGGCCTTTGGGTGTTGCTGCGTTTGGACAAGCACCTTGGTTACTGACTCTGCCTTCAATTGCCATAATTGGGAGAGAGGTAATGCATACTGTGATCTCTAAGGCATGCATTGCTCAAAAGGTTTTGTTATAACAAGGGTCCTGCGTGTAATCGACAAGCTCATGCATCTTAATGGTTATATATTCCTTTTTTCTTATCTCTGCTTTTTTTAGTGTGTGGTGTTTTAATTTGTAAGATGTGTATGTCATGAATTGGAACTATTAATGACCGTGTTATTCTCATGATTGAATGAAGCCAACAAGCCAAAGTAAAGGCTTGGTTAAATAACCTGCTTTCTTGGAGATCATACAGATCCAATGTTTTTCTATATGACTATTGTGATCATGTTTGTGTGAAAGTAGATACCATGTTTGGGATCTCCTGGGGTTGTTGCTCACTTGGTTGATGGCTTACTTTTCTTATTTATTGATCTGGAGGTGGAGGCTGAATTGTCTATTGATGTCTGTCATTCTGTTTCCTTTGTGGATAAATACTTATAAATTCTTCAGCATGTTATCAATGTATATCATTAACCAAAAACCATAAAAATTTTCTTATTTCACTGATATTTGTATTTTTATGGTAAATTAGCCTTACTTTCACCTGCCTTTCCTTTGTGTTCAAGGCACCGTACCTTGTCTAATTTACTGGCTTTGTATTAATGTTTCAATCTTATGTCTTATAATTTTCTCTTGTAACTTGCAAAATAGATAACCATGTCTGCAGTCAGGGAATGGGCTGCTTCCAAGGATAGTAAGCTTTTGGAGGTTTGTTTACCTCCTTGACTCTTGAATCAACTACCTCATATTAGTGCAAAGTTCTGAGCTTATATCCTGAAACTTTGTATAATAGGCTGTTGCTGTAAATAACTTGGGGAAGTGGAAAACAGCCACACAGATGACAGCATTAACCATCCTCCTTGCAACCCGGGACTGGAGGTATTAATTTTCTATACATTTTGATGAGCCCCCATAATCATTGGAATTTTTATGAAAAGAAATTTATGTGAACACCTCTTCGTCTCTAAATTATTTGCAAATATTTTTCTATAAAACTTTAGATATGCAATAGTTAATCTTATGCAAATAGAAAAAGGTTGTATTCTGTCTGTCAAATTTTTGTTCAAAGGCTGTCATTGACTGATTGGGTTTTATTCTGTTTTCTCCCATTTTTCTTTTCAGTCACGGAGGAGCTGCTATTGTAGTAGGCTCCGGTGTTGTTTTGCTTTATACTTCAGCAGGGCTTGCCATATGGTCGTTGGTTGTATATATGAGGAAAATATGGAAGGCGTTGTTGAGGTAGCGAGCCTGATGCTCTGTGCATTCACTTACAACTTGGTGGGTTCGTTTCTCACAAACATTTACCAATTTCACGCAAAGGGGCTGCATTTTTTGGTGGCATGTAAATTTAATATTTATTCTACACAACGTCTAGCTGCACACAGCGCCATATCTCCTATTCCCGTTTATCATCTAAATATCTTTTTGGGTCTTTGGTCACCCTAGGAAAGAAGTAAAAAAGAGGCAGACTAGCCATGCTTAAACGTTGCGGCAGTGATTTTGTTCTAGGTCCCAACTATAAATTAGGAACATTGAAAGTTTGCGACCAGAGAAAAATCATCACAAGAATTATTGTATGACGAAGTTGACTTGTCAATGATTTTTGTTCTGATATATTATTTAATGATGTGAGCAGAAAAGGCTTGATCGAGTGTGACGTGATTTTCTTGCACCTCACTAATAATTTTTTAGGATTTCATTCAAATAAACTTTAAGGCATTCTGAAATCCGTACATACTGCGGAGTGGGGCTTTGTATTTTTTTAACAATAATTTTCTTGTTTGGATGTCGTCATTCATGTCATGGATGAAATTTATTTTTTTAATCTTTTCAATTATATTTTATATACAAAGGCGAAATTAAGAGATTAACACACATTTAGAGGGATGAATTTTTCATATATATATATTAAAAAGTTTACAGAAATTAAAATAAATTTTATAAACTCTTTAAAAAAATACATATGAAAAAAGTTCTGTTCCTCTTACATGCGAAATTTGCACCATGTATGTTAATCTCAGTTTCATCTCCTATTCAGACAAAAGACAGAGAAATTGTTTTAAAAATATATTATTTTAATAATTTATTTATAAAAAAATACAAAAGCGGCAGAATGTGATGTGAGAAACCAATCCCCCTGCACAGGGATTCTGTTACAAACGCTCTTGACAATAAACTTGACTCTGCCTCAAGAATACAAATTAAGGTTCAACTCATGATAATGAATGACCATCCAAGTAACCAACGTCACCTTCACATCCGCATATGACAGAATCAGTATATCTGTGGCACACTGATTTTCACTCGTGCTCTCACAATGTTGAATCTTCTTGTGCCAGGAAGCGTTTCTTGTAGCTTTCAACAAGCACCTTGGGATCAGAGCGAGTTACTTTGTAGCCGTCGATGTTGTTTATTTCCTGTACCAATCGCATAATTTTAATTCTTGAATGAAGCTAAAGATGCAAATTTATGCCGTTCTGAACCTATTGTGACCTATCCATCTAGGTAATTATTTAACCATGTCAGAGCAAGATCATTATTGTATCCTCTACCTCGATCTAGTTTAGGCCTACCCATTTTAATATCATAATCCTTCACCTCCATTAAAAACAGTTGAAATCGTTCAATGAAGGGAGCATATGCTATATCAACCTGAAGTTAACAGGAAATTTTGAGGAATTCAAATCAGTGTGAAGATGGTGAAGATTACACTATGCATTTGTCATTACTAACAAATCAAGATAAGTATACTCACTAGGCTGAACTGGCCAAGGAAGAAAGGTCCATGGTCATATTTGGAGAGAGCAGTTTCCATGTAATCAAACGTAGTGCCTAAAGCAACGTAAGGTATGAGTTTTGTTACATGCACAGGCAATTTTCTACACAAAGCTCACATAGATTGAATTCTCACCATTCATTCTTATATTACATTTAGTTGTCTAAATCATCAATCTCTCTCTCTCTCTGCATTTAACATTTATGCAATGTCCCTTTGTCTGCATTTAACATTTTTGCCAGGTGTTATGTGTATTTAGCTAAACAACATCAAGAAAGCCTCATGTTACCGGCTTCAGTCACATCTCCTTTAAATGAAGAAATAACTGTCTTGTAAAAGGTATCGGTGTAAGATAGCAACTCTTCAGCAAACTCCTTATCAGAACCCTGTGAATTAAATCGCAAACTTTTGGCTTAAAGTTTGGACCAGAAAATAAATACCAAAGTAAAAAATTTCACATCTTACACTAGGAAAAAGAGAGGGCCCTTCAAAGTGACTGTCAATATATCTAATCAAATCAAGACTCTCTCCTCTTACTTCATTATTGTGTTCCAAAGATGGAACCTGGAGTTCAAAATACATCACTATTTAGAACGTGATACACTCAACACAATAAATATTAAAGATCAAGATAGCTTGGTTTTTAGCACAACGGAAAAGTATGATATGATCATGACCTTGTTGGGTGGGTAGACTTTCTCCTTATACCAGGAAGGCCTATCTTGTAGATCAATAGGAACCAATTGAATCTTCTCCTCCAAACCCTGCTTCCAAAACAAAAAATAAAAAATAGTGCGCCTTGCTTTCTTCTTTCTTTCTTCTGCTTGATGGAATAGAGAAAGAGAATCTTATAACCCTATAATAAAATAATAATAACAAATCTCAGGGTTTAATAAAGAAGAGAATGTGAGACCTACTATTAGCCCCAGCTTCCCCGATGTGAGAGTTAGCTCCTGGAAACAAAGAAATTCCTTCCTCTCTCCTTTCACTCGAGTCACTTCTATCCTTATGCCCTTACACGAGACGCAGATAGCAAGCAGACAGCTAGATTCTTACTGAGAAAACAACCTTTCTTTCTTCATATGGAAGATGATTCTCCACATGAGGACAATAAAACGCATTAGAAGGCCATATAGAGCCAAATAGAATAGAAAGAAATTATACATTATCGGGCAGAAAAAGGACCGGGGTTTAGCTCTTTGAAGCAGATGTTGAAGGAAGCCTGACTTTACTCAAAAATCCATTAAAAGAGATAGCCGATCGCATCTCTCTTTCTATTGATTGTAATTCAAAGTCAAGGTTCTATGCTTGTTCACTAGAATAAGGAAAATGACTCGACCTTAGATTAGAATAGGGTGACGAAGGAAGCTTGTTAGAATTAGAAAAGGAAGTCACTGAATCAAGTCCCATTTGATAGTTAACCCCATCATCCATCAATGGAGGAAGGCGTTAAGGTAACCTCAAACCCAGTTGATGAAGGAAGGCATCTCACAAACAAAGGCCTTAGCGCATGCTGCCCACATGAGCACAGAAGGAGGCCAATGTTGTAATTCTTAAGGATGATTCTTTGAAGCATTTGACTTTAAAGCTACGAATTAGAGTGAAACTGACCTCACTTTTATTGATCAGTAAGTGATAGCTGTCAGGTTCGCAGAATGGCCGATGGAACCAACTGAATCCACTCTCGTGACATGTATTTCCACCACTTTGGGGAAAGAGATGAGCTTTTTTATTCCTTTCCGTCGCCGCCTCCCTATACTTCGAAATTTCTTTCATAAGAAGTTGCAAAAGAACTAGAATGAAGACCATTTGGAGCTATGTCTGAAATTGTGGGCTTGAAGGACTTAGGGCCGTGACAAGTGGTATCAGAGCCAAAGGTTAGGCCAGGTCATGTCTTATGAACCTTACAGTTACGAGTGATCCATACACGCTGGGCATACGGGCATGTGTAGGAGATATACAACCTTCAGCCACAAGTCACACTAAGTTTTAGTAAATAACAAAAAGAAATTTTTTTGCATTATGGGAACATAAATCAAAATAAAAATTTTCTTTTTTTTTCTTCCTGAAAAAACTAAAAACCAACCTTGTAGTTCCATCAAACAAGGAAGGTGGAAGTGAAGTGGAAGTAAGGGGTGGAGGAAGAACTTGTTGCACCCTTCTTCACAACAGAAAGATAGAATGATAGATAGTTTAGAATAGAAGGAAGGAAGGAAAAAAGAAAAATGGAACATACCCAGTTGCCATAGCTATTGGTGTGGACACCTCACGCAAATTGAATTTTGGTTTGGTGTTAAACGATCGAAGCTGAAGCTGATGCTTATTATTAAGTGAATAGCCCAAATGGGTGGTTGAGAATTTGATGGCAATGTTTTGAGTGGCACCCCAGAAAGCAACGGAAGAAGGGTCTGAGAACAAACCATTGTTCGCTACACTCATTCCTACGTCCATATCTCTCACCATTTGGCTGTGGCATTATCTATCTCAAATCTAAAAACTAAAGCTCTTCGTGTCAACACGTCCTCACCCCCGTGTTTAGATCATAGATGAAATAAAATAAAATACTAGAGTAAAAATAATGTATCAGTTGAATGGATAAAAATAAATATATTATTTTCGACTCAAACAATATATTAAAAATTATTTACAATAATTATAAAAAATAATTTATTGAAATTTTTTATTATAATATTTTTAATAAGGTATTATTTTAAGTATTTTTTATAATGCATAAATTTATTTAACAAAAAAATAAACAAATAAAAGAACCTGACCTTACTTCCAATTTTTTCATATTTTGAAATATATATATATATATATATATATATATATATTTTGTAAACCCCACTGGTACAAAATTTGGTTTCCTCACCTTTTTAGAGTATCTAAACAAGAATTTTATTTTTTTTAAATTTCAAATCACTATTGACTCTATTAATTTTTATTCCAAACTCTCCAAATTAAAAACATTTTTACTGTAATTTAATTTTAATATTTTTTAATTACAAAAATATCATCTTATTTTTATTTAAAAAAATTTAACAAAAATTAGGGAAATAAATTTTGTATTAGTTTTACTGTTTTTTCGTTTAGTTTTTGTTTGTTTGTTGTTGGATAGTCTTCATTGTATCCATTACCAGTTACCACTAACCAATGTTGACAAATGATGATATAATAAGAAAATAAAAGTAATTGTTTGTGATGGGTTAGGTCAGTGTAGCCCAATCCCAATTAAAAAAAATCCACACTTCAACTATTTAATATCCATCCCTTAGATTTCTCTCTAGTTTAAATTATTCAACTAATTAGCACTTTTCTTGACCAAAATAAAAAAACCAATTAGAACTTTTCCCCACGGCCGGCGATGAATTGGTACTTAAAATTATAATTATTGTGTATTTTAATAGTTTAATAATTTTTTTCTGATTTAGACTGCCTGTTAATTAAATATTATTATATTAATAAAGAATATTAATTTTTTATAATAATTAATTTAAAAGTCATATTTATTCTATATTTTAATCAATTGAAAGTATAATTTTTTATATTAACAATACATTAAAAGTAAAATGTTATTTTGATCTTTTAAATTATATAAAAAATATTTTTTTGAACTTGATTTATATTAGCCATTTTAATTTTTTATGTTACCGGCATTTCAATTATTAGTAACTTTAATCCTTGAATTTAACGTGTTTCAGAGTCTGGTTTTGATTTTAAATTAAGCAGCAAGAGAAGAACAAAATAATGGTTGTCATTTTCAAAGTAAGTTTATAAATTTGGGATAGTTTTCGAGCATTTTATGAAAGAATAAAATGTTGGGAATGAACAGAAAAAGAACACTTGATAAGAATTTATAAAAAAAAAATTAGTAATATTATGTAAAAAAACAATAAACATTTGTTTCTTCTTTCTTATTATATTTTATAGAGAGTTACCATCTCGTATTTAGAAAGCTCCATAAGCAGGTGAAGGTGATTCGAAAGTCTCAGCCACTCTCCGTCGAAATTTAGAGTCTGAACTCTTATAATGACATAAGTCATGTATACAAATACTACTTCAGTTTTTTAAAGAAATAAAACTATCACATTTATTCATGTATTGAATTTTATAATTTTTAATAAAAATTAATAACGAGAACCAAGAACCAAACACATTACATTAAATGCATGATGGAAAATTTGGAAAAGGAAACAAGTGAGAGAGGAAATTCTTTGTTGATTCTGTAATCCCAAGGAGGGGAAATTTTAGCTTTTGTATGCAAATACAAATGGAAGAGGTGGGTGGGTTAAAGTGATATAGATGTGACAAAACTTTAGCACTTAGGCATTCATAATACCAATTCCAAAATCAGCACCTCCTTTGACTGAAATCATGGGCACACGTGAATTGGCACCGATGATTGCGTGAGAATCAAGGTACAAAACAATAACTGTGATGTCATCATGGAAATGTCTTCTTACCCCTCGGTCAATCTTTTTCAAATCTGAGTATCTCATTTCTCTTTTCTTTGCAGCTTCACAAAGTGCAGTTTTCACAAGTTTCTTTGCCACTCCCTGTATACACATAACCATTTGTTTCAATACGGGTTTATAATTAGAACACCTAAACCACCCATACCCATGTTAATTAATTCAATTACAAACACTTTAATACAATGTTTTCAGTCCAATGAACATTATTATAGGCAGACATAATACAATACAAAAGAAACAAACTCAACTAAAATTAGAATCCTACATTACGTGGATAGTTTTGGACAATGGCAACTGCTTCTTGATTGCTCACGTGCTCCCATAATCCATCTGATGCAAATATGAGAAACCGATCCTGAGGATGCAGCTTCTGTACTAGTATTTCTGGTTCTGCTTTAAGGATTGGCATATCAAAGGGCTCAGAGATTCGAAATTTTGGTAATAAGGGTGCTCTATTAAACTCTGCCTTCTTTAGATATGCATCACCGATGGATCTTGAAATCTGCAATGTAAATAAACAGTATCATCAACACAACTCTTTTCTTTAGTTCATCATGCTGGCTATGCTCTTCTATTTCCTCTAATATAATAATTAGAATTACAAGTATATCACTACAGTGAATTCCTACATCATGAACAAGGCCAACAAGATCTCTATAGCCAAACGAAACATTGTTGAAACTTACATGAATGAAAAAAATGAAACTTGAGACAAACAGTCACCTGAATTATACCCTTCACACGCCAGACCTTGTGCTTCATAACTACAATCTGCGGATCATGAGGATGCAATGCACGCAACTCGTCTCTAACAGATTCAAGGCTAGCATTGTGCTCAGAGGAAAGTTGAATTGCTTTAATCTCTTTTGTAGTCTCATCAAGTCTACCTAACACCACACGAGAATCTCCTGCATTTGCAATATAGAGCTCCCCGCCACATATTATGCCTATCAAACAACATGATCCAACTGATGCTATCTGTGGCTTGTGCAGCCACTGCTTCTCTACCACAGAAAGAAATTCTTCTTCTGTTTCCAAGAATCCTTTTTTTATAACATCAGCTGACAATCCCTTATTTTCTGTAGTAAATTCTGCATTAAGATCAGCAGTTAAGTCAATAAACATATCAACCAGCTATACAATTCATAATGCATGAAGACCCCCCTTTTGTTACAATCCATGTTAATTGAATAAACAATAAGCAGGTAAAGGAATAAAAGGTATTCTTAAAGCTACAATTGCTTGAAGTTTACAAGCTTGATCATATGCATATTATGCTATGCCCAGAATGCACCCGGATGTCCACTTGAGCTATCTCCCAACATATATTCAGATTTGCATTTAAGAAAGGTTCACAGAAAATCTTTTCCACAAAGTTGGCTTCAGAAAGGAAGCACGAATTGCCCAAAGATCCTGAACAAATTTTAAAAGCAATGATCAAGCGATTATATGCTAAGTTTATCCCAGTGAAATTAATTGCCATCGATCATTCAGTGCCACCTACAGGACCACTCCATTTAGATTACAATGCAAATATCTTAAAGATCTTGAACAATAAAGAAAAAAAAAAACCACACCCAGAAATAAATTGAGCTTTTGGGATCATACATAGTAAAAAAAAAGATCATATTATATGCTTTACATGGTTCTCGCCAATCTAAAGAAAAACAACAACCAAGTTTTATCTCATTCAGGTCAATTATACAGATTCACCGACTTTATAAAGATACCGTTTAGCCTTATCCCATTTGCATTAAGGTCTTTTCAGGGAACAAATTGACATGATTCTTACTGGTGGGAAAAAATGACAAGATCCCTTCAATATAGCAAACTATGCATGTTGCACAAAGCATGAAATTGCAAAAGTTATTTCCTGAGCAATTTATGTTGCAGAGGAGAGAAGAAAAACTTACTCTTGATGTTTTTAAATAGGCGTTCATTGACAAACCGGGAAGCTTCTGGACCTCCATGCCCATCATATATTCCAACAAAAGTTCCTTGAGGACTTCCAGTAAGAAAGCTCAAGGGGCCTGATTCAAGTTGGCTTTGATCCTCCAACAAATTGTTTGCTTGAACAACTGCCATTGAGAAATCACCGTTGGCGTGTTTTCCCGAATCTTTATACCACAACAAACCATCAACACGTCCACTTGCATCCCCATGCCTACTAGAAAATTCACCTTGATTGTATGGTCTCCAACAGGGTGACACAATTCGCCTAAATGTAGCAGATACCATCCCTTACATAGTCTCACACACACAACTGAGCAACAAATAATTCATCAAATAAAAACCAATGCCAATATGAAAAATCCTAGCTTCCTATCTACACCATCTACGTAACTGAGCCCAAGCCACAAACTCCACAAATCAAATGCCTATTAAGAAATAGTGACACCATAATATGTAAAAGTGGAAACCATCAAAGACGGTATTTGCAGTGTCCAAAACCTGCACAAGGATTTGAGATCATAATCAATTCAGAGACCCCATCATCAACTATCTATCAAACAAATCCCAAATGGGGAGTCTCATCAATCACTCTCGAATTGAACAACAAGCAAGTGGCATCAACGTTTATTGGCAGAAACAATCAAATTGAAACACAGACAGCTCTTGAAATTGAACAATAAGCAACTGCCATCAACTTTTATCGCCATAAACAATCAAATTGAAACATGAGCAGCCTTGAAATTACACAGACAATACTCTAGACCAATAAAAATTTGATTATAAACTGAAGATCACAAGAAATAAACAAGACATGCGAAACCCGTAACTTATACAAGTTCAAAAGATATTTGTGTTGTACCTTAGATAGAAATGTTGGGAAATTCGGTATTTTGATGATTCCTGGTGTATTAAAAGCCCAGTATCATTACCACCAAAGTGATGATTAAGGTTTGGACACAGTTCTGATGAAAAGGGTGTCAGAAAGTTTAAGGCTTGATTTGTAGAATTGCAAGGGGTGGCAGGGCTTTTGAGAGAATTGGTGTGGTTTGTCTGTGTTTTCCCTTTTCCTTATTCCGTATCCATAAAAAGGAATTACACAAGAAAAACAAAAAAATGACTCGGTTTGGTTTGGTGGTGAGGGAATTTCCAAAGGGCTTTTGGCTTTTGGGGTTGGTTGGCAGTTTTGGTTTTCTAAATTTTATTGCCTTTGTGGGGTTTAGACTTTGACCTCCAACCAACCACCATTTTAGGCAACTTTTCCTCGTCTTCCTCATTCTCCTTAATTTAGTACATTGTAACCTCCTCTTCAGACATCAATGTAACTAACCCAGCGTTCCCCATAATCTCACTCTCTTACACTTTCTATTTTTAAAAAATATCTTGGACTTGAACACCACATGACCTCGGAGTCAAGGAGTCACTTTTCTAAAAATGTACATTACTATTTAAGGAATATATTCACAACTGCTTATAAAATTTTTTTTAAATTGTTCTTTTTTAAAATATGTATAGAAGTTATGCATTTGTTAAGTTATCACATATGATCTGAAACACTATGTATTGCTTATATCTGATAAGCTTTATGATGAATGCTTTATTTGACACATGTTAAGTATACATTTGATTGTTAATTATATGAATTTTGGCTCTATTTAAAGCTATATTTTTTATATAATGTATTTAAGAAAAGTTTATTGACTCACATGTTATTAGTTATACATTCCAGAAAATTAAGCCAAACATAAACTTACAGCCAAGTTTCAATAAGAGAACAATAATGATTACACAAAACAAATAAAAATAAAATTACAACAGACTCACGGTAATTACAGTCAACAAACAATATTTGTACATTACAATTGTAATAAAACTCATAATAATAGCAGCATTCATGATTTGATGTGACTTGTCCAAAACCACCCCAATGCCCTACCTTCCCTTGTGTCCTGAGCTTTATACGAAATATCTTGAATTGTAGACGCACGTGAGACGAACAAGTCCACTATTAAAGAAAGCAATACACATAACCATAATGCTAAGACTCCATGCAGAAACTTTCATTATGTTCTGCCATTATCAAAGCAAAAATACCCCCGTTGAGGGTGTTGCAAGCAAAAGCTTGTCTTTATTGTGGATAAACTAAAAGAAACAAGTCACAAAAATTCAAATATGCTGGTCATTGCTCATTGTAAGTTTTTCCTTGTTTTCAGAATTATTTTTATTTATTTAATAATCAAATGAAATGTCTATCAGTTACCTCATTCCATCATCTGTATAAGGTTTCGTGAAATTCTTTCTTACGACTCAGTGGCTATCTTTACAAGCTTACCAATATTCATCATTTCAAGAGTATGTATGCATACTTTTTCTTGCCTGGTTTATTAATATTATTTATGACAAATGTATATAAAAATGAATTAAATATGACTAAAAAATAGAAAAAATTAATGCAGAATGTTTTAGCTAATTAAAATAATTAATAGTTAAGAGGAGTGTGAATTGATAGATGGAAGTCCAAATAAATGATCATGTGACATTATTATTATTATATTACTAGTGGTCAAGATTTGTTTTTCTTACTCTAAAATAGAAGTGTTATATTTGCTTAATACATTTCTTATATCACACGATAATTATTTTTAATCTAGTCTTTGTGTTTTATAGAAATTTCATAAACAATAAGAATGGCATTAAAAATTATGGAAATTTATGGATCAAATTAAAATTAAATGCCGTAAATAAATAGTATAAAAACTAAAAATGATTTTTAACTTTTCTTTTATTGTTGTAAATGAACTAATCGAATCATACACCAATACATGTATGTATACCCCCACTCATGATTGTCATTTTAATAATTTGGGTTAATTTTCTAGCATTTCCTCAAAGAATAATAAATTGGGAAATTTACAGAAAAACAATTCTTATCAAAAGAAACTCCCTGCAAAGAATGGTAATTTTGTGTTAAAACATAAATATGTGTTACATTTTTATTTTATTTTATTTTATTTTTGTAAATGTTTTTATTCAACAACCTTTATTATATATGTAGTAATAAAAAAAATGTTAAATATATGTTGAATTGTTAATTATATGCAATAATTAACAAAGAATATGGCCCGTGACCAAACCCAGATAAATAATACGTGATAAGTTTCATGTTAAATTGAGTGAAGTAGAAACTAAAGAAGTTTTAGATCATGAGATTGAACTTTTTTTTTCCAAATTAATGAAAAGATTACTTTTAATAAATAAAAAAAATTGCAAAAGGGTTGCTATCTATCATTTGTTCATTCATATACTACAAATCTACAATTGCAGCAAAACTCATTATAATGGCAGCATCATGAATATAATTAGGTGCCAATTGACAGTACGAGTCGAAAATTTTCACAAGCGACTGGACTCATACTCCCCCTATGATCCAACTACTCCAAAATCACAGGAGTTTAAGGACAGGAAAGGTAACGAACGTTTTAAAAGGATTTGGAATTGGACACTTGGTTGGATTAAGAACAGTAGTCACCTTATTCTCAAAAAAGTCCTAACCCGAATCGAATTACTGGTGACGTGGGAATTTTTGCCATAATTGGTGAAAGTAACAACTTTTTTAGGACCAATTTATAGTAATGAAATTATTCTTATTCAACTGATTTGTTACACGTCGAACAACTATAAACATCGATCATTAAAATTCAGGGGACGGTCATAAAATCATCCATTTCTATTCCTTTTATGCACCCCACTTGTTTTGTTTTCTCATCTTCGAGTTTTCCATAAAATTTCACCAGAAAGACTGACTGATCTTCCACGGCAAATTTCGTACTATTTCTTTTTGTAATTTTTTTAATAAAAACATTTACAATTACAAAGTATACTTAAAATTTTCCGAATAATTTACTTGATCTTCCACGATAAATGTTACACAGCACACTCATAAAATATATTTCTCTCGCCTCTTAGATTAATCTATACTTTATATCATTAAAATGTTCATCTACATTTAAACTGAACCGTAATACAATCCTTTTCAAATAAAAACGGTGCACGATTTTCAAAGTTCGAGGAAGAGGTATAGTTAATTTCCAAAGAGAAGTAAAAGTTGCCACATTTTACATAATAATTAGACATTCATTTTTAAAAAAGCAAAATTCAAAAAGATTAATATTTTTTATAAGTTGAAAATATTTTTCAATGAAAAAATCTCATAAAAGATTGATTTATTAAACCTCTCTAGACGCATCATCAAAACTGAATGAAATGGCAGCATCCATGACCTCAAGGACCCTTGGCTACCACAGGAATTATCTAAAAGGTACATGCCCACTATTAAAGAAAACAACATTAAATACGTAGACACAATCGGATGATTCAAAACCCTCATCTGAAGCCATTGACAAAAAAATACACAGCAGTACTGTCAAAGCTAAGCGATACATAAGAACCTACGGCGGACCGTTACCTTGAATTCAAGTTTTCACTCGCAAACACATTTTTCCTAGATGCTGAAAAATTTATGGCACTTAATTTGGCGCTTGTTATTTTTGCAAAATTTATCGACACTCGAAAAATAAAGTTCTGAAAGATGAGCCAAAAGGAAAATTTTAGTGAGAAAAAGCTCGTTAAAATGAAAAACGCTAAATCACATCACAATTAAATGATCTTACATAAAATTAGGCCCATTCAATCACGACCAGAGGCAGACAATTCAGAATACACAGTAAAATACAGGGGCAGACTGCGGTCATGCAAGCAATGTCTGTCCCTACGCGTGATCAACCCTGCCATCATCCTCACCGATCCCATCACCAGCATGTCTGCATAACAATGATAATCAGAAAATTTAGAGCTTCGAATTCCTCCAGAACCAACAACCGAGATGGTGATAAAATCTAAAACCCAAAAAACTAACAAAAGAATAACATCAAAGATGAATAAAAACGAACCGCCAAGATGATGTTAGATTCCGAGCTTTTCTGTCCAATTGAAGATTTTCCAAAGCAGTTGAAGCTTGAATTACATCCTCAGGAAGTTCATCACTGTCATATCGCCAATTGTACTCATCCTTCCTATAAGCAGACATGGAGGATCCTCCTCTTCTATCTGAACGCTAAAGTGTAAATTTCGGGAAATTTCAAACATGCAAATAAAGGTAAAAGCCAACTACAAGAAATACCCACCAGATGCCTGAGATGAAGCCCTGCAACAAACATTTAAGAACATCAATTATCAATTAACAAAATAAGAATAAGGTGATAGTAGACCAACTTGTGGAGAAATAAGGTCAGCTATTCACCTTCCTAGTGGGGGTAAACCACCAGCAACAGATGAAGAAGAATGCCTTCGTGCATTCCGTGATTCTGAGTTTGGTAAAGGCTCAGTTTCTGATGTGGTAAACCTCCTACCACTAGCCCTGTTTTGAGATAAATTCTACAAAAGCATATTCACCATATAATTAATCAAAAGTCAGTACACATTTGCAACAGTTCCATTAACAAGAAATGGTCTACCAAAGGTTTGAAATCATTAACTTTTCACATTGCACATGACAATGGCCATTCTAAGCAAACACCTGCCTTCTTGTTTTTCTTTCTAAAAATTATAGTCATGTAGGTGCACATGCAGAGCTAAAATCAATCAAGGGTTTTTCAATCACCAAAAAAAATCACGCTATACCATATAGCTCATTTAATCCAGGTCTCGGCAGCCTTTATTTCATTCACGCAACATATACTCAAATTCTATAATTTCAAGGTCATTTTAAACAATTGTGAAGAATATCAAGACTTTAGCCTATACTTTCCTTTCCAAAATCTCCAAATATGAAGCTTCACGAGTCTCATTTTTCAATATTTCATTTCTAAAATTCTTAAATCATAATTAATCCAACCAAAAGACCCTGCAGCATTTCTACACAATTCCTATCACAATGAGATTTAAAACTAGCCAAGCTGAAGCACTACAATCAACAAAGGACACAAGAGCAAGGAGACTACTTCACAAGCCGTGTCATAAAATATGGCAACTGCTTCCCAGCATAAAAATCCCTCACGAGCACAATTAAGTGCAAAAACATCTAGAAAGATCAGGTGAAAAAGTGGCACAAATGAAAGAATAATATCATGAAGGCAAATAATTGAAAGAACCTCAAACTTCAAGAATCCTTCAAGAACATCCAAAAGCAGAGGACTGTCTCCGTTTCTGTTGAGATCATATCCATTTTTGGCACTAAAATCTTTCAACTCGGCCTTCCAAAAATCCTTTTCCTGCAACAAAGTGTATTACGCCAAAAGCATCACTACGGGAATTACCAGAAAGCAAAAGGCCGACAAATAATATGGAAAAATTTTAAAATATAAAAATTGATTACCAAATTACATTCTGGAAGATAAACTTTTAGCGTGTGATTGAGTTGTGCCCAGTCAAGGTATTCGCATATCATCGCCGTAAGGAGTCTACCTGCAAGCCAAAACCCAAACTTAATTAAAAAAACTTTAGCAATATAAGATTTACGAAATGCTACAAAACACAACCATCTGCATGAATCAGAATGCATGTCAGATCGGCGACATCAAGAGCAAAGGAACATCTAGTAATAACTAAATTCATGTAATTGAAGTTCATGTCACACATATTTAGGTTACATAGAAATAACAACACGCGAAGACAGAATCTAGGAATATAGAAACGCAAAAAGCAATAGAATATTGCAACATTGAAACAGCTAAGTGGCCCAACGTGATGACATAAATTAGAAAGGGACCTGAAGGAGAAGCGTGAAGCTGTTTAGCTCGATCGTTGCAGCTGCCAAGCAATGCAGGAGGTAAACCTTGTTCCTTCTCAATGACACGATCCTCCTCTTCGATAGCCTCAAATACACTGGCTCTGAGTTCAGCCTGACACAAAAATGGAACAAGAACCCTAAGTTGATTGGATCTAAGGTCCAAATTGGGAAAAAGAGAAACCCTAAAGAAAGGGAATGTACCCGGATCCTGGCAAGAACGCCTTTCTTCTCGAGAGTGCGTGTCACCAACGTCTTCAGGTCCATCATTTCCCTCGTGTAGTCGTCCATCTCTCGCTCTCTCGCAGTTACCAAACCAAACCACTGTTTCCTTCTTCCTCTTCTGTGTGTGCGTGCGCCAATGCAAGCAAATGTTCATAGCGTTACATTACATTCACTATGGGCCCTCTCCCTGCTTTCCTTCACGGCCCAAGCCCGCATGCCCATTGGACCAACCACAAAAAAAAAGATTCCGGCTTTGAACTTTTTTGGGTACAAATTTGCTATAATTTTATTGTTTTGGTTTTTGAATAAAAAAATACCAGGTCGTACAAAGACTTTGTTTAATTAAAAAAGAATAAGTAGAGTGTTGAATGGGATCCCAATGCCATTAGCACAATCGAACAATCTAAACATTGAAGTTAATATTAGTCTGCTTTAGGAAACAGCCCATTTTTCACTTTCAACGTGCAATTGCAGTTGGCTTAAAAAAAGCTGAAATCGAAGTATAGATTAAGTAAAGCATAAGAATATCATTGAAAAAATATTGATATTCCTTTTGTGTGAGATTAGATAAAGAAGTTTGTCGTAAAGCAAAGTTCTCCATGCAATAGGTTTATGACCCGGAATTTATTAAAAACGAAAACGAAAACAAAATCACCCTGAAGAATCAAATCCAAATAAGACTTTATTGTATTTATATGTGTATAAGAAATTTTGTGTTTGACTCTTCTTCTTCTTAGTTCTGAGTTGAAAGTGTAGTAAGTAAAAACACCGTATTTCTGATCCGAGAATGGCACCGGTGGATCCTCACTCATTCACAGACTCCACACACCCACCCACAACCCACATATCCCTAACTCTCTACTTCGATTTCTCAACCTCCACCATCGACGGTTCTGCACTCATCACTCTCCAAAATCCCCACACAGGCCCTTTCTTCTTGGACACGCGCTCTCTCACAATTCACTCCGTTCACGACCCTCAATCGAACAACACCCCACTCCCCTTCTCACTCTCCGACCCTCACCCCATCAAAGGCTCACAACTCTCCATCACCCTCTCAAACCACGCTTCATTCGTCGTCACCTACACCACCTCCCCTTCATCCTCCGCACTGCAATGGCTCCTCCCGCCCCAAACATTCAACAAGTCTCACCCTTTCGTCTACACTCAATGCCAAGCCATTCACGCACGCGCCGTTTTCCCCTGCCAGGACACCCCCGCCATCAGAATACGCTACTCCGCGCGCTTGAACATCCCCTCCCAGCTCTCCGCCGTCATGGCAGCGCGACACGTGGAGCGCCGTGCCCCCACGGAGGAGGAGGCGCGTGGGAACTCGGGGAGGGTGGTTGAAGAGTTTGTTATGGAGCAGCCGGTGCCGCCGTACCTGTTTGCTTTGGCGGTTGGAGAGCTTGGAAACAGAGAGGTGGGGCCCAGAACGAGGGTGTACGGTGAGGACGTGGCAGAAGTGTTGGAATCTGCTGCAAGAGAGTTTTCTGGGACAGAGGAGATGATAAGGGAAGGAGAGAGGCTGTTCGGAGCGTACGAGTGGGAGAGGTTTGACTTGTTGGTTTTGCCACCTAGTTTTCCATATGGTGGCATGGAGAATCCTAGGATGGTGTTTTTGACACCAACTGTTATTAAAGGAGACAACACTGGCGCACAGGTTGTTGCTCACGAGCTTGCTCACAGTTGGACTGGTAATTTGATCACAAACAAGACCAACGAACACTTCTGGTTGAATGAGGTAATCTTTTTTAGATTATTTATTGAACATGTGTTCTAAGACAAAATCTTTATTTGTAAGCAGAATTGTTCTTGACTGTGGTTTTAGGGGTTTACTACTTATGCGGAAAGGAGGATTGTGGAGGCTGTACAGGGAGAGAAAAGAGCCACTTTGAATATTGGAATTGGTTGGAGGGGTTTGAATGAGGAAATGGAGAGGTTCAAGGATAATCTGGAGTTCACCAAGCTAAAAAATAATCAGGAAGAGATCGACCCTGATACTGTGTATTCTGAGGTTCCCTATGAAAAAGGTTTCCAGTTCTTATGGCGCATTGAAAGACAGGTGTCTCGAGTTGTTTCAGTACTTGTTGATTGGAATTAGGTACTTTCTTTTTTTATTTATTTGTTGATTTATGTTATGATTTGTATAGGTTGGGAGGCCTGCGTTTGATGAGTTTTTAAAGAAATATATTGCTACCTTCAAGTTTAAATCAATCGATACTGAAACATTCATTGACTTCCTTAAAGCCAACATCCCTGGCATAGAGAACCAGATTGACTTAGTACTGTGGACTGAAGGTACTGGCATCCCTTCAGATGCTTATGAACCTGACTCCACCGTATATAAAACGATCGTATCGCTGGCAAATGAGGCCGTAAATGGGAGGATGCCGAGGGAGGATGAAGTTGCTGGTTGGCAAGGTCAGGAGTGGGAGCTCTACTTGGACAACTTGCCAAAATCCATTGAAACGTCTCAGGTTATACTGTTCTCAATTTCCTAGTCCCCTTTTCTCCTTTCTTTCATACTTGATTGGGAATGAAAATTTGTCTGCTCTTGCTTTCACCTGATATTAGTGTTGGATCATTCATATGACGTGTCATTTCCCAGCTGTTTTCAGGTGTTGAGAATTGATGGTATTTTGAAGAGACATATTCATCTGCTTGATGTGGGAATGCTTAGAGTATCTAAATAAGTTGCTTTATCAATTGTATAGTAAATGAAATGCTTCATGGATGGATAGAAGTGATTTATAGCCAGGAAAACATATATATGGAAGTTATTAGACAACCTCTGATTTAGGTCCTATATAACTTAGCTAGTTTCTCTGTACATTTCAATTGGATTTGGTAGGGGAGCCACAGGCTTTTTTCTGCTAAAATTCAAGCTCCTTTTAACCCTTATGTTGTATGAGAAAGACAAGTTCTCTTTTCTGGTGGGAGAATGGCAATCCATATGTCAATATTAGTTGATACATGCGCCATACTATTGCCTGTTTAGTGTTTGTTCCATCTTAAAACACTTCAAAAAAATAAAAAAATAAGAACTAACATAATGCTAAGTGGCAGATTGGCAGTTATGTTTTAACATGCATAATAAATGTCATGCAGATCATAGCCTTGGATTCGCGCTATAAGCTATCCGAATCAAAAGATTACGAGGTGAAGGTCTCATTTCTCCATAGGGCTATTTCATGTGGATGCAAAGCTTACCATAACGAAGTGGAGAAAACTTTAAAAGGTGTTGGGAGGATGAAGTATCTTCGTCCACTTTATACTTCGCTTGTGAACAGTAGTGGAAATGAAGATGATAAAGTATTTGCCAAAAGACTTTATTCAGAGGCTCGTGAGTGTTACCATCCAATAGCTCAAGGTGTTGTTGAGGCCATATTTGCCAAGCATCTGTAGAAGGAATATTTCTCAGAATGTTTAATGTATTTGAACGCTCACAAATTAATCTGTTTTCTGTTGTCTGAGTGTACTACTTTGCAATAAAATATATGATATGTTTTTTATTCTGACACCTTCATGGCTGCTGCATCAAATTCTTTCACTACAGCTTGCTCAGACTCAGACATTTGTTTGTGTTTGGGCAGTTTTCATTATATTAAGTTTGTCTTTGGGTGGAGATTCCTAATTACATTTCTGCAATCACTTCTTTAAAATATATCATGATCAGAAATTTATGGTATGAACTTTTTGTGCGATAGAATTTATTAAATAAATATTTAATTAAGCAACTACTGAAATACACAAATAATATAATAAAATGCAGTAAAGTCCTTTAATAAAAATATCTTACTTTTAGAATAAAATATTTAAACTGCTTTTCCTTCTATCCACAAAAAGTATAGAAGTTCTAAAACAATCCACGTCACACACCCTCTAAGGAAAATTACAAAACCATTTACGCTCAATGGTTATGAACCTTGGAGAGTTTTACGATTTATTTTTAAAAGCAAAAATTTATATACTTATTAAGCTTAAATATGATTTAAATTTTCACATTGTAGTGAATATTTGGCTTAAGTCTATTCACATGAAAATTTTCCTTTCTACTAAAATATTACCATTGAATAACATCAGTTTAAAAATTAAAAAATAACAATTAAGAAAAATATAAGAACTATTTAAAAAAAAGTTATTTGGAGAAGCTAATAACATGTTTGAGTCTTCTTATTAATAACTAATAATATCGTGCTTTTAGTTCCAAAGTTTAACGGTATGCTATTTGTTTTAAAAGAAAAAATATTATATTTAATTACATCCTCTTTTTTATATCTTAATAATCTTCCTCTTGGTGTAAAATAAATATTAAATAAAAATGTAAACAATTATCTTTAAAATATTTAACATTTTTATTTAATAATTAAAAAATTATAAATAAAAGATGAAAAATTTTAAAATAATACTTTAAAAATAATCTCACATTTTCTAATAATACACACATTTCAATAAGAATATATTTCAATTTAATTTAAGCACATTTCTCAGTCCACAACAGCTTAAAAAAATATTTTTTTTTTACAATAAACCTACTCAACTTAAAATCAAACAAACAAAATTTGGTTGGCGAATATACAGCATTGGTTACGTTGAATTTGAACTATATAGATGCTTCAAGAATGAGGAATGCCAAATAACCAACAGCAAATATCATTAAAAATTGTAAATTTCAAATCAAGACCAACTGAGCTTTGTTCTTGTTGCTTTATGAAGTCACCGGAAAAAAGAAACGAACTATACAAGTGTGTTGTTTCATCACAGAAAGAACTCCATTCTCCGACTCCTTTATTAAAGGAGACCAAATACAGTTCTAACTTGTAACTGAATTTGCGAACCAATTTGAAGAGGACCACACTTGAGTTGATTATATAGATATCTTTGGTCTCTTTTCAAAAGAAGATCCCACGCAACGCAGAAGGCGGAAAGAATAATCTATAAAACCTGCATATACATAACGGCGGAACATATAAAGCTAAACTACATACATCCTCTGAAAAATTCCCAACCAAAGTAGAGTATATAATAGAAGGGGAGAGAACTAAATAATCTATGTAACCGAGAACAATACGGTTCTCTGCTGACACAATAGCCTTCACAAAAAGATCCTGTATGACTGGGCAGCTGACATAATTCCTTTGTCAATAAACTGCTTAAACCTGTAAAGAAATCAGCATACTGTGCGCCCATAGCACAAATAGGCAAGATAAAGGTTTTTGGACCATTTTTCCTGAACACAAAAACGAAAAATAAGAGAACCAGTCTTGCTATTTATCTTACAAAATCAATTAGTCATTCAACTTTCCTTACCTTAATATGCATACTGGGAAATTGAGATGTACGTACAGTTTCCTGAGTTTCATCGACAGGCTGGCGTCTCATAATACTTAATATAAGTGCAGATTGATCCCATGTAGCTGCAGTTGCAGTAATCCTATAACCATTATCCCAACGTCTATGGATACCCTCACTTGGATAGAGAAAATCAAGCTCAACCACCTACATTCAAAAGGTTAATAGTGAGAGAGCAGGAAGTCAATCTAGTGGCCAGAGATATATCCACCTTTGTAAAACATAATATAGAGAGGCAGCAAATCACATACTCAAAAAATGAAAATAAACTGTGATCCACTTATGCCAATGTCACATAATAGAGAACAAATAAAAAGTAAACCTGGTCACTGAATCCAGCATTGCGAGACATGACAACACCCCAGCGACTTCCAGCAGTAGCCATTGAGGTGACATAAAAACCTTCTCTCCACTTCTTGTTTATCCATTTGAAGGGGAAAGACTCACTTACTTTGTATGATTGTTGAGTATACTGCGTACCTGCAGAAATTAAATCATGAATGACAACAAAATCAGAGGTAACGGCCGCAGAATAATTTTTTTTAGATGTCCTCAGAAATTAAATCATGAATGAAAACAAATCAGAGGTAACGGCTGCAGAATAATTTTTTTTTAGATGTCCTCAGAAATCAATGCATTCAACAAACGCACTAAACAGAAATCAGATAAGAAAATAGGCATGGGCACAATTAATATCAAACATAAAGTATTAGTGTACATTAATTTTGCCATGCCCAACAACACTACTATCATTAGAGCATTTCTATGGAAACCATTTCAGATACATGTAAGACTCAAGATGGCTGAATAACCTAAACAACAACAACAATCAACCCTTATTCCACTAAGTGAAGTCAACTACATGAATCACACAACACCATCAAGGTTAGCTTAAGTATATGTATTAAAAGCACAAGCAACCATCAAAACTTGTTTATCTCCAAGAGTGAAAACAATAGAAGACAAGGAATACAACAACTGAAAAACTCTTCCATGATATTTGACAACACAATTCATCAACCATGAAAAATAATAAAACCAAATCACTGCAGCAAAAGGTAACTTTCTTAGGAATCAAACCTTTTGACATCACCACAAGAGAGCTGCCATTATCAGCCCCTCCAATAGAAGTAATGTAGTAGTTTTTATCCCACTGCTCCATGATCCATTCCTACAAAGAAACAGAGTTGCATGGATAAGTTTAATCACATGAAATTAGATTAAAAAACTGCAAGACATACAGCATATTCCACCTTGTTTAAGAAAAAAGGTGACAACTTGTAAACTTGAGATGTAAAACCAGTTCCAGCATCCATAATAAGGGCCCAAAGATTGGAACAAGAAGACACACAACTAATAAGAAGGCCATCAGCAATTCCTCTCTCAATATGTTGTGCTAATCTTGTATCAGCTACGTTGTAGTGATATCTAAAAGGCAACCAATTTAAAAGTTACATGCAACACATGAACATGAACATAACATACTCAAATTTATCAGTAATATTTGTTAGCTGGATCAAAGGAAACTGCTAAAAAGAGTGAACTACAGTGTTCTACCTTTGCTTCATTGGTAATCTTGCATTGTAAACTGAAATCCATTGTGTAGCAGGAACCCCTAACCGAACCTTCTTTCTGGGTTGTGAATCATCTTCCTCCTTAATATTCAATCTACCCCGCTTTTGCCCAACCTGCAAAACTTTGGTTTTCAGTAGACATTCACTTAAGATTAATCCAACAAGAAAAGGGAAATAAAAAAATATGCCAGAAATATGAGACCTCTAAATAAACATACTTTAGTAGTTTAGTGATTACCTTTTGAGCACCGTCAGTATTGATTGGCCGCAATGCTGGATTGGGTCCAATAATACCATCAAACAAAGATATTAGCTTGGAATAGTTAGGCTCTTCATCAAATTTCATATTCACCACAATCTCAAGAAATTGCTTAAAAGGAAGAGGGCAAAAGCAGCACAGCATCTCAGGAGATGTTACCATCTTCTTTTGGCAAACAAGGAAGGATTTGGTATCGCCCTAATAGACAAGGTAATATAAGATTAAAATAAAATATTTAAAAGAATGCAATTTTGCACAGTAAAGCACTCAGCAACCTAATAAAATAAATGCATATACCTGATAACCTTGCCATGGTAATCCCCCCTTCTGAAGGAAGATGAGTGTGTATGCAAGAGATTCAAGATCATCCCTTCTACTAGCAGTTCTCCCCAGATGAGCATGAACACTAGCATATCGAACTGTACCTCTATATAAAAATGAAAAAAAAAGAAAAGATAAGGCTCAAATTTATAAGCATATACAAGAACAAATGCCATTAATTTTAATTTCAAAAAAGGAAAGGACTCCCAGAGAAGAAAAAAAATGAAAACCTAAACATATCAGGTCGTTGATCATATTCAACATGCTGTCCGCTGGAGGAGTCTTTCCATTTTGTTGCTGAGAAACATTAGCATATATTAAAAATGGATTAACAAGAAAGAATCATCAAATACACATAAAACTTTGAATTGCATCAACCAACCTAATCCAAGGTCAACAAGAAACAATTTCTTCTCTTGTGCTGTAGCTGGCTGACCTAGTAAAAAGTTCTCTGGTTTTACATCTCCATGTACATATCTAAAATGAACAAGGGGAACAAAAATATCATATTTATTGTTTGGAATTCAAAACAACTAAAATTCATAAAATAGGAGGATGAAAGAATGTTTCAAACAAATATGATTGACTAGTAACATACCCTCTTGAATGCATCTTCTCGAGTATTGATAAGGACTCAACAGCTATACATGAGACAATTTCAGCAGACATCCTAAACATTTATCAATAAAAAAGTAAATGCAATCAGTCAAGAAAACCAAAGTTATTGTAACAACTGTAACATGATCAATCGCATATATTCAACCTAAGGGAGTGTTCAAGGCAAATGAAAAACAATTCAAATAAGAGGCACAAGGAAAACAAAAGAAAAGGGTTGGCAAGAGTGGTGGAAGTTGATAGCACAGTATTCATGCATATGGCGAGTCAAACCATAAGAATTGTTTACACAAGTAGTTATTTATATTAAAAATGGAAATTAAGCTGAACATGTATGCCAAAAAGAATTCAGTACCACAGAACATATACATCTATTTGTCAGTCAAACTTGGTTTTTCATTTCTTTATTTTTTTACTTAACTATGTACTCAGGAAGAAAAATGAATTTATAATAACTTACCTTGTCTCAACGTGAACATCATAAAAATAAAGCCCAGAAACAAATAAAATCAATACATAACAGCCCTAGTTTTAATACACAAAGCAGAAAACCATATATATATATAGGTATGCTTATACTCACGTCTGGCTTGAGGAATTCCAGACATCCCACAAACTTGGACCAAGCATGTCCATAACCTGCATGTAAAAGGAAATGGCTGAACTGTTATGTCGGCAACATGATGGTGCAACAGTTGTTGTGTAGAATAGTTCATACCATTACATAATATTCTCCTTGTCTTCCTTTATAGTGTACTTTAGGTATTCCGTGACTGCCACCAAGGGTGCTTTTGACATAACATAGAAGTCAGACCATAGTTATATTTAATTGATTACAAAATATGGTGAATAAATCGAGTACATTGCAAAAGACCTACTTGTATACTTGCCACTCATAAGGAGGACCATATTTACAGCCCCTACTGTTTCTATGTTCAAATTTTAGAGCCACCTGAGATAGACACATACAAACCAACAAAAAGCCAAATCAGTCCCAGAAGTATCAAAGCTTTGACATAAAAAGCCCAGATGCAATAAGAGAAACTTACCTCCGTAGCTCCAGGACCCGTAGCACGTTCACGACGGCCAACAAAAACCTGACCAAATCCACCTTTACCCAGTTTCCTCTCTACCTTGTACATAGGCGATCCTCCTACTTGAACCTTCGGCATTGATAACAAATTCAAATATCAAAATTCATTAAAATAAACAATTCAATGAATAGTCGACGACAATATAACAACAACTGCAAATACATCAATCCTGACAACCACTAATACCCTAAAATCTATAAAAGGACTGATTCATTAGACATTAACAAATTGAGGACTGAATTGTAAATTATCATCAAATTGCACATTTGCTGAAACAAAAAGAGGAAGTAAGAAGTACGTACCCTATCGGGAAAAGGTGAAGTGTTGGCATCATCCTCAGCCTTATTAGCATTCACCCCACCATTTTCATCACCCATGACGCCTACACGTTCTTCCTTCTTCTCTTCCGATATCACGATCAACGGCTTCCCAGGCTCCTCCAATTTCTTCGCCGTCAATCTAGTCCTCGGTCTTCCCTTCGCCACCGCCGCTGCTGCCGCACGAGTCTTCACGTCCTTCTTCGCCGGTTCCGACTCTTTCTGGACACGGCCACGTCGCATTCCACTACGAAGCTCCGGCATTCTCTAAAACCCATGCAATCGATTCGTTGTTCCAATAACCTCGTTCGTCATATGCCCTACCAGCGCACCCTGACCCGGTTCGTGGTTGAAATTGCCAACTTTTCAGAAGAATGAACCTTGAAGACCAAAACGACAGTGGAATTTTGTCGAAACTGATACAATGGGATTGGGGTTTAAATTGAAAACTTATGATTAGGGTTAGGGTTTGATGGCTGAGCAGAGTCGATTAACAGATTAAAGAAGAAAATGAATGTTGAAGACGAGAAGAGGTCCGAGATGGCCATGAAACTTATTTTACCGTTTTATTTTGTGGGAAAAGTAAATATATTAGGAAATTTACCCTTAATACGTGAAATTGAGAATTTTTAAACTTAATTTTTTAAAATTTCTTTAAAAATAAGATATTTCTTTCACTATACAAGCTTATAAAATACGTAATAATTTATTTCTTTATTGTTTATTTACAATTTATTAATAATACTATTAAATTTATATTTATTTTCTTTATTAAATGTCTTAATAAATAAATTATTACAATTTATATAAAAATATAATATTTATTAATTAGTATTTTATAAATTCACTTTAAATCGATATAGTTATCACAAAATTTAAAACATTTTAAATTAAACTAACAAAATTTATGTATTCTAATATTTGAAAGGTTTAATGTATCAATTTTTATTAAGTTCGTTCAAATTTATTCACAATCTAATTAATTTTTTACATTTTTAAATAGCATTACATCAATCATTTCAAGCGGTATTTATTTTTATATATTAAATTTAAATTTTTGACTCACAGTATAATCTCTCTTTTCATGAAATTGTGTTAATTACTTTTGAGTCACAGTCCAGTCTCTCTTCTCCATGTAGTCCACATTATAAATGTTAAATAGTATTATATTAATAATTTGCAAAGCTGCATGTACGTGAACACCTAGTTAAATAGTATTATACATTTATAAATTAATTTAAAATTATTTATAAACTATTATACATGTAAAAAATTATTTAAATTTTTTTATACCGTGTAGACATTAAATTAAATTTTGCAATTAATATAAATTTTAATATCAATAAATGTTAACCATAATAGTAAGATAACACTATGGTATCACATCCAAGTATTATAATTTTTTTAATGTATTTAAATATAATTTATAATTTTTTATTAATTTTATCTCCTAATTTATAAAATACAATGTATATTATTATGCTAAATTGTAGATACTTTTTTATTGGAAAGAAAGTTCATCAATCCAAAAACCATATAACCAAACTATCTTCTCGAACTATTTAACATAACAGTATTTTATTATATTAAAATATTTTTAATATACATATGATGAATTTTTTCATTTTATGTGTTTTTTAATGAGTCATATTTTTTTGTTGCTATTTTTATTGATAATAGACATTTTATTATATTAATTTAAAAATCAAAATAAGAATTCAATTAAAAATTATAGAAATTGAAAATAAATTCTATCACACGTGTTTTTAAATAATTAAAAAACGTAAGAAATTTTTTGTAAGACTAAAATAAAATATACAAAATTTTAGATGTCTTATTTTTTGTTTTCCAACGTGATTATGTTCAAGTTAGTATGAGACTTTGCAAATAAAATATAAGCATGGCATGGTGACACTTACAACACAACATGCTCAAATTAGTATAAATGTGAAAATAAACTCTAAACCCTAAACGATTTATAACGTAACACTGCTTATGTTTAAAATATAAATATTTCTAAACTCCATATAAAAAAGCCCATGACTCAAAATTATAAAATATTGAACTTTCATTTGTTTTACTTTTTTTTTTTGTTTTGCTGAAGGTTTTACTATATTTTTTCAATCTATTTGTTCAACATCTTCGTATTTTTACACATTTATTTTTAAAATAATGAATATATTCTTTATGATAAATTTATTTTAAAATTCAAAAACTTTTAAAAATATTAGCCTTAATATTTAAGATTGAATTCAAGCATCTTTAACACTGTAATTTAATTAAAAAACTTAACATTTACTTTTTTAACTTCAATAAGAAATATATTTTAATAAAAAATTATTATTTAAATACTTAAGTTTTGTTGTAAAGTTTGAAGTTAACGAAATCTTCTTATTTAAAATAAAATTAAATATTAAAGATTTATTAGACAGATAAGATAATATAACAAATGAGAAAATGTAGAAATTGAATAGCAACATAATTTGAAAATGGAAAATAATTTTTTACATTATCTAACAATTTTTTAATCGAGTATATTATCTTACATTTAATGTATTTTCAAATAATAAATTAAATAGTATTATATGAATCCATTCTAAAAGGTAAATTTTAGAATAAGAATGAATATAATACAGTTATAAAATAGATTTTAAATTTTTGATGTATCCTCAACAAAATATTTTAAAAATGTTAAATATACTCAATGAAATATTAAAATGATCATAAAAAATGTTGTTTATAATTTTAAAATATTTATTTCTAATAAAAACTTTATATTTTTAAACTCGTCCTTTAAACACATATCAGATCATATTAATATTAATTAATTAAATAAAATAACATAACATATTTGCTTTTATTGTCCGTTGAATAGGATCTGAATGTGAGTTTCTTCTCTTAGCGTTAATGAAGAAGATTTTCAAGAATTATTTTCTGTTTCGTTAATTACGTGGCGAGCGTTTCACATAAGATTTCCGCAAAATGGCAGAAAAGATTGGGAGTGAAGGTTATTTCATTGATTTTCAAGAATTCTATAAACAAGCAATGATAATGAAAATTTCATACAGAATTAAATATTCAGTCATAATCACCCTCCGGTATCCTCGACAAATAGGCAAGTTAAGGAGGACAAAATCGTCTTTTAACACGTGCGCATGAATTTATTAGGGTTAATTTTTCTTCTTCACCGTTCATTCATTGGCACCTCCCAATCTTTATAAATAAGAGTGCCTTTATTCCCTTTAAAGCTTCTTCCTTATTGTCATATCATTTGCATGACGACGAGGTGACGATACATTGATACTCCATTCTCTGTTACTGTGGGTAATAAACCTTTACACATTATAAATATTATATTATTTTATTTTGGCTTATTATTCTTTTATATCGTATATATATACATATATAAACAAAAACTGTTGTTTGACATTTCTGCTTCTCTGCCTCTGGATTTGCATCTTTTTATGTAAGTAAGCGTTATTTACATTTACTCTCTTAATTTTTTTAATGAATATAATGCCAAGCTAGCTGCACAAACAAATAAAGAAACGAAGAGGTCACACTTTTATACACCCAATTATTTATTTTCGTTTTCTTTATTCTGTCAGCGAGGGGAAATTTGGGCAAGAAATCAGATTTGAATTTTCTAAGGAGAAAAAGGTGAAGTTTTTGGTATTTGGTAATGGATTGGGATGACAATTGACACCAACCCTACGGAAACTTTTTAACCCTGAAACAGTGTCAGATTATAGAGAAAGATGAATAAAGCAAATACGTATTTATGTAAAGATGGTTTTGGACCCGTAAAGACAGATATCGTCCTGTCCTACAAATGTCAGGGTTCAGTTATAGCCTACATAGGTCTGTGAACAGTGCCTGGGATTGGGGAAAGACTAGAAAGGGACTTTGTAACGCGTCTTTATTACCAAAGCTTAAAAAGGGTTTCTTCGGGTTAGTCACTGTTTGTTTCGAAGGCCAGAGCCCTGAGCTTTGATGGGTTCTTGCTGTTACATCCTCGGTAATCTGGAGGAATTCATGGCTCTGTCACAGCTTTTGTGTCCCATTGCCTTTTCTTGGGCTTTGTATTTTTCTTCTTACTGCGAGTTATTTCACCACCCCTGGAAGCTTGTGTATCATCCTATCAGGGTCGTGGGTTGTTTCAGTCCTGAACCTGCTCTGCATGGTGATTTTATTGGTTTCTCTTTCTTTCTGTTTTTTCTTTTTTTCATGGGACAGTTTCACTCTTCTTATCCAGTGAACTTGTCTGTTTCTTTTCGATTTTTGTCTCTTTTCTTTTATTTGTTGTCTGCATGTAGATGGCCATTTCATTGCTCATTACTGTTTTTTTTTTCTTCCCTTTTCACATCTGTGAATGTGGGTGATTTTCAACTTCATGTCTTTGGTGTTTTTCCTTTCCCTTTGCCTCTTTCAATTTCCATTCCCCTGTGATACCAAACGTTGAGGCTGTTGTGTTGTTTATGGTGGGGCAGGAAAATAACTGACGCTTGAAATTCCCAAGTTGTTAATGGCATCGACATCTTCCGTCGGGAGGAGCTCATTACCCATGAAAGATGCAGCTTCGAGTTATTGTGCATATCCTCCTCCTTTAGCAAAATACGAGGAGGTTGCAGAGAATTCCAAGATCTTCATGTTTACTTTGGAGAGGCTTCACACTTGTATGGGTACCAAGTTCATGTAAGCTCCCCGTAAATCATTTGTCTGTCATCTTTTTATGTATTTATTTTTATTATTCGCCTTTAAAGTGTTATAGGGGTCAAAACTTCAAAGCCTCTACGAACTTTAAGAGGGGATGATGGGTTGACTTGAAAATGCGTTGGGGCAAACTACTAGAGCTCTTGTGCCTTGGTTTCTTTCTGGAGATATATAACATACAAGCTTGTCATGTCAAATTCCTGACATCATGGGCTTTAGTTCTCTGTATCTGTTTTGTGATTGATGCTCTGATGCCTATCTACGGTTCTACCTCTGATGTTAGCCCGAGCCTTTGGTTTTGCGGCGCCAATAGATTTAAAATAATCCTGATGTTACAATGTCTGCAAAAGTTCCATGTTTGCTGTGTTTTGACAGATTTGTGGATCTATATGGTTTTCTGCTTGGTGGACACCATTCATTGTGAACAAAAGCATAACCCCCCCCCCCCCCCCCGGCGAAAAAAAAACAAAAAACACACACACTCCATTTTTATTTACTTTTTGTGGCTTTTGAAATTTTGTTGCAGGATTCCCATTGTTGGTGGAAGAGATCTGGATTTGCATCGCCTCTTTGTTGAAGTGACTTCCCGAGGTGGGATTGCGAAGGTAAGACATGATTATAAATATCTTTATGGATGGTCTGCTTTTTCATGCTTTGAAATTGCTGTGAATGTCTAACTAATGCTTGTGATTGGATGACTGGAATAAAACATTTTTTTCCGGTTAATCAAACATCCCTAGCCATTGATTACTTTTATGTTGGTGGCCAGTGAGATCCTTTCTTCAGGAAGTGAAAAAAATTATAGCTGTTTAACATGCAACGCTGACTCATGCTTGTAATCAAATCATGGCTGATGTTAATTGTTCAAGCTTGGTAAGTGGTAACAAAAACAGACACTTATTTAGTCAGAGGACAAAAAAGGATTGTTGAAGAACATAAGTTTGTACGAGAACCTAATTTATTGTTGAAGAAGCACTATAATTTTTTTTATAGCTGACCCTAATCGATTGTGTTTATCATTTTAAAAAATAAAGTCAGTTAGAGGTTAAGGAAAACTTGGGGTGGGATGGGGTGGGGAGTTGGAGACATTTCTATTAGACAGATCACAAGCAGTTGAATTTGTATTAAACCAATTAATATTTTCTGGTAATTGTTGTCATTATACTGAACTGTGTAACTTCAAATAACAAATGGTGTTTGTACTACAAAGGCATGGGAAGTAATCCAATATGCACTGAAGTTGGCTGAAACATTTATGTTTTAGGATGTGATATGGAAGTGTGCCAATTTCCCTTTTTCATTATGTTGATGTCTATCAATGGTGATGCAACTTTTTTTAAACTTGGTTGATATTTCATTGTCTTCATTGGTTGTGAAAAGCGTTCAGTTGTAGCATACGAGGAATTTTATTTTTAAACATGCGTGTCTCAATAGATTTCTATTGCAATATCATTGTATAGTATGTGTGTATATATTGGTTTCCTTGAAATGTTTTCTTCAAGATTGTGATAATGTAAAGTTAGTTGATGTATTTTGGGATCTTTTGTCCTCCATACATTTCAAGGAAATATTGTGTTTTTGTAAATTGCAATTGATGCAAAATCTTACCCTTAATGCAAAGATGCTTGCGTTTTGCAAGATATCCTGGTATAAAAAAATGAAAATTTTCAGATTTCTTTTGAATCACAACCTTTTGTTTTGTTTGCAGTGCTGATATTTATATTATATGGTTAACTTGCCACGCAGATAATTAGAGAAAGGAAATGGAAAGATGTAACTTCAGTCTTCAATTTTCCATCAACAGCTACAAATGCTTCTTTTGTGTTGCGGAAGTACTATGCTTCGTTGCTCTATCATTATGAACAAATCTACTATTTTAAAGCCCGTGAATGGAACCCTGCTGCTCTTGGTATTTTAATTTAAACCACATTGCTGGTTTGAACTAATGGTTGGGACTTGGGGGCCTATACTAATGTATGAAATGTCCATTTCACTTGGACAGATGTTTGGCATAATCAATCAACCATGCCAGTTCCTCCTCCAAGGATGCAGCAGTTTCTGCAGCGTCCATCAGAAATTCAACCGGCTGTCTTTCAACAGTCAAATGTTAATGCTGCTTTGCCTGAAGGTCTTTGCTCCTTTCTTTTTTTTTTTTGCTAGTGCAAAATAAGATTAATTGCTAATCCCACTTTACAAAGAAAAACAAAATAAAGGGAGTTATTATTGGTCACGAGAATTTTTAAGTCTCTGCTTCTAATACTCCTTTAGGCTATGTTTGGATTGATGGAAAGGGATGGAATGGAGGAGAATGGAATTTAATGACATTAGTTGCCATGTTTGGATTGCTTAGAGTAAGATAGAATGGAATTAACCTGATGGAATCTATTCTGTCTCGTATCTATTTTTCTTTCCCCCGAGAAGATAGAACAATTCTAATTCTAATAAAGTTATAATTCATACCATTTTGTTTACTTTTAAAAACAGTAGGATGGAAACTTTATGATGTTCTTCCACAGTACCAAAACAATGCGAAAGTAATTTTATTCCATTCAATTACTTACACATAGCCCCTCTTTCGTTAAAAAAGTAACATTTAACTTAGTCATTCATATTTGAGGGTAGATGATGAGAAGGTGGTGTAAGTTCATAAAGTGCCTAAAATTTATCGAATGTGCAGCCACAGTATGGTTAACCAGGTGTTGGTCTAGTATTATCTTCCTTTCAGCTTTTATGTTCCATGACTTAATGGAGATGAGCACTGTATCAATGATCTTTTAAATCTGTTAGTTATATTTTACAGTTACCTGAATCACCAATTTTTATTTATAAGGAATTATTCATATTCTGTGCATGCTGGAAATTTGGTTTTTTCTTTACCTATTTTCTCATCTGAAGGAAATTGTTTTATGTGTTCTGTGATATAGCGGGCTTGCATTTAACTGCTGGGGCTTGAAATAAATTTTGCTGTAATGTTAATTTGCACAAAAGATCATTTACAAAATTCCCTGTTAACCATTTTATCATTTCTGGAAGACTAGATGTTCTCGTGACTGTTTGATTATTGAATAAGTAGTTCTGTTTATTATCTGGTCTCAGCAACGGTACCATCTCCGGCAGGGTCTCCAGTCATGGGGGTCATTGATGGGAAATTCGAGAGTGGGTATCTAGTTACTGTTACAATAGGTTCGGAGAAACTTAAAGGCGTACTTTATCAAGCTCCACAAAACCATGTATTTCCAACATCAAATCAGAGTCTCTCAGTTATTAACAACAGTGCCTCTGCTTCATTGGGTGTGCATAGAAGGCGACGCAGGAAGAAATCAGAAATAAAAAGGAGAGATCCTGCTCATCCTAAACCCAACCGAAGTGGGTACAATTTCTTCTTTGCTGAACAGCATGCGAGACTAAAACCACTTCACCAGGGAAAAGATAGAGAGATTAGCAGGATGATTGGCGAATTGTGGAACAAATTAACAGAGCCGGAAAAGGCGGTAAGGAATTGGTTTAATGTTGTCTTATATGGTGCATAAGCTTCGCCACATATACATCTCTGGGTATATTATGTTAATGTGTTGTGCTTGACCTATCGTCAGGTTTATCAAGAGAAGGCCGTGAAGGATAAAGAAAGGTACAGGGCAGAAATGGAGGATTATCGGGAGAAACAGAAGATGGGCCAAGTTATCAGTGATGCTGTGCCTCTCCAACAACGGCTTCCCGATCCAGATTCAGACATGTTGGATGCTGACATGAAACTGGATGAAGCTGGAGAAGATTCTGCTCAAACTCCGGAGGAGAGCAGTTCTGGTGGAAGTGACTATGAAGATTGTAAAGCTCCGGAGAAAGATTTTGATATGGGTGCATTTCCAGCTATAGGAGAAGGTGCTGAATCAAGCTGTTTGGGTTCAGGAGAGAAGTCATCAAAGGGGGATTTATGAGGCTTTTACAGAGCTTGTGTGGAGTGAGAGAGAGGTTAACTGGCATTTATTTTTAGCACAGAAAAGTAGCTATTCAGAAGTTGAGTTGCAGTGGAGATTTTAGGTAGGATGAGTAGCAGTGGACTCTGTAAAGTCCGCTCTACCTGTGTTAAGTTGACCGTGTGACCATAGAATAAAATACTGTCATTCAATTTCACCGTTCATATTATGTTTGGTTACTGATTATTGGATGGAAAATGAATTTTGCTGGTGTTAGGTATCAGGCGAAGAAGGGAGTAATCCACAGCCTTAACTTTTTATTTAGTATTCATGCATAATTAGATGGGCAAAGAGACAATATTACATGTAATGTTGATATCATTCAATCAATCTCAGAGTAAATCTTCACATTAGTTCTCAATTAAAATTTAAAATTTGAAATTTTAATATCTAAAATTAATAATTATTAATTATATTAGTCTCTAATATTAAGTGATGTTAAAATTAAATAATGAAGTTAATAATTTGTCACATTAAATTTTTTTTAAAATAATTTATTATTGTTCTTGACTTTTAATTTTCTCAAGTAACAAGTCTTTTATCATCTTTTATCTTGTTTTATTTTACAATCTCAACTTTATGCCACTATTAAAGAGTAGTTAAATTATAAACACGGTAAGCACTTATATTTTTACGGTTATAAAGATATATTTATTCTTGGTTTAAGTTAATATGTTTCATAAATATGGTATATTTTAAATTAAGAATAGATATATTTTTATTTTAAAGGGACCAGATTTTTCATATAATTGGACCGTGAATGGAGCGGTATGATGTATTTAATTAAAAGCATCTTTGGTTATTTTTTTCAAGGGTTGTGTTTAGTTGGAAATTAATTTTGAAAAAAGATTTTTTTAATAATAGAAGTGATTAATTTTTAAATAAGTTGAATTAAGGATACTTTAAAACTTCTTAAATTAAAATTATCGATAAATCAATGTAGCAAATTAATTATAAAGGAATTGAACTTTAAAATATAATAAAATCATGAAAACGAAACTTATTATATTTTTATAATTTTAATATAATAAATATGTACTTTTTTATTTATAAAAGTTTAAACAAAACACTAAAAATTGAAGTTAACAAAATTTTATTTAATTTTTATATTCCAATCAAATTAAATGTGTACAAAAGATGAGGCAGGGACTTTTGCTTCAGATAATTACGGATTGCATTACATACATAAAAAATAGAGCAAAATCTCTACGGATTAGGGATTGAGAGAGAGAAGAGTACGTGGAGAGCATGTGACCTATCGATTCGGTTCTCTCTCTTCCTTCGTAGCATTAGCGAATTGGAAGTGACATCGAAGTCCAGTTGCATTTGGTGGTGGCTTATGGCGTCTGCTATTCTTCAATGGCTTCCTCCAATTCCCATTGCAAACCGACGTTAGTTTTTCATCTTCTTCTTTCTTACGCTTTCAATTGATCTAATTCATTACTTCTGTTGTTGCAGGAAAGACGCACATCGTTAAATCAAATCACCAAAACAAAAGCTCTGCTCCTTCTCACACCGACCACTCCTTAAAGGTGAAACAAATTAACAAACATTTTTAATTGAATACAAAATGTGAATGAATGCTGAGTGAAAGGTCTTTGTTCATTATTTGGTGAAGGAGGAGCTCCGAGTAACTATTTCGAGGCGTCATTGTCTCACGTGTCTGTGTTCAACTGTGGTTTTGATTGGTAGTGATTATGGAAGACCTGTTTTTGTACCAAAGGCAAATGCTGTGGATGGCATGGAAAAGCCCGTTTGCAGAAACTGTGGTGGAAGTGGTGCCGTCCTTTGTAAGTCGTTCATGCGACTTCTCTTTTTGGATTTTAAGGGAAGATAACTATTAAACTGCTTCTATTTTTTACTACTTTGATCCATACAATGTTTTTACTTTTTATTTAGGTGATATGTGTGGTGGTACAGGAAAATGGAAAGCTCTAAACAGAAAGCGAGCAAAAGATGTTTATGAATTTACAGAATGCCCAAATTGTTATGGTATTTAGTTACTCCTCCTTTTTTGTTAGCTTTAGGGGATGTGATAACGGTATGGTTTGATTTGAAGCATTTTCTAAGTTGATGTTCTGAATTTCATTTCGTAGGTTAGTGTTTCTTTGAATACGGCCTTTGATGACATGCTTTTCAATATGCACTTGTGGAGTCCTTTTTCCTCTGTTCTTTTACCACATTAGTGATTCTAAATTCCGTTTTCTTAAGTAATGACAATTTGCGTGCTTCTTTGTTGCTTTTATGTTATGTGTTTTTGAGTGGAGGCCTGGAGGGAAAGGGAAATTGAAGGGAAGGGAAAGTTACTTCTATTTTGATGTTCAAATTTCAAAATAAGGAAATGTTTTTTGGGTTATGTCATTTTTCTCATCTCTTCTCGAACCCCTCTTTACCTTATCCAAACACAGCATTATTTTTCTAGTATTGCCATGTTGCAATTCAAGTGCATGGTTGATCAATGTAGTGTTTTTAAACTACAGGTCGAGGAAAACTTGTCTGCCCCGTTTGTTTAGGAACTGGTTTACCAAATAACAAAGGTCTTCTGAGGAGGCCTGAGGCACGGAAACTGCTTGATAAAATGTATAATGGAAGGCTACTTCCGAACTCTTAGAAGGTAAATTTTCTTTGTCATGCTACCCCATGAAATCAATGGTGTCTAGAATATTAAATCTTCTTTTGTCGATATTCATCATACTACATCCTTTTCAGTTTGAGCGCATTTGAGGGTTGCTAATGCAGCATTTTGGCTAGATAACGGAGCCAGTGACAGCTTTGGTAATTAACTCCTAGCACAGAACATGCGGAAGATGTTTCTGCTTATATTTTTGGGCTAGATGCATTCCACAACTTAACCATCGGCTTGGTTATCATCACTTTCATTGTTATGTATTCAAAAGGTCTACTATTTGATGATATAATCTTCTTATTCATGTAGAGTGAATTGACTCATGTATAATACGGTAATTTCTAGCAAGAGTAGCTATTTAGGCTTCTATTTATTGACCAAGTAAACCTGTAAATTTTCAACAACTCGTGTACACCTAATGCCTTTTTGATATACTGCATTTTAATTTTATGATACGTGTGCGCATTTATATTCTACTCCGTTCTTTAAGTAACACTCTATCTCTTGCTTGCTATACCATTTTTTAATGACCTGAATCGTGAATGTGTCGTAAAATTTGTGGAAGGGAGCATTGCCTTGATTGTAAAAATACGTGTAAGTCTACATTGATTGACACTAAGGACGGTAACGAGTAAAGTACTGTAATATATATTTTCATACTCGTGCTTAATCCTATACTCGCGTGAGTAATAATTTTAATATTCATATCTATATCTTTTAGCTATCTGTATTTGATAAGTAACTTCTTAACAAAATATTTAAATATCATAAGTGTTAAGTATATTTTAATTCATCAACTTTTTCAATTAAAGTATTTAAAAATTATAAACAAAATTTCACATGTAATTTTTAATATCATCTAAAACAACTAATTCATAAATTTGAAAGTTATGTACTTTCACTTTTCGAGACCTAAAAAAAAGAACATTATTTATTGTAAAGTTAAAATAATAAATATAGTTAGGTTATTTTACCTCTTTATGATAATTACTTTTTAAATGAGAGCAAACACTTATTTTTTAAATTTACATATTTCTCAAACAATACCAAAAGAAACTATAACATACAAGTACATAATAAGAATTAATTTTTATATCAATTATATAATAATTAAATTATATTAGCCTAATTAAACGATATAAAATAGTAAAGAAATTTTTTTCTTAAAATATAAAAAAAATATTTTTATGGTTTAGCTTATTGATAAATATATTTTTATGCTAATCTTAAAAATAAATTTAATTAGATAGATTTTTATATCTTTAAATATGCATTCTTTAATTTGAAAAACATAAATATTTATATTAACTTTTTTAACCTTTTATTTTGCATAAAAAAAATTTTGAAAACAAAAAATTATAAATTGAAATATAATATTACTAACAAAATTTAAAATAGAAAATTTGTCTATTCAAAAAAAAAATAATTCTAGCCTATAAAAAAACTCTAATTTACATAAAATAAATAGTGAAATATTTATCTTAACTAAAATTTAATAAAAAGTATCCACAAAAACTTTCTAAAAACTAAAAGTGAGTTATGTTCTTATTTTCTTAAATTCTTAGTTACTCCATTATAAGTAAAAAATTATTCAAACAAGATTATATAAATTAAAACAACAAAAATAATTAAAAATACTAATGATAATTATAATAAGTTGTAGACTTACTTGTTAAATACTTACTTGGTATGTAAGTTGTCAAACTTGATCTCTAAATCATATGAAAAGTGATAAGTTAAATATTTATGTGTGACTTACACTCTTAAAATATAATTTTTGATAGAGCAAGTTGTTGAATAATTCATATGATTACATAATTGTCAATGACTATAGAGAGAACTTAGTCAAATATATAAATAACTAAGTATTAACCTTAATTCTTTCCCATAATAAGCTTTTAAGTTAAGACTTCTTCATATAAATAGCATAATTAATTATATATATATATATATGCAGATATGGAGCATGTTTGGTATTTAGGTACCTATATCTGTACCTATTTAGCAGGTAAATACTCTATTTATTGAAAATAAATTTTACATATATCTATTGAATACTTTACTCATTACTATCCCTATTTAACTGAAAGAAATGTGTCACTTAAAAAATTCTAAGTAATGGTGGTTGCTTGGTATGCTTGCAGAGCAAATATGTTTTAATTTGAGCATTTAACAACTTTTTGCTTTATTATCTTTTGTGTGGACGTGAGTATGTATGTATAAATGTGAGGTATAAATTTTACGATTTGTTTTAACTATCTAGTTTATTTATCATATATTTTTACATATCATATTTTGATTTAATCACCGAACGAAATTTGAGCCTTTTTTTTTTACCACAACAATATAATTTTAAATTTATTTATTTAAATAATATTATTTAAAAATCAATTCTTAAAATGAGTGAATTTAAATGCCTGATGAAGTGTGAAGTAAAAGTGATAGACATCAAATTTAACGTGTTACATTCATTAGATTGCTCTATTGATATGTAATGCATTTTAAGCTGGAAACTTTTTAATGTTAAAGTTTGAATTTAAATTTAATTTAAATTTTATTTTTTTCTCACTTTAATTAAAGTTTGTAATTACTATTTGAATTTTAAATTTCTTCAACTTTTGTTTGAAGTTTAAATTTAAATTTAAAATTTTAGTTTTTTTTTCAAAAATAATTAAATTTAAAATTTAAAATTTGAATTTTAGTTTTTATCTCACATTAATTACAATTAAAATTTTAATAATATCTTTTAGATTATTAAAAAATGTAATAAATTATTAATTATGACAATATTTTTATTAAAAATATGATATTAATATATTCATAGTCGTAAATATTATATATTGTTTAATATATTATAATAATTTTTTAGTTTCTTAATTAAAAAATCAATATTTTCCTTATTGCATGTAATCTTAAAAAAGAAAAAAATTATTTTATTATAATTAATTAAATTAAAGTATTAATTGTATTTACACCGCAAAATTTTATAAGTCTTTGATTTTGACATCGTTTTCGTCTTTTAATTCGTATCGTTGCATATAAAATAAGCAATATATATATATATATATATATATATATATATATAATTAATATCACATTATTATATAAATTAAAAAAATTACATAATTTTGGCAATATGAGTTTAAATTATTCGGCAGGCAGGACCAGGAATTTCTCGATTCTATGCCCCTATTTGTTTGTGTGAGAGGATGGCTGAGAAAGAGTGAATGAATAACATAAAATAAACAAAACAGAGGAGATAAGATTGATTTAGATTCAATGAACAATAAACAACAGACAAAAATCAACGTGTGCTCTCCTTCCATCTCTTCTCCCCGTCAAACCACCTCTGTTTTCAGATTCTAAAATCTTGTTTCTGATTCTGATTCTTCCCAACACATCCTCAAAAGTCAAATACAATGAGTTCCTCAAGCACAGTGAGGAAGCTACAGGTTTTGTCCCCTGTTCCTGCTGACATAGACATTGCTAACTCGGTTGAACCTGTTCACATCTCCCAGATTGCCAAAGACCTCAATCTTAGTCCCAATCACTATGACCTTTACGGAAAATATAAGGCTAAGGTAATCCATTAATAACCGCATAATGGGTATTCAACTATTCTTTATGCGCTCTGTGCCTCACTTTCTGCTCTTGAAGAAGGTTCAGATTTGAGTTTCATTTTCTTTAAGATTTGCAGGAATATTATTTGTTTATGATGTATGTTAGAAAAGAAAAATTCTTTATGTTAACATCATTAGCACGCACTTAGTATATATCTATACTATGTGTCCTCTATTTGTCTTTTTTGCATAATGGGAGCTTAGCTAATGCTCTTCGTCTAAAGGGTGAGATTTGATCTCAGCTACAAAAGGCTTAACCATCTGTGATTGGATATATCTCTTTTTGTTGGCAACTTATGGATGATTTTGGCTAAAGAGTGATTTGAATGCGTGCACAGGTTTTGTTGTCTGTTCTTAATGAACTGCAAGGATCAGAAGATGGGTATTATGTTGTGGTCGGAGGCATTACTCCAACTCCTCTTGGAGAAGGTAAATCTACTACTACAGTGGGACTCTGTCAAGCTTTAGGCGCTTTTCTTGATAAAAAGGTGATCTTTTTCTTATCTTCAACATTAATGACATTGTGCCGCCTCTTTGTCTGATACTGAACTGAATGTGGATGTTTTATTTAATAGTTCCTCACTTCCTTGACTCTAAAATTAGGTAGTCACCTGCCTTCGTCAACCATCACAAGGACCTACATTTGGAATCAAAGGAGGTGCGGCCGGTGGTGGTTATAGCCAAGTGATTCCCATGGATGAGTTCAATCTTCACCTAACAGGAGATATTCATGCAATTACTGCAGCAAACAATCTTCTAGCTGCTGCAATTGACACCCGAATTTTTCATGAATCAACGCAGTCAGATAAGGCTCTTTTTAACCGGTTGTGCCCTCCAAATAAAGAAGGAAAAAGGAGCTTTAGTGATGTTATGTTTAGGCGTCTTAAGAAGCTTGGTATTTCAAAGAGTAATCCAGATGATCTTACACCAGAAGAAGTAAATAAATTTGCTAGGCTTGATATTGACCCAGCTTCTATTACCTGGAGGAGAGTAATGGACATCAATGACCGGTTCTTGAGAAAAATTACTATTGGCCAGGGACCTGATGAGAAAGGAATGGTACGAGAAACTGGATTTGATATTTCAGTTGCTAGTGAGATAATGGCTGTCTTGGCACTGACAACCTCCTTAGCTGATATGCGAGAGCGGCTTGGGAAGATGGTTATTGGAAATAGCAAGAGTGGTGATCCTGTAACTGCAGATGATCTAGGTGTTGGAGGTGCTTTGACAGTTTTAATGAAGGATGCCATTCACCCTACCCTTATGCAGACTCTGGAAGGAACCCCTGTTCTTGTTCATGCAGGTCCATTTGCAAATATTGCTCATGGAAATTCCTCTATTGTGGCTGATAAGATTGCACTGAAGTTGGTTGGACCAGGTGGATTTGTAGTTACCGAAGCTGGTTTTGGTGCTGATATTGGAACTGAAAAGTTTATGAATATTAAGTGTCGATACAGTGGCTTGAAACCCCAGTGTGCAATTATTGTGGCAACAATCAGGGCACTAAAAATGCATGGTGGAGGGCCAGCAGTTGTTGCAGGAAAACCGCTTGACCATGCATATTTGACTGAAAATGTTGCCCTGGTTGAGGCTGGGTGTGTGAATATGGCACGGCATATATCAAATACAAAATCTTATGGTGTAAATGTTATAGTTGCTATCAACAAGTTTTCAACTGACACCGAAGCTGAGCTAAATGCAGTTAAAAATGCTGCTTTAGCTGCTGGGGCTTATGATGCTGTAATTTGTAGCCATCATGCCCATGGTGGCAGAGGAGCTGTAAGTTCATACTTCCTGAATCTTACATTTGAGTAACAAAGAAGCCATTGGCCTTCTAACATTTTACCTTGACATGAAAGTATATGATATTGAATTATAAAAATTAATAAGGGTAAAGGAGAAAATAGAGAAATGTAAAAATCAATATATCATTTTCGAGTAAGTTGTGGCCTAGGTACTTGAATGTAAAATTTACTTTTGAGCTGTCTTTAGTTTTTAACCTTCTAGATGAACTGTTTATTGAGTTGCTTCTTGTCCCTTTGAAGCTATTGATCGGCTGGATCATTACCACACATAATTTTTTTTAACGTATGTTGGATCAAATACCCAAATAGAGACTTGAGATTTTAAGTAAATAGAACCATTTCAGGCCTACAATTAGCAGAACAAATAGTTTATCTACATGCATGTTACAGGGTACATTACAAGTCACAGCATCATTCAGTTAGCAATGGTATTTATTATTTGCTGAGGTATGCCTTGTCATGATTCAGGTTGACCTGGGGATTGCAGTTCAAAAAGCTTGTGAGAATGTGGCACAGCCATTGAAGTTCCTCTATCCTCTGGATCTGATTATAAAAGAGAAAATAGAAGCAATAGCAAAGTCATATGGAGCCAGTGGCGTTGAGTACTCCGAGCAGGTGATTTCATCTCGTATATGGTTATGACAATTTACTTTTACTTCAGCACAATATTTACTAGCCATTTTTTCTCTCTGTTTTTGGGGTGGGGATAGAATGTTGTATTAGGTAAGAAATGGAAAAAGAAAATCAGGGGGAGGATAAGAAATCCTCCAAAACAGATAAACCCATCTACAAACAAAATGCACAATATTTCTAAATATCAGAGATCGCAACACACTTCAAGTAGACACGAGTAAAACACTAAGTAGAAGCCATGAACATAATTCTATACCATTTTAAGTTTGTTCGGGGCAAAGAAACATCTTTAAAGATGTGAGCATTCTGATCAACCACACACATCAAAAGGACTACATAAAGTACACGCCCCAGAGAGTTTTAGTTTCCTTGTTTTTACCAAATCCTTAAATAGATGTGCCTATAATTGTTACTTGTTAACCAAATACAAACAAATAATTCTTTCTCGTTGTCTAACCAGGCTGAGAAGCAGATTGAGATGTATAGCAAGCAAGGATTTTCAGGTCTTCCTATCTGCATGGCTAAGACTCAGTATTCTTTCTCAGACAACGCTGCTGCAAAGGGAGCTCCATCTGGGTTTGTCTTACCCATAAGGGATGTTAGAGCGAGTATAGGTGCTGGATTTATTTATCCTTTAGTTGGAACAATGAGTACGATGCCAGGGCTTCCAACAAGGCCATGTTTCTATGACATTGATCTTGATACAACAACTGGAAAAGTCATTGGTCTCTCTTAAACTTTCAAGTGGCTCTGCCTCTGTCACGTACAAAAGGTTTATGGATATGCCATTTACATATCCCTTTGTGAAGTTCATGAATGTCACAGTAACATACTCCTCGTTGATGTTTTCTTCTTGTTTGTTTGAGTGGATGGTCTGTATGAATTAAATAAGAGTTTAAGGAAAAATTACATCATTTTCCTTGTATCTATTTATCTATGCATGCGTTAGGATACAGTATGGACCTGCTACAGATACGAAAAACAGTAAATTTTTAAAATTGAAGGATCGAGTACGTAATGTAATGTTTAAATAATATAAATATTAATGGATTGTTGTGAAAATATCTATTATAATTTTTTTTAACAAACTCATTTTACACATTGCATAAGTAAGGATGAATAAACTTGATTAAATAAGAAATAAATATAAAGAAATTGAGAAAAAAAAAAGAAGTAAAACACATAATTGAATTGATATGTGTAAGTATAACATCCAAATGTACTCACTTAACAAGTACAACTACGATAGGCAAAATGAAGTACCCACGTTTCAGAGCTATTTATATGTGTAATTGAATTGATGCCGACTCAGTGGGTGTGATAGATGACAGGTATACACAATTTGTGATTCGTGTATAAATAGAAGAGTTGAAGAATTCTTATCTTAATTTCCTCATAAATCAGGTTATTATTATTATTATTATTATTATTATTATTATTATTATTCAGCAAAAATTTGGAAACTGGTGGAATTTTATCTCTTCTTTCATTTTCTTTATATATAAGAAGTGCTAACTGCTAGCTAATAGAAAAACATTTACTAGAAAGCAGAACAAATGGGTAAGGGTTATGATTTCTAATACTTGCTTAATATTTCTACCTCTCTTCTATCTCATTGCTTAGTACAACAATTTTTTTACTATATTTATATATATATATATATATATATATATATTTTAAAATAAATTTATTTAATAAAAATAAAACAAAACCATGCACGAACAAATTTACTAATTTATTTTTTAATTTCTATCACATAATATACTATGCATTTATACTTAATGTTATAATTATTAAGATTTATAAAAAGTAACTGTGAGTTGAATATATTTATTTCGTAATTATTATATTTTTAAAAATAAATTTGAAAAAATAATGATAATTGATTTGACATAATTGATAAAAATTATTTAAATTTATAAGAAAATATTATAATTAATAGGATAAAACCCCCAAAATGTTTCATTAGTGTGACATATGAATATTTTTAGTTCATTTATTAATATCTAAAGTTTCATAAGACATTTCATTTATCTTATTGTAAATGAGAGAAAAAAATGTTTGCCATGCATGCATGCATGCAGATCCATTGGTGGGGGGTTGAGCGTACATATGAAACGACGAAAACGGTTTATACATAAATTCCTCCGTCTCCTCCTTTCTTCTCTCATTCATGCAAGTTAAACCACACTACCTATATTCTTTAATCTCTTGCATTCTGTCCAAAAATAGCACCACTTTTTCTTTTCCCTGTAATCTGAATAATTATTGTTTTCAAGAAGAAGGAACAAAAAAAAAGTTGTGTAATGCATATAGCAAACAAACAAGCACAATGCCAGATTCTTCAGTCACATTCAGGAACCGTTTACTTACAAGATCAAACTCCATCCGTTTCTTTACTTCTAGAGGAATAATTGGCTTTGCTTACGGTTTCACATTGGCTTCTATCATCTTTATGCTCTTCCTTGTCCTAAATCCTTCTGGCTATCATTTTTCTCCAAGGCTCTTAAATGCCTTTCACTCTTCACGTAGGTATAACTTTTCTAATGTTTTTGCTCACATTTTCACCAACACTTCCCATTCTTCACCCCCTTACACCCCTCTTGAAGACTCAGGTAGTGATGATGATAATTCTAAGAACAGTGCAGAAGATTCTCGTTCTTCCTTTCAAATTTCAAGAAAGGAAGGTCCTGGCCTCGCACCAAAGGGACGTAACCAAAACGAGGAATTGGAAACATATGATGCATACCCTCCAGTTCAAGAAGAGCCTTTTCCCATTTGGTGGTCACCGTCACCAAGTCCTTCTCAAAATGTGATGCACTTAGAAGATTGGATGGAAGTGGGGAACAGTTGTGATCTGTTTGATGGTTCATGGGTTAGGGATGATTCATACCCACTTTACAATGCTGGGTCTTGTCCCTATATTGATGAGTCTTTCAACTGTTTCCTCAATGGTAGGAGTGATAATTTGTATGAGAAGTACCGGTGGCAGCCCAAGAATTGCAACATGCCAAGGTATTTTCTGCTGGGTACACGTTATTAGTATGTGTAGGAAGCAATGTAAATAAAATTGGGTTGTGACTCAAATGAAGTGCATGAAAATATGTCAAGCTAGCTATTGTCCCAGATTCATGTTTCCAAATTTAAGGCTATTTTCTTTTTTCTTTTTTTTTTTTCTTTGAGAAGATAGGGAGAGATGAATTCTGTTTGTACCTTTTGCTTCTCTTTTAGTGAGATGAGTATGTACGCAGGTTAAATGGTAACGACATGTTGGAGATACTGAGAGGGAAACGTTTAGTCTTTGTTGGTGATTCCCTCAATAGGAATATGTGGGAATCTCTGGTTTGTGTTCTTAGAAATTCTGTGGAAGATCAGAGCAGCATTTTTGAAGCCTCTGGTAGAGAAGAATTTCGAACAGATGGTTCTTACTCATTTATCTTCAGAGTATGTGATATGTTATTCCCTCGTTATGTTTAAGATGAATTTTTTGTATCTGGTTCTTCTACATCTTTTCCTGTTTACTTTGACTGGTTGCTAAGATATTCTAGCTCACAACAAAAACAAAACATTAGAGGAGATTCACATTGAAGCGTGAAATTTGTAGATATTACATGACAACTGGTTACCAAATGATCAGTAAGAAAAGAGGCGAAGGTCCAGAAATGAGAGATTGAGATTAAGTATACCATTTGTTTGGTTGGCTTCAATGGCTCTGAGTTCCATTTCTTAGAGCTAGAATAATATTGGCAATCAAGTTTAAGCTGGAGTTTCTGTTCTATATCAGAAAATTAATTTTATGTGCTTCTTGGTTAATGTCTGAACAGGATTACAATTGCTCAGTTGAGTTTGTCCGTTCGCCATTTCTTGTTCAGGAGTGGGAGATTCCTGACAGGAAAGGATCAACGAAAGAAACACTTCGTCTTGATTTGGTTGAGGGATCTTGTGATAAATACAAAGATGCAGATGTTCTTGTATTCAATACAGGTCACTGGTGGACTCATGAGAAAAGAACCGAAGGGTAATGCTTCTTCTTTTCAATCTTTTTTTCCTCGAAGAAGTATGTTGCTTTTCTATGCCCTACATACATAAAGCAGACATGGTTACAGATCAATGAATGGTCTTTATACTAATAAACGGAAAATATTTAGATTTAGAACCTGCAGTGGAGAAAGTTTAGATGATAATGTTGTAAGCAACTTGCAGGAAGGAATATTATCAAGAAGGCGATCATATCCATGGACAATTGAATGTTGAGGAAGCATTTTATAAAGCTTTGTTGACATGGTCACAGTGGGTGGATGCCAATATTGATCCTAAGAAAACTGTAGTTTTCTTTAGGGGTTATTCTCCTTCTCACTTCAGGTAAAATAGTATTTTGTTTCCAAAATTCTTTGGATTTAGGACTTGGAACATAATCATCTTTTTTCTACAACAGGGGTGGAGAGTGGAATGCAGGTGGTAGGTGTGAGAATGAGACAGAACCAATGAAAAATGAGTCTGATTTGTCAGAAAATCCTCCAATGATGAAGACCATTGAGTCAGTAATTGAGAGAATGAAGACTCCAGTTTTCTACTTGAACATCACGAAAATGACCGATTTCAGGATTGATGCTCACCCTTCCATGTACAGAAACATAAATATGTCTGAAGAGACAAAAAGATACATGCTCACACACCAGGATTGTAGTCATTGGTGTCTTCCTGGTGTTCCTGACTTGTGGAATGAAGTAGTATATGCTCACCTTTTATATAGTACGAATAGAAACAAGGGAAACTACCAAAAATGATTTGTGATACATTATTATAACACTCAGAACAGTTTAGGCTTCATTTTGTGTTTGTGATTTATTCAGTACATAAATTGAAAAACCAGGTTGTGTGATTATTTTATTCTTACTTACCAATATGTTAACCCCTTATTTTGCTTTTCGATTTCTTTCTCTCAAAAGCTAGAGGGAGGATCAATGAATTCAAGAAAGTTACTGAGGAAACCTTAAAATGATTTTTGTTCAATATCATGAAAACTAAAGCCACGGTATCAGCAAAACAATCATAATGCCTATCTATTGAGAGAAATAATATAAGAATGATTTATAACTATATCCTTCGGAGAAAAAACATGGGAGAAGGGTATAATTCTTCCAAGAGGCAATACTGACCAGACTTAAAAATAAGTGCTAGAGTGAGGATCACTGAATTCAACTACATCACGGTGCTAAACTCACAAGCCAAAATAGTTGTTACAAATTCATACAAACTTCATTAATTCAACTCATCCTTTAATGTATATTGCTCCTCTGAGAATCATACGCAAGAGAAATCTAATCTTCCTTATTGTGGCTAAAGAGATATCTCAAGAAACAAATCATGTAATAGTAACCCAAAGCCACCAGTGAAACCACACGTTCTAGACAAGGAAAAAAAAAACTCAACAAATAGATCTACGAAACTTCTTTGGCAGCAGCAATAACAGCTTCCTTGGTGATACCAAACTCCTTGTATATTCTTCCAGCTGGAGCACTTGCTCCAAATCGATCAATGCCTATGGCTTTTCCCTTGCTTCCAACAATCTTTTCCCAACCAAATGTTGATCCTGCCTCAATACTAACTCTAGCTGATACAGAAGCAGGTAGAACACTATCCTTGTATTCATCTGATTGCTCATCAAAAAGTTCCCAGCTAACAAGAGAAACAACTCTAACAGCTTTTCCTTCCTTCCTTAGATCCTCAGCAGCAGCAGCAGCAATTTCTAACTCAGAACCAGTTCCAATCAAAATAACATCAGGCTTGTTACCTGATGAGTTGTCTGAAATGATGTAGCCACCCTTTTCAACTCCTTCAATAGAAGTTCCTGCAAGTTGAGACAACTTTTGTCTAGAAAGTGCAAGAATTGAGGGTCTCTTCTTGTTAACCACAGCAACTTTGTATGCTCCAGCAGTTTCATTACCATCAGCTGGACGAAGCATCAAAATGTTTGGCATAGCCCTGAAGCTTGCCAAGTGCTCTATTGGCTGATGAGTTGGTCCATCCTCTCCAAGTCCAATTGAATCATGGGTCATCACATAAACAACTCCAGCTTCACACAGGGCAGAAATCCTTATGGCAGCTCTCATGTAGTCAGTGAAGACAAAGAAAGTTGCACAGTATGGAACGAATCCAGGGCTGTGAAGAGCAATGCCATTGCAGATAGCTCCCATTCCGTGTTCTCTGACACCAAATCTAACATTGCGCTCTTCTGGAGTATCCTTTTGGAAATCTCCATACATTTTCAACAAGGTCATGTTGGAAGAGGCAAGATCCGCACTACCACCAAGCAGGCCAGGAAGAACCTTCACAAGGGCATTTAGACATTGCTGAGACAGATTTCTTGTAGCATCAGCAGGGCTTTCTGGAGTGTATGTCTGAAAGTTGAAAATCGAATAGGAAGAATGATCAATATTCCAGAAACAAATGATGGAAGTCAAGTTAATCTTAAAGCTTTGAAGACTGGACAACAAGCAGGAAGCAAAAGTGTGGTGATGGAGATGAAATGAACATGCTACTTAACACTTGTTGAAATAAGGGCACCGATAAATTTGGATTAGGCATCATTCAACTACTACGGAGTTATACCTCAAAGAAAAGTATCAGGAGAAACCTAGAAATTTGGCACTTTACTCACCGGAAGCGCTTTTTCCCAACCAGCTGGTAATTCACCAGTACTAATAGCCTTCAGCTCTGCAGCTTCGTCCTTGTATTTCTTCTCATATTCAGCAAACTTGGCATTCCACTCAGCTTCAAGTGCAGCACCCGTAAGGACATGACGACTCCAATGCCTAAGGAAAGTTAAGCAAGTTTCATTGAAGATCATGCAAATTTCAGCAGACTAACATAACAGGAAACAGAGATATATCTAACCCCTAATCCATACTTTTTAACATCTTCAGGCACATGGAAAGGCTCGTAGGGCCATCCAAGATTCTTCCTTGTAGCATCCACCTCCTTAGCACCTAATGCACTTCCATGAACACTGTAGGAGTTGGCCTTGTTTGGAGAACCATATCCAATGGTAGTGGTTACCTGTGAAATAATAATCACACCGAATAAAACTGATCAATACCCATAAAAAATACATATAGAAGTAGTTTACTTTCCCTCACAGCAATCACATTATGCTACTTTGACTATTATGATCAAGTTATATAAATGATGTTTAGGATAAATCCATTTGCTTCACTCTTCATTTCATGTAACTAACCTTGATCAAAGTGGGTTTGTCTTTGACAGCTTTTGCTTCCTTAATGGCTGCACGAATGTCATCATACCCAGTATTTCCATTCTTTACCCAAATCACATGCCATCCAAGTGCCTCAAAACGTTGATCAACACTCTCAGTGAATGCAATTTCAGTGTCACCATCAATGGAAATGTGGTTGTCATCATAAAAAGCAATAAGCTTCCCTAGACCCCAGTGACCAGCAAGTGAGCATGCTTCATTCGAAATTCCCTCCATTTGACAACCATCACCCAATATAACATAGCTGGGAAGAAAACAACAACAACAACAACAAATGTCATCAGTAAAACACAGGCATTACAAGAACAAAGATCACAAGATGTTGTTAGCTTACGTGTAATGGTCAACAATCTCATTGTCAGGCTTGTTAAATCTTGCAGCCAAGTGTTTCTCAGCAAGTGCCAATCCAACAGCATTGGCAATTCCCTGACCCAGAGGACCTAAACAAAATATGATGATAATTGGGACAAGAAACTAACACAACACAGCAAAAACGCTCATCATGATAACATAAGTAAAGGGATAGTATGTCATATCTGACCTGTGGTCACTTCAATCCCAACTGTCTCAAAGTTCTCAGGATGTCCAGGAGTTCTGCTTCCCCATTGTCGGAAATTCTTCAGGTCTTCTTCCTATTATGAAACCCAAAACCAACAAATTCAGCTCAATGAAGATCCCAAAGGCCAAAGCTAAAAAGGTTCACACTTGCATTTCCACAAAAGAGATAAAACTGTTTCAACAATCCCAAGAGTGTAAAAGACAAAAAAAGGAAGGAGAAGAATGTGACCTGGACACTATCATAGCCTGCAAGGTGAAGCAAAGCATATTGAAGCATGCAGCCATGTCCAGCCGAGAGAACAAAACGGTCACGGTTGAACCAAGTGGGGTTCTTAGGATTGTACCTCATGACCTCATCGTAGAGAATGTGACCCATTGGAGCACAACCCATGGGAAGACCAGGGTGACCAGAGTTAGCCTTCTCAACAGCATCAATGGAAAGGAACCGAATGGTGTTGATGGATTTCTCGACAAGAGAAACCTCTGTGGTCTGGTCCAGTGTCTCAACCGCAGTGGCACGAACGTTGGTGTTGGTGGAAGCAACCCTGCGACGTGAACCTGAAGAGGAAGTGGTTGGTTTGCATGAAGTGTGTGCCTTTAGGCCAGAGAATGATGGGAATGAGAGAGTGGGTGTGGAAAGTGAGACACGATCATTGTTGAAGCCATGAAGGTAAACGCCACGTGCCAAAAGGGCTTGGGATACATGAAGAGAGGAAGAGGAAGCCATGGTTTAAGATGTTCAAAACTGAAACACTGAAACCAACCCAACTAAACTACTTGGGTTGTTGTTGATGTTTGTAGCAGTGAAGAAGAATAAGAGTTTTGTGTTGTGTTGAGTTGAGGTGGTTGTGTTGTGTTGTGTTACTGTTACTCATCTATAGATTCATTGTTCCTGCGGTCCAAATGTTGTGGACAATCTCAGCCTATGCTTCTGGCTATCTCCTTCCCACTTCTCTGCCTCTCAATCTTTTCCCACTATTTCAAAGATAAAAAATACGATAATATACTTTATTCCATCGTTTTATTTTCTATTATACTAGCATATTCGCATAACTAATGCTTTCTGTAAAGTAAAATGCTACTCCTTAGCATTTATCCAAACAATTTCACTATTTGAAAATTAAATATGTAGAATAGTTACTTATATTTACTTTTGTGAATCTTATTCAAGTTTGACTCAATTTTACGAATTAAAATAATAAAAGCTTAGAAATTTGGTGTTTTATCTGATAAATTTTCGAAAAACAAGTATATGCACAAAATACTATAGCATGCCAATACTTAGTTTTAGCCGCTTTATTTAGATAAGGAGGTTAACGCTTGTCGACATCTGAGCAGAACCACAGATTTTCACCCGCCACGAGTGGCAAATATAATTTTCAAAGATAACATAAAAAAAACCCCTTTATGTGAAAAAATGTGTCATTATTGTAAGTATTCTTTTTTAAACGCCAGATAAGGACTTATTTTATCATCACATTTATAAAGATGAAAAATAATATATTTTTTCCTATAATTTATATCTATTAAGCATAGGTCAGCCCACATACCCATTATGATGATAAGACAGCACTTTTTTCTTTATACTTGTTGTTTGGGTTGCTTCTAATATCCTTCTAATAAAAATGTAATAAAAATATTAGCAACTAATTTTGAAAGTTAAACGTTATTTTATAAGTTACAAGCTCTTATTATTTTGTATTTAGCTTTACAAGTTTAATAGTCAAGTCAATAAATTACAAGATTCTATATAAATTGTAAACTGTTTTTATTAAATATAACTTTAGTCTTGTGCACATGTATGGATTTAAAGATTGTTTATAAAATTGAAAAAAAAAGTTTGGTTTTTAAAAAATATTTTCTTATTTTTTAATTACAATTTTTTTAAATCATATGAAAAATAGTGAAAAAACTATTTTCACTGTTTCAACAGTCTTCTTTCCTTTTGTTGGGTCCTCCTGGGTACTTTTCATTTGGGCCTAGGCCTTGTTTTGCTGGACTTGGTCCAATGGGCCTATGTTAATGCATGGTTCTGTTGACCGAGAAATAGAAAAAGAGAAGAGATGGATGCAACGGTGAGTCTCTGGTTCTGTTGGGGTTCCGATTGCAATCACCGACGATGCTGAGGAGGACCTCTCTTACCTCCTTCTATTCCAAATTTCTCAATTCTTTTTCTTTGCGAAACGGAAACGTTTATAATATTGGATCCTTCTCCTCTTTCTCTTCTGCTTCGAATCCCCATGTCTGCGCTTCTTCTGCCACTGCACTTGATCTCTCTGCTTCAGCGTCCAACTTCGTCTCCTTCACGCGCCACTATGGAAGGTGCTATTGGGAGCTCTCCAAAGCGCGTCTCAGGTTCACCCTTTTATTTATTTTAAATTTTTGCAATATATATACGAATTAATTAATATTTAGATTTAGGATGTAGAATTTCATTCTCAATCTCCATGAATTTAAGAAGAAGATTATTTGTGATCCTTGCAGAGGAGAGAAATTATCCTATACGATCAAACCACTGTGGTATCAGATAGACAAACGCAATAACTCATATTGGAATACATTCACAGGGGTACCCAATAAAAACAAATAATCGTGCTTTGACTTACTTAATAAATGCTCCAAAACATTTTCCATTCAATTAATCTCCGTTTTACTCCACTTTAGATTGAAAATTCTAGCAGTTTTGTAATTTTCCTTCCTATTATTCAATAAATGAATGGGGAAAATGTAAACTACTTTGCTTTCTTCTAGTTATGACAATTAGACTCATACCCAATAGACACCTTTAGAAATCACCAAAGTACTTACCCTGCCCCATTCACGTACCTCTCTTTGTATCTGTGTCCATACAGAAAGACGCAAATAAGCACTGAAGTTACAAGCTTCATGGGCATGAGCTTGGCTACAGGTCTTTTTTTTAAAAACATGGGTTTGGAGACAAATGCTTTACCGTTGCCATCCTACTTTTTCTCCTTTGTGGGATTCATGGTTTGTTCATTAGAGTTAAGATCCATTTGTCTTTGATTTGATTTCATCGTGTTTTGTGTTTTAGCACATCTGCCTTTGAATGTAAATTCCCTTTTAATTTTTTGAACTTTCACTTATTCTTTCTTTTGTAATATAAAACTTCTTAACTAATCATTCTCTAACTCAATTCCAGTATGCTTGTGGTTGCAACATCTGGGACTGGATTTGTCTTGGGGAGTAGTAGCGCTGTTGATCTTTCAACACTTTCTTGGACTTGCTTGGGTACCATGATGGTTGCTGCATCAGCTAACTCTTTGAATCAGGTTCGTTCTTTAGAAGATTGTGTACAATTGTCTTTTGAATTTCACGTGCTTTCCTTTTTTGGCGTTTCTGTTTAAACTGAGTGACATATTTTACCATCTTTAAAATATGACAGTCAACAAAGTTGTGAGTGTATTTTGTGTACATGAATGGTGATTCCATTCTTACTTCTGCTCCCCGAGAATGAGGATTCCTTCGTTGGGTGCAAAAATGTCATGAAATGGCCACTCCATTCCAGGTCTTGAGAATCACTGTTGTCTTCTACAGAGGTGGGGAAGGAATGGTGATTCCAAGCAGGCTTTTTTTAGCGGAGATCCTTTTGCCTTCTAGTGCAGTCTTTTTACCTAATGAGAATACTTATCTTATTTAATAAATACATATATATCCTATTTTTTTCCTGACATTTTTATCATACTCCCAACTCTTTTATAGTTGTTGTCCCCACATTTGTATGGCACTGTACTGATTGCAGTTGGACATAATTTTCATAGCTAGAAATTATTTCTTGCCGATAATTAGGTTTTTCCCAGTTTTACTTGCTTTTCATATAATTTCTTGTCCATTTTCTCTTTTTTTTCTGATGACTTCTTCCTCTCAAATTCAGTCTTTCAATAAGACAAGACACAGAAAGAGGAGTGATAATGTCTATATGGGGGTAGTCAATAATAAACTGAACCTTGTTTGTCTTTCTAGTTTCTAGCTATATGATTTATTGAACATCATATATGTTATTATTGCATAAATACCTCTTAACAAGATTTGTTGAAAAGTTTGTACTTTTTATTCCCTTTCTTACTGCCAATGTGTCTCAGGTTTTTGGTCAAATCAAGATCTATTCAATGGTTGTCTTTTTTAGGTGTTTGAGATCAACAATGATGCTAAAATGAAGAGAACAAGTAGAAGGCCACTACCCTCCGGACGCATCACAATACCTCATGCAGTTGGCTGGGCATCATCTGTCGGTGTAGCTGGGACAGCTCTGCTAGCAACACAGGTAGTGAAAAATATTTGCTTACTTTGTTGATTGTATTTGTATGCTTTTCTAGTGTAGGCTATAAATCTTTGAATGTATTTCTTATCAAATGTTTGATTTTCTTTGAGTTGAGGAACTAATATTGCAGCTTTATGACAAGGTTTTTCCAGGCTAATATGTTAGCTGCTGGGCTTGCTGCTTCCAACCTGGTTCTGTATGCATTTGTATATACTCCTTTGAAGCAGATTCATCCTGTAAATACATGGGTGGGGGCTGTTGTCGGTGCTATTCCACCACTTTTGGGGTAAGTTTTGTACAAGTTTTCTTATGGCTTTCCCATGTATTGCAAATTTCAAAATGCTTGCGGAATACATATAACTGTTGTTTAATCCTTTTTACCATGTGAAATGTAAAACCCCCTTGGAATTAAGTTGTTCTGTGTAATATTGATGTGGATAGTTTAAGCTTTTGGGCAACATACAATAATCATTCCCTTTCATGTGCTCAACCAGGCACAAAACATGAAAATATCCCTGTTTTGTTATCATAGCTTTCATATTTGTAAACGGGAATTAACGAAAAACAGTAGAGGAATATTTTCTTTTTTCTAATGTTATAGTTGGTGATGTACAAGCCATATTTCATCTTACCTATCTGATGTTGAGGAGAGCCCACCCTTACAAGTCAAGCTGCTGAAGCAGAAAACTTCTACTTTAAACCCCCAGCCAACTTCGAAGCAGTCATGGCTTGTGTTCCAATATCTATATCCCTGTTAGTGTTATGTCATGGAGTCCTGGTGTATACAGTGTGCACATGTTCGCACACAAACTCACATATTAGTTTGCATATCATGTATGACTACACTAATCTATATTTATTTTTGACTTCTTATTGTCACATATACTGGTTATGTATTCTTTTTCCCCCCTTTGGTTGGGAGGCTATTTTCATGCTGGTATTTTGTCTACTTTGTGTTTCCATTGCCAGAGAAGAATTTTATCTGATTTATTGACTTTCTATTGTTCAAAGTGTTATTACTTTAAATAATTGGCAAAGTTATTTTAAATCTTTCCTCCTCTGTTTCGGTTGTCTCTCTACTCTGTTATTGGAAGCAATAGCAATTTGCCAGTTCAATGGCATTAATGAGTGATATAATGAAAGATTGTGTAATTCAGTCTATAACCCCCAGATGCATCACCTTTTTGTTGTTATTTTTCAGATGGGCTGCAGCTGCTGGTGATATTTCACTAAACGGAATGATTCTTCCAGCTGCTTTGTATTTCTGGCAGTTACCACATTTTATGGCCCTAGCCTATTTGTGTCGCGATGACTATGCTGCAGGAGGGTATGCTCTAATATCTTTGTTTATAATGACAAAATTTGTTCATGCCACTTTTGGTGCCTCCCAATACCAAATTTAAGTGGTGGATACCTTTATTGCAGGAGAAATATGTCTGTTGGAAGTCTATGGTTTATGATAGGATGCAGTGCTCTTTATACTTTTTCACTAAATAATAAATTTGTTTAAAAAAATATAATCAGAATTGTCATTCATATTGTTTGTCTAGTTAATATTTACTAGAAGTCGTTGCACATGTAAACAAGAACTAGATAGCTCTGATATAAAATCTGATACAGGATAGAGACCTACAGGCTGATTTAACTAATTTATATTAGCATTTAGCATACAAATTTCTGATATTGAGCTTGGATTTTGTTACACTGATTGCTGCAGGTGGTGGATGACTACCCTCTTAATATAGTTTTCATTCAATTGCTGATGGTCCAAACTATATGATATCCTTTAGGTTGTTTTTGGATAGAGAATTTTAGAATTCTTGGAGAATATGAAATCAACAATGGGAATGCTTTAAGTGAGAGTGAAGCATAAGAGGAGTTATAAATGATAATTACGAAAAGTTAAACATAACAGAGAAGTTATCTAAATTCTATCTGAAAATATGTCATTTGAAATTCTCTCCATTTGATATAAAATTTATCTAGTTAAATATATGGTGTATTCTAAAAACACTTTTCTTTATTATCTAAATGTATATAATTTTAGTAATTTAAAATTATTTTATCCAAATACAACATTAGGTATTGACATGTGTGTGTTGCAAATTTAGGTTTAAGATGTACTCTCTTGCTGATGCATCTGGGCAGAGAACAGCATTGGTGGCTTTAAGGAACTCTATATATCTAATCCCTTTGGGATTCTTGGCTTATGATTGTGAGTAAATGTTTTCTTATAGAAATACTTCATTGAACTTTTTTTCTGGAGATTTTTTTATCTTAATTATCTGGTTCTAGTATTTATTATGTTCTTTTACAAGATACCTTAGAAATTTCATTTGAAGTGGAAACCTGCAAGTGCAATTTGTGGAGTTGTAAAAATATTTTGATATGTTATAATTAATAAAATAAAAAAGCTTATCATTATAGTCAAATCAAGAGTATAGTACTATAACTTCCAACTCTCAGAATTTTAATCCTTTTTTTTTGCATGCGGTCATGGCGTTAGGCAGACAAAACTGACAATAAATTCGATGTGTTTGGTTTTGTTGATAACCTTTGTTGCCAGTGCCGCTGTCTTGGCCAAACTGTTGAAGACCTTGTTAGTGTAGCAGCTGGTGCCTGGTACACAGAACCTTAAAGCTGTACATAAATGAATAAGAATCTATTAGAAAAGAGTATAGATATTAAGCATTTAAATTGGATTTTAGTTAAAGGACGATGAAGATGGTAGAAAGTTTTCAGTTTTCATTTAATCTGAAATAAGTCAATGTTTTGGCCTCAAGGAGAATTTCATGACTCATGTTTCTACACCTGTTAACAGGGGGTGTGACTTCTGGATGGTTTTGTCTTGAATCCACCGTACTCACACTTGCAATAAGCGCTGCCGCTTTTTCATTCTATAGAGACCGCACTAAAGAAAAAGCCAGGAGAATGTTCCATGCCAGTCTTCTCTATCTCCCTGTGTTTATGTCTGGGCTTCTGATACACCGTCGTTCCGATGATCAACAATTCATAGAAGATAAAGTGAAGGGTTTTGTGAAATCTTCATCCTCTGTGGAAATTTCAGAGCTGGAAGATAAAAATGGTAACCAGAAGGTCAAGGGCAGGCATCCCCATCAGACTCAGGCACGTCCACCTGTGGCGTATGCCTCTGTTGCACCCTTTCCCTTTTTGCCTGCTCCTTCATATAACTACTTCCCTTGATTATTTATCAGGTGTTAGTATTTTGTATGACTTAACATTTTGTCATCCAGTTTTGTTTGGTTGATTTAATATATTCATTGAAATGGTATTCTTATTGGCTGTTTAAGCCGTAAATGTTGTTTTATGTGCCGCAATAAAAAATTGCAGAAGCATTAGTAATCTGAAATAAATGATCTTTTCGTTTCTTGCATCATGTATAGTATACTATTAATTGTTTTCTTTTATTTCTCTATTTTTATAATTCCATTTTTTCCGCTCATTTTCTCGAGGATAATCTAGGAATACGAATGTGAATGAACTTCTTTTATTTGTATAGATAAAACTTAGATTGACTTTCTTGTACCCTTGTTATTAAATTTCAAATTAAACAATAGTTGGATTTCACCTGCCCATCGTTGAAAATTGTACCAAAATTGTAGTTTTCTTTTATGTAACAATGCATTTCCTACCAAAGCCAACAACTTACACGAGAGACACGTGGCCCCAAATGAAGATCAAGTGACCCATCTACAACAAAAATTCTGAAACTAGTGAGCGACCCAAGTTACTCAACCTAGTCTACTACCTTGTACTATGTGCCCCTTCAGATCAACATAGGAAAAAGTGAAAAACACAGCGTATGGCTGTTAAGGGAATTTTTTTTTTGTTTTTGTCCTTTTGTCGTTGAAGTGGGAAGGAGATATAAGAATTTTCAAGACCCAAGAAGGTATTAAACTTGCTAATTTTCATCAGGTTTATTAATTTGATGTTTTTTTTTTGTTTGATTCATTAGTTTTGTTTTTTTCAATTGAATTTGGGTCAATACAATTAAAGCAATATTAAAATACGGATTCAAGTTAATTTTAATAATATATTTTATGAATTTAAATTAAAGTAAAAAAGTTAGTTTTTTCTAGTTCAACCTAACAGTACCTGAAATTTAAATTGCGTCGTGTACTCTATTTTAACACCATTGTAAAGTATGAGAATATTTGTTCGGATTAGATAATTAAAATGCTGGAGCAAATTTCACACGCATAAAAAGTAAAAACAATATTTTATTTTTTAGTTAAACTTTTGCAATGACAAGAGTTGGATGTATTTAATAATTTTTTTATTTGATTAATGTTAACTTCGAATACTTTCTTCAAACCAAACATATGTTTAACAAAAAAATTAAAAAATGTTTTGATTACAAAGATTCTAATCACAAACTTTAAGCTGCACCTAGTGGTTCCCACAGGAATAACCAATATAAGTTGCATTTAATAAAAGTAACAGATAAATAAAGCTAAAAGTTAGAAAATCTACTGAAAGCTAAACTGTGTTGATTTTTATTAAGCATAACAAAATATCTCTATTATTTCTTTTAATAAAAAAATGTTTTAATACAAATAAATGTCTATTCCATGTCAAAGTGTAACCATCTAATTAATAAAAGAATTGCTATATTAAAAGATTGAGAATCACGGAAGACTTATATTAAAAGCTAAATCATATGAATGACTGATAGCAAAATAAAATTTATATAGATCCAATTAAATAACAAATGTGACTCGTTCAGAAACATTTGTCAGTAAAATTATAAAATTTATAATTAATGTTTTCGAATATAATTGGTAAATAATTTTTTTTCTCTCTTAATGTTAATTTGCATTCGTTAGTTTTAATTAGTAATGATATTTATATTAAATAGGGATGAAATTCATATCATTCAGTATAATTCATATAAAATTTATTAAATAAACAAAATTATATTAAAAAAAATATTATATAGCCTTTTTATCTTAATTAACTATTTTGACGTTGAAATTCAATGATAAAAATTGAACATCAATGATTAAAAAAATCTTCTTATGTGAAATTTTTTTTCTGTCGTATGTCATGTTAGGACGTGTAGTTCCTTTATGGCAAATTGGCAATACAATAACTTCCTTTTTCCTTAAACTTTTCTAAAATTTCAAAAAGAAACTATATATTTTTTACTTTTACAATATGCGAATAGGGTCCTGGTAGTAATAAATCATAAATCAGAACTATATTGTTTCTCAAAACCTCAAAACAATAATTTTAAATTCATTTTAACATGATGATTTTATTTCTAACCAGAACAAATTTGATCCTAATAAAACCTTACTGTTTGCTCAAATTAAAGTTTGGTTGAAGGTCAGGGCTACATTTAAAAGAATATATTTCCTTTTTATAATTGGTCATCAAATCCATTATCATGTATTGATATGTGTTGTTAGACATTTTTCTAGATAATATATAGTGATATGAAGGTTGGGGTATCCTTGTGCTTCACTTAATGAACTTTCTTTCCTGCTAAAAAAACAAATCTCTTTTTACATTCAAACTTAAAAGTCTTAAAATACACAATAAATTTGCATACCTTAAACGATTTTGTAAAATTGCCAAGCAACCATTCAAATATTGAGTCACATATAAACGATTTTACTATCATTTGAAAATATAACTCATCATGATTTCTAGGACCAAGTCTAGTGAACAGAAACATTTTTTCATACACTTCATCGAATAAATTTTTCCATGAAATTACTTCAAACATTTTGAAAGCAGTCCTTAATTCAATGATTCTTTACTTAAACCATATTTATCTTTATGCACCTTCTCAGTATCTGTTGGAATATGCCACAGCCAATTTCCCAATCCTTTATTCCCATATGGAACTCTCCTATCATGCTTCAGTTCCATTGCTGTGTTCCATTCGACCACCAAAGATTGTTAACCGAGCCAAATTTTAGCAGAAAATGCTATTATAATAATAAACTTATTGCTATAACCTCAAAAAATCTCAATTCACATCCTCTAACAATTGGCAACAATCTACATCATATAATAAGATAAATGTTGCACACAGGAGCATTGTTGGTCAACAATCTACATCATAGAGAGAGAGAGAGAGAGAGAGAATGGAGGCAAAATAAGAAAGCTACTTAAAATGAACCAAATTGGAGGCTCTAATACTTAGTCTATCTCAAGGGACAAGTTTTCTCCTCAAACTTCAAACGTGGATCACTTGTTATCTCTGGATAAAATTTCATGCATTTTTTATATTAATTGTTGAAAATTTTATGAAATCGTCCCGGCCTGACACATCATTAATCAAACAATTGAATTTGAAACCTTGCACGACGAGCTAGAGATTTACTAAAGGGTAGTTTCTTTTCTAACAGTATATTTACTCGGTGCTCCAAATGCCTTTCAGAACCATATATCCACCAAATTAAGACTTAGTTTGGATAAAATTTTAAAATATTTATTGAAAAATATATATATAAATTGTTTTTAACTTATAAGAGAAAACTTATTATTTTTTGTTACAAGTATTTCTTTAAATTAGCTAATTAAATATCACAGAAAAATCAAGAAAATCATTATTGACTCTACTAACTGTTTCCAGTCAAACAAAACAACCCAATTTAATCATTAAACTCCACGTGAAATGCAAACTGAAATTCTTGAAAAGTGATGATTAGTCTCAGAAGTAATAGAAACAAAAACCCTTTAAGAGAAGTCTAACTAATGTTTAATTACCTGTAAAATTGTAGAACAATATTGCTGCAGAAAGAGCACCCTTGAACTTGTGTTAAGGGAAAAAAAAATATGCAGCCATGAGATGTATGCACCTAGTGGAATATAGAAAAACAAAGCAAAAAATATGATAATATTATTCATATGCATAAAAATCAAAACTCTTGTGATAATCTACCATACACGTTCACAAGTACTGCCATTTTTCATTATAATTAGATAAATGTTGCGTGTGATTAGATAATATTATAGGTTCGTGTCAAAATAATTTAGTTTGTATTTTCAAAGAAACTCCATAAACCGATTCTTTTGTCATCACAGATATTAAGGCATTGTTCTCACGAACTTACAGATGCTATGTAGGGATAAATTAAAAGAAAAATCTGCTATATTATGTGAACTAAACACAATTTTGGAAAAGTTTTTCAAAAATGATAATAATTTTTTTAATGACCTAAATTCTAAAATATTGAGTTTTTATATATATGATAATAAAAAAGTTTGGTCAACCAAAACTTCAGGTGTGTCGTTGATGTACCTGTACCTTAATTACAGTTTTGATTCTGCACTACATTAATCTAGCAGCTGAATTGAAGATATATTATTTCTTCCCTTAAATTTGTTTATCTTGCTCTCTTTCTCCTTTTTTTTTTGGTTAGATATTTTCTATTTATTAAATCATGCAACATATAATAGTTCTATTTTCCCCAACAGATATATGTCGATTGATATATAACACAGAATTTGCTTTTCCAACAGTAGTTCTAAATACTTGGTGCTCAAAGCCTTTCAAAACCATAACATCAACCGTGTCATCTCTAACATGATGAATTTAATTTGACAAATCAATTATCAAAAGAAAATTAAACACGATTTCGCTAACGAATTTCGAAGATTAACATTGAGATTGTTACTTACATGCTTCTTAAGCAACTATTCAATTTTCATAAACAAATTAAATCAACACATTAAAATTATTTTATCTATTAACTGTTTCCAATCTAACATCTAAACAGCTGAATTAAATCAAACATTATTGGAAGTGCTAACTGGAATTCTTGAAAAGTGATGAGTAGTCTCAAAATTAGTAGAAACAAAATCGTTTTATTAAGGGAAATATATATATAACTGATTTACCTGTAAAATTTTAGAATAATGTTGCAGAAAATAAGAGCACCCTTCAACTATTGAAAGCCGTTGAACATGTTTTAATGCACCATATAATAGTTCCATTCCCATGATTTACATATGCAAAAGGAACAGCTTTAAGATATTTTTAGTGAAAGGAGTGATGAGAATAAAATAAGTACGAATGAGAAAAATGAGCGAGCTAGGGAGAGGAAATGGAAACTATGCAGAGGGCGCTGAACTTGTTCAACGAATTACCAAATGGTAAGTCCATTGGAGGAAGTTGACAATAAAAGAAAGAAGGAAAACATTGGTTATTGAATTTTTTCGAATAACTTATTCAAATATCTAACAGTTCACATTTTATATATATAACCATTTGTATCTTTTTTATATTTCATTTTTTTGTATACACACATTTAAAATTTAGAAAAAAATATTTTCTGTTCCAAAAATAGAGGAGAAAAGAGATTGATGAAAAATGAATAAATTTGTTTAAAGAATATATTATTATCTGTCAATATCATTTTATTTTATTTTATTTTTTTGTGCTTCTTGGTTACATCTCCAATTTTTAATATGTAATATTAGCACATTATTTCAAGTTCATGCTTTTAAGTATTTTGTCAACATGTTCACATATGTAGCAGTTTTATTTTATTTTATTATAATAACATAAATGTTCACATGTGTTTAAATTTCAGGTTCACATAAAAAATATTCTTTAAGTTTATTTTTTCAAAGAAACTCCATAAACTGATTCTTTTGTCATCACAAATATTTAAGGCATTGTTCCCACGAACTCAGAGATGCTAAGTGAAGGCCTAATTAAGATAAAAGAAAAATTTGGTACATTATATATATATATTAAAAATCAATTTTAAGAATCCATAAATGTATGGATAGTGACTTATCATTCCTTAATACTTCTCGAAATTATTCAACCAAAATTTCGGGTGTGTTGTTGTACCTGCACCATAATTACAATTTTGATTCTGCACTAAAATAATTAACTAGCAGCAGAATATATCAGATATATTTGGTGTTTCTTTCTTCCCTTAGATTTTGTTTTCTTGCTCTTTTTCCTTATAACTATAATAAACCGAAACAATATTTTCTATTTATTAAATCATGCAACATAAAATATTTCTATTTTCCGACAGATATATAACTCAATGAATATATAATGGAGACAGAATATCTCCTAAATTAAGCATAATGAATATTGATGGAAATAATAGAGGTATGCATGGACAAGCACAGAGGGAGATATAAGTATATATATATATATATATATGCACACTGATCCATCCATTTTGCTTCTCTGTGACAGCAACTAAGATCTCAGTTCAATTGTCAAAGAAAATTTTAGAATTAATAACAGAATAAAATTTAATGATTCACATGGTACTAAAGGGAGCCAATTTATGTTTCACAAATCCGATTTACATTACATCCATTGAGCTTGAACTTAAGAAGCAATGGTCCCTTTCCTGCCATATCAACATTAGCTACACCATGATCTTCACTTCCACCATTTTTATATGAATCCTCACCTGCTAGCTCAGACTTGGAAAAATTTTGAGAAGGCACCGTTTGTTGATACCCGTCAACCACAGTTTCAGCATAACAAAACTTGTTCATCCTATAGATCTCCTCTAAAGTACAGTGCCGAGCCACAGCTAAAATATCCACCATAGACCTTTTCTTACACCTCCCTTTACGTCTTCTACGTTTATCTTTCACTGCCTTGCATGATGGGAATAGTGGAGTGCTCTTATGAACATGAGTTGAATATGTATCTGTTGGTTGAGATAAATTGGCAGAAACATTGCAGCTATGTTGATTTCCCTCTTCATGTGATGAAGTGATGTGGTTGGTGACTTTGTAATCACACTCATTTTTTATATTTCGTTTGTGATCATCAATGATATGTGGCACTTCAGGTTTGCAAAAATCAGCTTCTTTACTATCATTTCGAGAGTCCATCAAGTTCGAACAACCTTTAAGTGGTTCAGGAAGTGAAGTTTGGCGTCCTAATGGTGGCAACACATCCCTGAGACCATGCTTGAGACACATTTGCAAATACTTCTCATGAAATGGCCAGCTATGAAATATACTTCTGTGACGAGATGCAAGAACATACTGCCTGCAATAAAAATCAAACAATCCAAAATTTTCAATAATATTTTTAAAGAAATAATTATTTGTTTTTGTCAAAAATTGTAAAAAATTTAGTAAAAAGAAGCAAATATATTTTTTCCAAACAAGCCGTTCAAAGATACACTTCCCTCTTCTGTTTATTAACAAGTCAACTTAAGCTAGATTACAAATCCTTTCCAAAATCTAAGACACAGGTGTAATAAAAATAAAGTTCAAAGAAGGAGATATCGAAGACAATGGCAAAAGAAGAATTAAAGAGTTGAACAGAGAATAATTCATCAGCCTAAGTTGTGTTGGGAAGATTACAAATAATCACAAGCTCAAGTTATTGCAAAATATAGAACATGCAATAATGCATAACATTCAAGGGAAATATAAAACCTTAATCATAAATTGAAATGCACAGGTTTATATGTATGGTATCTTTTTCAAGCATGTTGGTACCTTATTGAGAAGGGTTTAACATCAGCTTCAGAACCCGTTTGCTGCTGCAGAGATTGTGAAACCGTAGGTAGGTTTTGTTGCTGAGACATCATTCACCACAAAGATGGCAACTTTGCAAGCGGATCCCAAACTAATCTCTCTAAATTATTATATAACTAAAACTCCTATGACCCCAGTTCTTGCCTGTGAGCGGTAGAACCCTACACAGACAAAAAAAACTCCATAAAATCACCAAGTCTAATACCCTAGAACACAGGAATAACAAAATCAGAGAGTTGCAAGAACGAAATCTGCATGTGGGTACCCGAAAGATGCTCAATCTATCCAAAAAATGTAAAGAAAAGAGATTAAAAAATGAAACTTTAGGTGAGTTGTTGGACGAAACAAACGACAGAGTCAGATAAACCTTGACGCTTCAGAGGAAGAGAAAGGGTCATAGAAGAGATGGGTATTGGGTAGGCTTTGGCTTTGAAGAAAATGGGTGTGGCAAAACGAGAAACACAAGTTCAGTGTTGAAAAGAAAGAGAAGTGGAAGAGAGAGAAAGGAAGCGAAGCTTGAGCCACGCCTGAGAAACGAGGTTGTAGAATGGTCTCTTGGTTGAAAGTGTTGTATTTTTCTCTTTCTTTTATTGATGTTTATGTGAACGTTTCGTTTGGGTTGGCTTTGTTTTTGTTGACTTCATTTAACTATTGCTAATAGTGTAATTAAGCGAGGGTCATTTTTGTTAATTCTAATTGGGTTTCCCTCTCTGCTGCTATCTTTACACAATAGTTTTGGTGGGATGTTAAAGCCACCTTAACCCCCAAAACAGGGCATCCTCGTAAACTCGTTTTGTCCTACACTCCGAATGCACCCATTTCTTATGCCACTAATACAATAAAAATTCGGAAAAAGTGGAGATCTGCAGAAAATGAATTGGGTCATAGATAGTTAAGAAGGTAGAATCAAATTGAGCGAACCGGGAAATTTATATATTATTATTTTATATATAATTTGGCTGTTAAAGTAATTAATTTTATTTCTCTTGATCTGCATATATTTTGTTATCTCTCTCTCTCTCTCTATATATATATATATCTATATATATATATATATATATAGCTCTTTTTATGTTTTGGGAGTATTAATTAATAATTAACTCAGGGCAAAGCAAATTTCACGGTAATGAAAATGCTTAGAGCTTTGGAAATGGCAGATATTTAGCTAGAAATGCCAGAGATTTTCAAAATCTACCACTCTTCGATAAAGACTTTCCTGCAACCTTTGAAAGGTGGCGGAGTTCCGCCCATTCTCAACATTCTCTGCAAGAGAAGGTACAATCCACTGAAATACTACAAGATTTACCTGTTTAAGGAAAACACCCAAGTGAAACCTGCATGTACTATCCTATCTGTGGTGATTTTACTTCCATTTTCGGATGCTGAAGAACACTGAATGAATTCAGTTGCTTTAATATAAAGTAGAATGTAACATATCATTTGGAATTTCCAATGCTTCATTGGTTTCAGATCAATAACTGAATTCTGATATTGCCAAAAACATAGCAGGAAAGAGCAAATTTAGTTTTGTTCAGTTGTGTCAAGATTTGCAACCCATAGTCTAGTTTAGTTTTAACCATGTGTGTCTCCACTATTCTGCAATAAATTAAAGTTAAGCGAAGGACTAGAAATAGGAGATACATGAATTAAATAATATGTTGTGAGCTTTCCTTCTCAGTTATGGATTTCCTGCTTTGTGCACCACGGAGTACAGTTTAGGCTCCATGCACTTCTGATTCATGGCAATGCTTTTTCTTGTTAATTTCTGAGAGATGTTAGTGTTTCAATTGGTGTATAAGGACACATAGGCTATACATGAATAACCGTTTGCATGCATGCGTTGAGGATGTAAAAGTTATTTCCTTTGGTAAATGTTTCCTAGGTTTCATGTGATGTGACAAAACATTGTCCAGGGAGAGAGATGTTGTAAGCATATTCATCACCGTTCGATATACTTCTAGGATATTACTATATTTGTGCTTAGTGTTTAGCGCTTAGCCTTTTTAATTCTTTTTTTTTTTAATGGTGGCAGTGAATTATGAATTTGTGACATCATGTAAATTATCTTCCAATTAATAGCTTTCTTAAGTGCTTAGCTGCATCTATCTAGGAATATATGCACATAATTGAACCTGATGAATCTAAGTTACTCCTCAGCTAATGCCTTTTGATTGAATTAGAAATTTTGTGAATAAGGAATGACCATATAAATAATCTGATGACTGCATGAAGAACATCAATTGATCACAATGCATAGATAAATTGTGATACAGCGAGGATTGGAGTACCAAAACATAAAATGTCAAAGAAACTCCTTTTCTATATACTAACATACATGAATATAATTAATGTAATAGCCACAAAAACATTACACAATTGTTTCCGATAGATAAAGACATTTACTGTGAACCAGATTATGAAAGTCTTCTTTACATTTTGCTTTTTATTTTGTGTGTAATTGCATAGCTAAAATTAAAATCCGATAAAAAAAAAAATCAACACCCAACAACTCAATACAAATTCTCATTGCGACAGGATTTTCGGCTAATGAAATACTGCATGCAATAATAGTCGTTGAAAAGATGCATTCACCAATAATCCAATATATGTATCTCTAATATTAAATTATATATACCAAATTGTTCAAACCAGTATAGACACAACGCACTGAAACGTTTTTCACTAACTGTAAACTCCATTTGGATCCTGCTCATTGCTGCAGCAACAAATAAAAATATAGTGTTTTCCTTCTAAATCAGCTCCTTATCAGTTCAAGTTCAAATCAATTTATATATGTATGTTTATATATACACCAATTGGTTTTTATGTCTGGTCATTCGTAAGAGAAAAGACTATCAAGTGACGCCTATTAATATAAAAGTTGAGGTTTTAATCTGGAAATGGAGAAGTAATTAAAAAAAAATAACAAGATATTTTATTTTATTTTTTCAAGAATATATCATACATATGATCATAGTAGTCCATGTCATGTCCTTGTTCACTATTTGCATTTTTTTCCCTCTATCCTACCACCCCTTCATTGTTGTGCAATTTACTATCAAAACTATATTTAGTGATTTCTTAGTTTGTGTAGGTATTGGTATTTGAGCATTCTTTCTCGCTCACTCTCTCACACACAGTTAAAGTAGCTTTTGAAAGGTCTTTCTGAAAGTTATAAATAATAATAATTCACTCCCAGTTGGGCATAGAAGTCACTTGGAAATACTGTCGATACAATAATCATGTGAGTGAAAAAGGAAGAGGTTATAATATCTTTGCACATAAATGTGTTTCCAGAGGCACAAAGCATGAACAAAAATTAACAGTGTTTTGTAGTTATGGATAAATCCTGTCTTAAGTGTCAAATTAATGCAGAGTCTTCTTGTCGACTGTCATGTTTCTTTGAAGTTCAAAGGCTTCAGCACCTAAGGAATTTTGGCCAAATTTGGGTTGGGCCATGTGAATTTGTTTCTTAAATTAAATTAAAATAACAAGTTTCAGCCAAAGCAAAATATTTTATCTATACCTGTGAATATATATGATTTTCTATGTCTGCATGCGAGTTTCTAGTGAATTTAAGAAAACCAGAAAGATCGAGATGGTTAGCAGCAAAGTATAAAATTAGAGAAAAACAGTGCTAGAATGAAGGGTAGTTTGCAAAGAGAAAAATATTATACATACAGGAATAAGCTAATGATTAGAACTGTAAATTTATATCAAATGGAGGCAGAAATAAAGATATTAGGGCAATAGATGTGTTATTCTTACTTTTCAATAGAAGTAACGTAGGTTTTAAATAAGTGATTTATTTATATATGAGGTGTACTAAAAATATTCAAGCCAAGATAAAGTGCTGCTCATTAAGTAACATTGTGTAAAATAAAATAATATTAAGCTTTTAAGATATGCAATGCTATAATAAATACCCCAAGCTGAAGCTTCTTTAATAGCTTATATCAATTCCATGTCATCGTTAAAGTAGGCCTAAAGCATAACAAAGCATCTCATGAAATTAAGGTAGGGTAAATTATCCACACGTGGCTCCTTTCACTTTGCTTAATCAAAGATACTTTCATAAGATTCTTCATAAGCTAGGTTCCAAGTTGTCTGTATGCTGGGCCTGCCACGTTTCCTTCATCTTCCAACATAAGATTTCTTGTTGGGAACGTCAAACTGAGATGCTCATCAGCGTTTGTCTGAAATTAATTATGTAAAATAATGTCCATGATGCTTCACTTGTAAGGACAAATAATATATGGTTAAAATATACCTTTAATTTGGATTTCATTTTATGAGTGAATTATAATCATGATCATCTGGTAATTCGTAAAGGATTACATTGTGACACCATCATGTTTTGTTCAAGTATTTTAACAAATATTATTAAATTGACCTTGATTTGTTGTAAAATTTGATACTGATACGATCATGGTAGGGATTAAGATTTGAGAATTGGATGAAACAACATAAAACAGCTAACCCTATCTTTTGTCCAATCCCTCCTTCTTTGGTCTATATATTCATCATAAGTCGGCAGTTTTTTTGGATAATGTGTATTGTTTAGGTGCACAATTCATCTTTCTTGTATGGAGAATGAGGATAAGCTCTTCCATGATGCCCATGAAAATAATGGAAAATCAAACCATTTTACTTGGGAAGCGAACATAAAGAAAAGAGAAATAACACTTCTAAAAATGTCATTTATTCTTTAATCGATCAGTAAAGTTTTTTAAAAGGATATAGTTAATCAATGATGTAACGGGAGTGATAAAAAAATGAATGATAAAAAAATTATTAATATTAAATATTTAAGTCAAATTACAAGTCTATACTTGTTTAAAATTTGTTTATAACAATAATATTTTTTTTATATTTAAAATAAATTATGGTTTTGGCTTATTATCATTTTTACACTTGTCTATATATTTTTTAAACAAAGTAATAATAAAAATATCATGTGAAACCTATAGTGTAAGATATTTAAAAATATATATTAATTATTGTATATTCTTAGTTATTTGTACTATATTATTAATAATATTAAATAATTTTTTATTAATTTTAAGTATATATTTAAGAAAAATTATATATTAAAACTTACTTAAAGAATTATTGTTTGTTTATTTTGTACTTAAAAACATATAAATAAATAAAAAAATACAAAATGTCATATATTTGCAAGTACTGAACCACCGACAAAGTGCAAACACAATGTTCTTTAATAAATTATATTAATACAGAAAGATATTAGGGTTACCATCTTTGAATTTTTATGGATTGATATTATTATTTATTTTAAATTATATCGACAATAAATATTTTTTATTTTACAAACAAATTGATTTAAAAGAGTTTTTATCTTAAGAAATGACATGACATGCTTGTTGACTGTTGGACGAGTAAGCAATTCTTATAACTTCAATTCATCCAACAAATCCCACAATAAACTATCAAAATCTTAAATTTTTTATCTAGCTAGTTTATAATTACTCTATTATATATATTTTTCTTAATTAAGCTGTAATATTTTTAAATGTTTTGAATTATATTTTCTCTTTTTTTACCAATAAAGTATATTTTGTATTTGAACGAGTAGTAATTTTTTCGGTCAAAATGTGTAAGGGGCATTGGAACAAAATCCTTGGCTTCATTGCTATATTTATTGAAATCCTTTTAATGTGTTTAATCATATCATAATAATTTTTAACACTATAGTTTTTAATAAAAATTTATTATTTATTAAATTTTATTATTTTTCTAAAAACACATAGTAAAAAATTTGATTCAACAAATGTAATATCACATCTTTATTTTTGTTAGTTTTTCATTGACAAACTTTATTTGATTAACATGGATATTACAAATATTTATTGTAAAATAAGGTACACTTTTTATTATTACAATGTTTTTTTCTGTGAAATCACATAACACAGTTATAAAAATAAATAAATAAAGTAAAAACAAATATAATTAATAAACAATATAATTCGACATGTAAAATGTATTAAATTAATAAACACATGGACCATTGACACTGTAAAATGTCTATACACACTCTTTTCTCTTTTATATTTTATTTAATTTTTTAATTTTACTTTTATTCAAGTTTTCCTTTGTAAAAAGGTGATATTTTTTCACATTTTGATATAACTATTAAAAAAAATGCCTCTATTTTATATACTTTTTTAAAACTTTACGTACATTGCATGAACAAAGTTAATTTAAATGATTTTAATTTTACTAAAAAACTTGAATAAGGATTAATTTGGAAAATAGAATAAAAAATGTAAAAGCAAAAATTATATAGGTATATGTGGAAGTGCCTACAGTGTCAACCATAATCTAAATACGATTTTTTTAATCTGAAAAATATTATATAGGATAAAAAGTTTATATATATAATATTAAAAATACAGAATTTAATACATTGATAATTGTGTAGGCCACGTGTCCGAAGAGAACAAAGGAACCCTTAGTCGTGTTCATGTCTTGTTAACAGATGTTGTAATGTTTTGTGTGTCAGTGAATGCGATTGGTGGATTCAGATTCAACTCTCGCGTTCGTATTCGCATTCCCAAATCCTCTCTGTCAGCGATGGCCACTAACTCAGTCCGAGTTGCTGCGGCTCAGATGACATCCATCAGTGACCTCGATGCTAATTTCGCCACTTGCTCTCGTCTTGTTAAAGTTTTCTTCTTTCATCCTAAATCTCATATAGGTTCCCTTCATTTTTCACAATTTGTGCCATCTTCTATGTGTTCCCTTTTGATAATTGCTTTGGGTCTATTTTGCCTCCATAGGAAGCAGCATCAGCTGGAGCCAAATTGCTTTGCTTTCCTGAAGCTTTCTCTTATGTGGGTACCAAGGATGGAGACAGTGTTAGTGTTGCACAACCCTTGGATGGACCAATTATGAACCAATATTGCTCTTTGGCCAGGTGTTTATGCAATGAAATGAGTTCCTTTTCCTTTTCTTGTTCACTCATCCTTTATCCCCTTAGATTGTGTTTTTCTAATTTCTATATGACATGCTTGTAGCTGTTGTGTGGTTTGAAACTCGTTAAAAGAACTGGTAAACTTGTATACAACTTAGAATTCATAAGTAATAATGTTAAAATAAACGTGAATTTATGGCCGTTGAGTGTGTAAACATATCTAGTCAAACGTGAAACCAAGCACGGACTCAAACATGAATCCAAACATGCATGTTGTCTTTATCTTAAAGATTTCACTTGGTTCATTATATTGATTTTGCATTTTGTGCAAAATGCCAATAAAAATGCTTTAATCATGTTCATGTCACTAATTCACATCTTCTGATGCCCTGCAGAGAGTTCAGCATTTGGTTGTCACTTGGAGGCTTCCAAGAAAAAGGATCTGATCCTGAACACTTGCGGAATACTCATGTTGTAGTAGATAACACTGGCAAAATTAGAAGCTCATATAGAAAGATACACCTGTAAGATTAGTAACTTATAGTCGAACTGATTTTTTTACCATCCAGTATTGTTTTGGTGCAGTTTCCGTAACCTACTTTTCTTTCTATGATCATACTGCTTTGAATGTATCCCCTGCCTATTGTTGCAAGTTTGTAATACAAACACTAGTACATGGCGTGGGCATGAGAGATAAAATGATGCGAAAACCAAGACAGTGGGAACAACAAATTAGAGAATAGGGAGGAGCACAGAAAGAGGGAAATTTTGATGAGATAAAAATGTGATTACAAGGGGAAAGTAGAAGAGAAACAGAACGAAAATCATACTAACAGTATCAACTGATCAAAGCTGAAAACTAGAATACAAAATACTCGTTAATATATAAACCCAACTGCTTTGATTCTCACTTAAATAAAAGCACTAAAATGACGCCCAACTAATTCTATTTTAACTAGAAACCTTAAGTTAATCAACTATAGTGACAATAGTTCCCTAATTACTATAAATTTAAAATTATCAACTTCAACAATCCTAACAACTATTAATAATGTAAATACTCCTATATGGCTATATTATAGACATCATTTAGTAGAAACCCTATTGACTTGATCGTTTATCAACTCCTAGATATAACTTACATGGTATGGTCCTCCTGAATCGAGAAATTCACTGCTTTCTGTTTGTATTAGTATAGTTGCATAAACAACTGATACTTGATTTTATTTAAAGGTTTGATGTAGATGTTCCTGGTGGAAGGGTATATAAAGAAAGTAGTTTTACAGAATCAGGTAGGATATTTACTCTTTATGTAGTGTTAGGACTAGATGAGCCTTTGTAAAGAGTCTTCCTTGTAACTTTTTCTTTCTAGAAAATTTGAGGATCATTGAAATTTTCACATGTCTGCATCCACCTAGAAACAACAACAACATAAGTGAAAGAATAAAGAAGATAATATTTCCTATGATTTACTTTTCCTTCCATTGTATGTCTTATATTGTCCTTAATATCCTTTTAATGAAATTGTAGAGCTGTAAATGTTCCCTTTCTTTTGTGCAAAAGGGGGAGGGTAGTGCTTGGTAGAGAAGATAAGCACCCTTAGATATGATATCATGATATGAACTGTGAAGCTTGATGTTTTCAGGCAAGGATATTGTTGCAATAGACAGTCCTATCGGACGTTTGGGACTGAGTGTTTGCTATGATTTGAGATTTCCAGAAATGTATCAGTCATTACGTTTCCAACATGGAGCACAGGTAATATAATAAGTGGAAATCTTACTTTCATGCTTAAAACAGGTTGTCTAGTATCTAAAATTTTCTTATGTTTTGCCATCTTCCAGGTACTGTTAGTGCCTGCAGCATTCACTACAGTAACTGGTGAAGCACACTGGGAGATTCTTCTTCGTGCTCGTGCAATTGAGAATCAATGCTATGTAAGAATTCGTTTGTGCATTTTAATACTCCCCCCATCTCCCATGCTTCCATCGTTCCTAGCTGATGTGTATTTAAAGTAAAATCATTGGACACATTAAATTCTTCACAAACTCATCTTGTGTATTCTTGCTAATTAATTATAATTTTCAGAATTATGGTTCTTTTCCGTTTTTATGTATTTGAAATGATTAGAACAAGTTATTCAGAAAGCTCTCTGAGGAAATGTATTTCAAGTTTCAACCTGTTTCTTCTTTGCCACTTACTTTTAGGAATGGTTTGATGAATGAATCATCAGGTCATTGCTGCTGCACAAGCTGGCAAACATAACAATAAAAGAGAAAGCTATGGGGATACATTAATTATAGATCCGTGGGGAACAATTGTTGGTCGATTACCAGGTAAGAAACTTGATAATAGTTTCTCATGCTCGTTGAGTTAATCATTGAAATTGGAAGTTCACTAACCATAAATCATTCCATTTCTTTCTTAGTTTTCTTTCTTCTTTCTTGTTGCTTCTGTAGTCAAAGAGTCCTTTCTCTACTTTAAAGGATTTATGCCTAACTGTTCTCTGCGAAACTTATAACTACTGCAAACATTTGAGAAAATATGAGAGAAAAAAAAGGGAACTTTCGTAATTACCCGAATAATGTTTGTGATTTATGCATCTGACGTTTTGTTGATAATCAATCTTTCTTGTGTTAAAGTTTAAACCACAGTTTACTGGTTTTCATGGTTGGTTTTATTTGTCCTTTTCAGATCGTTTGTCTACAGGCATTGCAGTAGCTGATATTGATTTATCATTGGTTGATTCAGTTAGAGAGAAGATGCCAATTGCCAAGGTAAAGTTTGTAGCATGTATCTACATCGATGGGACTTGTACATTAAATCAGGGATATTAGTCGGGTTAAACATGTTTTAATTTCTTTTTATGCATGCATGGGTTCTGGTCAGCAATGCTAACAATGCATTTTTTTAACTCTCTTTAATATTGGATAAATTTCATGAGTCTCACTAAAAAATCATTGTCTGTTTTTGGTGAACACCAAAGTAAAATTCACATAACAATAAACAATGTCAAAGTGTTGAAAAAATGTGGTTAGCACTTTTTTTCTATTGCCTGATGCATGCATTTGTTCCTTTGGTTTCAGCAAAGAAAGCCAATTGACTTCTGGAAAGCAGCGTCTCTATAGTTCTGATTTGGACCAATCAAGCAAAGGTAGTTTATCTAAATATGGAATTTCTATGTACTAGAAGAAACATATGGGACTTCAATATTAGATTACCCCTAAGGATGGAATATACAATTCCTAATTTCTGTCTTCATAGTAATAATAAATAGTAAGTAGCGTCTTTTTTCTGTGCTTGGAAATTTATAAATGTATAGTTTAAAAATAAACGGAGCAAAATTTAACTTACAACATGTGGTTTGTGGGAGTTCAGTTGTGAGATTTTTTTAAACAATTTGCTTAAATTTTTGGGATTAAGATCCACAGTTGTTTAAGATGCAATTTCGAATCTCAGTATATCAGTAATGAAACTTATTCAAATAAGAATTAATCAATATTTTACATTAGAATAAAATTATTTTCACGGTCAAGAAGATATTCTGCTTTTTTATAAACTCCAGCGTATCCGTTTGGAATTTTTTTCTAATGGTAGCCTCCAGTTGTGAGTAGTGATTTTTTATTTTTTTATTTTTTGCATTCTCTTTCTCCTTAAATACACTGTTCCTTTTTTGGTCTTTCAAAATATATTAATTACTCAAATTTTTGGAAGGATGATAGTATGTTTGGTTTAAGAAAGTAAATGAAAAAAAAATTTAAAATAGAAAGAGATAAGGAACCGAAGATAATTTACCTTTTTAAACCTTAATTTCACAATTATATAATTCTTTAAATTTTATCCAATATTCATTAATTTTATTTATTTTTTACTTTTGACCTGTTAGAATCATTTTATGTTTCAATTTTGCTATAAATCTTCTAAAATATTTGCAGTTTTAAAAATAGGGAGATTTAATCAGTTTAAACAAATTTGGGACAAAAATTGCACACGACCCAAACTCGAGAAACCAAAAGATATTAATTCTTGTTACTTAAAGTGTAAAATAAAATTTAAGGACAACAAAATTTTAAATAATAATTACCTTCTGCTTAGAGTCACTACTCACTTACCAGGTTGCCTCCTCAATCCTTATGAATGCTGATTGTTTCAACCCTGGTTTGGTTAATTGCTGGAACTGCTATTTCTCATTGCCATGGGGACACGAGCTTGTAGAGGAAACAATCTATTTCGTTTGTGCACAATTAATAACAGTTTTTTTTAGCCATAAAGACATTCACCGAAGAAGCCAGCCACGGTACTGTTAAGGTTGTAGAATAGCTCTAGGAATTTGATTGAACTCGAAGAACTACGAAAGTAAAGGGAGAAGTAACCCATATCATATATCAACTTGGTTCAGGTGGAAGACAAAAACTTAGATTCCTCGAGGGAGGGGAAAACGGATCTTTGTATTCTTTAACTTCTCTGTCCGATCTTACACTTTCATATAATATATATAAAGAAAAATGATGTGAAACAAATTAAAAGAAACGGGGGGAAGAAAAAGAGACTCATTCACAGATGTAAGTGACTATGAACAAAGAAATTGCCTACGAGAAAACAAGCTATTATAGTAATCAACTACGCCAAAAATTCATGCATAGAATCGGAGCTTCCAAGGAGATCAAAGGAATTTTCGCCAAGGGCGTCTCTCAAGATATCTATTTGACCTTCCTTCTCAAGTATATGTACATCAAGTGTCTCTATCTTCGTCTTCAATACATTGACCTCAGCGTTCAACAGCATATTCTGCTCCTTAAATTGCTTCACTTGCTTCCCCATGATATCTCTCTCTTCTAACACTCGGGATAAGTTTCCCTTCGTGCTACTTAATTCCCTGTTAGCCTCTTGTAGATCGCTTTGAAGGCAGTTTATACTGTTATCTTTCTTCAACATCTGTTGCAAAAAAGCAAGAAAATCTAGGTATTAAAAAAGCTACCGAAGCTGTTTACCCACAAGATAGCTAATAACATGTCATTAGGAAAAATGCTAACAAAATACTGTTTTGAACACACCACGTACTCTTTATAATTGATCATTTTTTCAAAATTATTTTAAACTTTTAAAAAAACTTCTTAAAGATAAGTTTAAGCATCCAAATATAATAAGTTTTTAATGGAAAACAAAATATTTATTACATTAAAGAAATAAAAGTATAACATTTTCTTTCTCAATAAAAATCTACTACTATAAGATGTTTAAGGTTAATGTTTTCTTTCAAAAAATTAATCAATTTAGTGTGTTAAAAAGTATGCTTTTAGTATTCCTCATACCATAAATAAACATCCATCGGATGAATTTAATTAAGAATTTTCGATAATGGTGACTGACCTGAAGTTCAAGGTCCTTTAACTTGTGGGTTGAACTTGAAAGATTGTCTAACGCATTTTGTACCTCAGATCTAAGAATGTCATTTCCTCTTACTGCTGTAGCAAGTTCAGCTTGCATATGCTCAACTTGGAGCTCTTTAGAGTACAGCTTCTCTCTTAATAAACTTGTTACCAGACATTCTGCTTTAAGTTCAGTTCTTATAATATCCTAGACAAGCAAAGAAACATGATCCATATGCTAAGAATTTCAATAAACAAATTGTGATGTAAAATAAGATTTAAAATAAATAAACACAAAGATAATAGTGGAATCGTGGATTTAAAATATGTATTTCTCTATAACTACCACTAAAGTAAAAATTCCTGAAGAAACTCACCTCAGACGAAAGATCATTCAGTTTAGCTAATTTATCAACATCTATACACTCTGATTGAAATTTAGAAGTCAATGGATTGGACTTTTCTTTCAACAAAGAAGACATCATCTGCAAACTCCTTGTTAAACCCTCAGTGCCATTTTTGAGTCCCTGAATTTTAGTTTCAGATTCAACAATGAATTGCCCATCCAAACCACTTCCAATCACTTCTAGATCCAGGTGGACATTTCGGCGAAGATGGCCTCCTTTCCCTTTGACTAGTTCCAGTAACTTTGAACATAAGTATGTACTTTCATTTAGCATTGTTAGGCCCTGATTCTGGAGGCAGTAGATGCGGGCCCACAGTTCTTTATCTAGTCGATAAGTAGCAGCAACACATTCTTTGCCATCACCTTTTAATCGGTTCAAAAGTATTATATTCTCATGGCGAAGAGAATCTGCCTCAAACCTGCTAGACTCCAACTCCCTTCTCAAGGTCAATTCTACTTCTGTTAACCTCATTTGCTCCATTTGCATTTTTGCAATGTGCTTATCGACACTCTCCATAGGCTGGTTCTTGTGAAGGTTGTCACTAAACCCATCTTGTAATCCTGTTATTGTCTTCTCTTGCTCACTGCAAGTTCTTAATAATCTTGCTAGGGATTTATGTAACTCTTTGCACTCCGTCTCCTTCTCTTCAAAATTTCTCAGGATGCAGTCCCTATTTTCTTCTGCTAGCTTACATTTCTCTTGTAGTTCTAAGAGATTTTGCTGCAAATCCATAATCTCCTGTTTCATTTTCTCTGTCATATCAGTCAATCCCTTCAGCTGTTGGTCGGAGTATGCCATCAGACTCTTGCTTTCCATTTCCCTCTCACTAAAAGAGGAGACTTCCCTTTGAAGTGATACATTCTGCTCTGCAAGCTCTCTAACTCGTTCACGAAGCCTTTGCTCTTCTAACTGGTACTTCTCAAGTTTAAATGACCAGTCACTTGACCTCCTGTCCAATTCCTTTTCCAATGCTGACTGCATCTCATTCTTTTCTTTTTCTAGTCTTCGAGTCCGAAACTCCAGTTCTGTCTTTACGCATCTAAGTTCTTCCTTGGCAGATTTTCTGTCAGCAATTCGAGACCTTAGATGGGTAGATACTTCCAGAGCCAAGCTTGTTTTCTCCTCTAGTAGATTTCTGATTGTCTGAACCAGTGATGGCAGATCATAACCACTATCAGGGAAAAAGTTTTCTCGTTCCAATTTCTTTGAAAATAGAATAACCCTCTCCTCAGCCTCCTTTGATCTTCTCATTAACTCTGCATCCTCTTCAGGTTCATCACAGCTTACACCCTCGCAATCACCATCCATGCCATGATAGCCATTTGTCATTCTGCAGGATTCATCCAACAAATCAACTTTTGGCAGAGCATCGTCAAAATCAGAGTCATAGTGTCCATTCACAGATCTAGCATAGATATCTTCAATTGTGATTGGATTATCAAAATTAAAATCCTTTGAACTTGTTTTAGCAAGATCACAAGACTGAGAAAGTCTCTCAATGACATTCTTTGCAAGACTCCTTGGAGATTCTTGTCCAGGCACATCTTCCGTCCAATCTCGGGATGACAAACGAAGACGAGTAACTTTTGGTTCTCTAAATGAATGAGCCCTGGGTTTGTCTTTGACTCCATGAGTGGGTGAATTAGGTGCAGTATGCTGAACTTTTGGAGGAAGCTTCATACCATAATTTCCATGTCTAGTACTATTTCTTTGGGAATTGTTCCTGGCTCTACTTTCCTCAGGCTGCTGCTCACCATCAATATAACGATCCACAATCTTACTTGAAATGTTGCTAGAACAAGTGGAAGAGTTCCCAGATGATTCATGATGAGATCTTGAGGAGCTAGTAGACCCTGGTCTCTCGTATCTGTGCGAATTTTGGACGGAAGATGCTGCAAATTGTGTTGGCTTGTCCCGCTTTTGCTTCTCAAAGTTAAGAGCCTGACAACTGATATATACACACAGAAAGTTCTACCAAAATAACCACGTGCAAAATATAACAAAACAACATACAATAAACTTCAGTTCAGTCAAATTATGCTTTAGGTTATCAGGTCTCACCGAGATGAATGCTCAAATTGATGATAGGGATCACTAGCAATGCTACTTGAAGGAGACCTAGTTGGATCTTTGAACTGGTGGGAAGATGACGACAATGACCTGCTCCTTCTAAGGCCAGGACCTCCACAAGAACTCTGGCTATCAAATACTTGCTTTCGAGATTTGGAGAACAAGCCCTTGGATCCCTGGAAATAATCCTGACCCTGGTTATTCATTCCACTGTCTGAAAAATTGTCCCAGGCCATTTGCTTATTTGTTGATTTTGGTGGAGCTGCATTGTTGCTTCCACTGCTAGATGCAGAAGATTTGAAAAAGAATAGTTTCTTCATGCGTTAAACCTTCACACAATTGCTACCACAAGTTCATCAAAATGATCAGGTTCCGAGGATTCAAGAACTCAGGCTGATGATAACTCAAGTGTCACGGAACCTGTCACAGAAAAGCAAAACATAAACAAAACCCAACAAGGTGAAAAACAAGATTACACAAACCAGTGTTGCAAAATAAAACAGAAGAGAGAACAAAAACATTAGAAGTAGCAGAAAAACGTGAGATCAAATTAAATATTAAACAAAGAAATTCAAAATACAGAGGTGACCAGCATCCAGGCCAGTGTGGGGAACGAGAAGACCACATTATCCCAACCGTTATCTGCTGGATCTAAAACCCTGTTTCTTGGACAATGATGATGATAAACATGCTTAGACTATTGATTCATTCCATCAACTGCACTTGCGAAGTCCATGAAACGGGAAAAATAAATTATTACATATTACTGACATCAGAGAAAGGACTAGTGGAGTTGCTGATTTCGTTAAGATCGAAGATTTCATTAAAACTGTAAAGGATCCATTTTTCATTCCCAGACAAGTACCAAAAAATTTACTCGTGTACTCTTTTCGTTGATCAAGAAAACCAAATCACAGAACCCTAGTTTCAAGGACAGCAAGAAAACCCGGAAATCAGGGGACAGGGTTACATTTTGTAGAACGTCTCCGATTCCAATTTTTCCTTTCTTGACTTTCCAAGTAAACAAAAGGAACAAAAGAAAATGGTTTCAGAAAAGCAGCAACGAGAAAACAGATAAAAAGATAAAGAGAGAGTGACTCACAAACAAGCTTTCAAACGGTCAAAAAACCCACCTTAGCACTGCGCTTTGAACCAGAAGAGCAACAAAGCAAAACTCCGGAAACCAAAAATTTAAATTCCAGACCATAGAAAAATAAATAAATAAATAAAACAGAGATTGAGGCTTTAGTAACTGAAATTATTCTCCGTTTGGAAGAAATAATTTAAAAATGGAATTCAAAGGGGGAATTAATGATTTACCTTAAAGAGAGGGATTTGATGATTAATGAAAATGAGAAAAGTGATTATTAGCGAGAAGAAGAAGAAAAAGAAGAAGAGAGCAAAACAATCTCTAACGCTCTGCTACTAGGAGACGAAAAGCGAAGCAGCAAGGTGTGGTACACACACACACACACTATACTAGTTGGGAATTTTACTGAAAAGAAAAGGGTAATATGGTCATGCAACAAAATTTAAAAGATTCATATGCCGCGCGGAAAATGCGGTGCAGGAGCGGGCGTTGTTGGATCAGGCGCAACGTACTGTTCTCTCCACTAAGTAATCATATAATATAATTATCTTATATCATTATTATTTTCTGTCAAATTTGCTGATAATATAGAAAATTGAGAACAAGTAGGAGAGAAAAATAAAAATAAAAATAAAAATAAAAATTGCAGAAATAAAGGTGACAGACACATATTTGTTTGTAGAGTCATGATTGTGGGCTGCAAGATGAATGATTATTCCTCTAAATATTATTAAGATAGCTAAGCCACCAAATTGAAAAGGTGTTGCCATGCATAATGATGCGTCACAAAAGAGAAACACCACTCGCCAAAGAGTCATCAGATGTAATAATAGATTTGTGTTTTATTCTTGCATGAACCTTTGTCTTGTTGGGGCCTAGTTGTTACATTTCTTTTTTAAATTTTAATTCATGATTTATTAATTTAATTGATATCGGATAAGTAACAATAAAACATGTTTTTAATATTATATAATGTATTAAATAATAAATTTATATAGAATTATAAAAATTTACCTATTTATAACTTCAACTTAACATTTAATAATCATATTATATATTTTATATTTTATAATTTAACATGTTATGGGTTGTGTTATACAGTCAGATTAAATTAAAAATATGATTATTAATTAACTTTAAATTTATATTTTATATAACATTTTTACCTGAAATTTGATAACATATTATTTTGAAGATTAAGACGAAATAGAGAGTCAACTCATAACTATTTTATTTTTATGAGTTAATGTTTACAAACATATACAAGAAAAAGAGACAGATTAATTAAATATTTATAAACTTTAATAATAATGTGTATATTTTAAATATTATGTTTTCTAATTTATTTGTTAAGGACTATTATTTTTAAACTACAAATTTTAAAATTTAAGCATTAAAATTATTAATATAATAAAATTATTATTATTTAATAATATTAATAAATTTTCTAACATATGTTTAATGAAACATGTTCAAAAATAATTTTTTTTATAATTTCAACTCAACCACTAAAATAGTAAGTTTTATATATTAAAAAAATAATTCATTATATTTAAGTTATAAAAATTTTTAATCGTGTAAATTCAAATTTTGAAATTAAAATTTATATTTTAACATTAAAAATTAAGACATTTGATGCTATTAATAAATTAAATTATGTGATCCATTATTATTTTAAAAAAAACTGTAACTTGTCGTCTTCTCACGACTCTCTGTTTCCCAAGTCTCTTGGCCTTTCAGTTGGTTGCTCCAATTCCCAAACCCTAACTGTCAAAGCATTATAATCAATTGCAGATTGCAGAAAAATTTTATTCGAAGTAAAGCGGGTGAAATTGGAGTTTTAGGAGAGTAAAAAAATGGCGTACGGTGGTGCAGGTCCCGCAGGTGGTTCCAGTTTGGGATCAGCAATTAGGCAAGTGAAATTGGAGAGAGAAAGTGAACTGAGAATAGAAGTAGGCAACGACGCACCTCTTCGCCTTCGACTCCTTAACGGCACCGCCGAGATTTTTGGCTCCGAGCTTCCCCCTGAAATCTGGCTCAATTTTCCTCCCAGGCTCAAGTTTGCTGTAATTTCTTCTTTATCGTTTCTCACTCACTCTGAATTGATATATTGCATTCTGATGCTTCAATTGAAACCTTGTTGTTCTTGTTAATGAAGCGGTGCTACTGTTGATGTTATTTTAATTACTGCATTGCTGTTGGATTAATTTACATGTGACAGTGAAATAGTGAAAAGCCCCTTTTGCCGGTTATTAAGTGAAATAGAATTTGTTTCAGGTGTTTACTTGGTATGGTGCAACTATTGAAATGGATGGTACTACTGAAACTGACTATACTGCAGACGAGGTAGGTACTAGGTAGAGCAATGTGGGTCTATTACATGTTTTCTTTCTTTCAGACTCATTGTAACGTGGCAAGGCAAAATTATAACAGAAGACCACTTGAGAAATGACTGTTGAGGTGATTGCAACTTTTTTTTGGGTGCAGACACCGATGGTTAGTTATGTAAATGTGCATGCTGTACTTGATGGAAGAAGAAGTCGTGCCAAAGCTTCATCACCGGATGATTCTGAATCTTCTCAGGTAATTGTTTTTTCAGTGCAAATTGGATTTTCACTGCTTAGTTATATTTTGTACTGTCAATGTCTCTCTTTGAACTGCAGAATTGGATTTTCAATTCCTTCATGTGCTATCAATGTGTTTGCTTTTACTTAATTTGCATGGCTTATATAATAAATAATGGATTGCAATATTCCAGCTCTAGATACCAGCATTGTTATTTCTTTCTTGTGAAAACTGTAAAGCTGTAGTATGTGAATTAGCGAGATTTGGTTGGTCAGGGCCCTAGGGTGATTGTCGTAGGACCTACAGATTCTGGAAAGAGTACCTTGTCAAGGATGCTTCTTAGTTGGGCAGCTAAACAAGGTTGGAAGCCTACCTTTGTTGACTTGGATATTGGTCAAGGATCTATAACAATTCCTGGATGCATTGCTGCTACTCCAATTGAAATGCCCATAGATCCCGTGGAAGGCATTCCTCTTGAAATGCCCCTTGTTTACTTTTATGGGCACACAACTCCGAGGTAATTGGTGCTGTAATTTGTCATATTTTCAGTAAAAGATTGACAAAACATCTGAACGTTCATTAATTTGAAGTTTTGAAATCATTGATATAGCACATGAAGGAATTGAAAATCCAATAACCAAATATATTGTGTATTTTTTTTCAGTAATAATGTAGAATTGTACAAAGTGCTTGTCAAGGAGCTCGCAGGAATGCTCGAGAGACAGTTTGTGGGAAATGCTGAATCTCGAGCTGCAGGCATGGTGATAAATACTATGGGATGGATAGAGGGAGTAGGCTATGATGTAATTGGCCTTTGAACTTTATCTTGCTGTTAAACTAATTACTACTCAAGCATGGAACTAAACTCACCACTATTTTTTTTTGTGGTGGTGTTGGGGGGGGGGGGTGTTTATTTTGTTGCAGTTGCTCTTGCATGCAATTCGCACGTTGAAGGCCAATGTTGTTTTGGTTTTGGGTCAGGTAATGTTCCATTTGTGCATCTTTCATAATTCATATTAGTTGTGCATTGAAAGTTAGTTCCAATAAGCCCTAAAATATCACTTGTATTTGGTATTTTAGGTATCAGACTTTCCTTGTACATTGTTGTTGATTCATACCTTCACATTTTTTAATGAAAGATTTTTCATTTCTGGGAGGGATTGAGATGCAAGGAAGATGCTACAGAGCTGGGATGTATACCTTTTTGTTTCTCAGTTTCTTAGGCTTTCCTTTTGAACTCCTTGTAGGAAAAACTATGCAGCATGCTCAAAGAAGTGCTCAAGGGTGAGCCCAAAGTAGACGTTGTGAAACTTCAGAGGTCTGGTGGAGTTGTATCTAGGAATACAAAAGTCCGTCAAAAGGCTAGAAGTTATAGGATAAGGGTAAACCTACTTGTCCACTTTTGGATATTTTATTATTTTCTACGTGTGTTAACCATATCATGATCTTTCGCTCCTTTTTGTTTGTCATTTTAGAGGATTTCTGTTTAAACTATGAAAATGTGTTGTCTGCTGGTTTTATTCTTCTGAGCTTATTTATTTGTGTATGTTGGGTTTTGCTTATTTTGGACAGATAACTACTTATTTTTGTCAGTTTTTTGAGAGAGCTTTTGAAAAATAAGGGATTATTTCTCCAAAAAAATCTCAACCAAACATGCACTTAATTGTTAGTATTTAGTATAGGAGTGTATTGTTACTGTTTTATGGCACAATTCAACTTGCACCACAAATACTGTTGTAAATAGATATGAAAAAAAATGGTTCAATGTTTAGGAACAAAAACTGGTCTTATAAACAATTGTGAATATGAGTGAAGCGAGAAAGTTTAATCTTGCTTTTAAAACTGCTTAAGTAGAGTGATGCAGTGAATGTTTGAACTGTCAACATGAATATCATCAAATGTTTCTTAGTTTCTTAGCTGCTGTATGTATGACAAAGCATGCAGTTACATATTTGTGTGGAATATAAAACTGACATAAGTTCACTTTTATGTTGTGGGCAATCCCTTCTGTTGGATGTTTTTAAGGGTTTTCTTTTTTCTCTCAATCCCCCCTCCTTTATATTCACTTGCAGTATTGTGCCTGTTCAACTGTTTTTTGTCTAATGGAAGTTGCTATCATCTGATATTGATGCAGGAATACTTCTATGGCCTTTCAAATGATCTTTCTCCACATTCTAATATTGCAAACTTCGGTGACTTGCATGTTTATCGAGTTGGGGGAGGGCCACAGGCCCCGCGCTCAGCCCTGCCTGTTGGAGCAGAACCTGCTGCAGATCCAACAAGAGTTGTACCTGTTAATATAAATCGTGATTTGCTCCACTTAGTCCTTGCTGTCTCATTTGCCAAGGAACCTGATGAAATCATCACCAGGTAACTATGATCCTTTTGATGATTAACTTTTGTAATTCAGTTCTGAGACCTATGTCATATTAAGACTTAAATTTTGGATTTTAATGGATAACAACTCCCAAATGCACCCATCCCAAAACTTCAATTTTCTGAATAGCCAAACTTTCATGTGTATGCCCTCCATTATCTAACTTCTTTTTTGCGGGATTTATTGACAGCCTATCCTAGGTTTAAAATAAGAAATTACTTTGAGAATATATATTATGTACCCTTTTTCCCATTTCCTCCAAGTATACTTCTTTACCATCGTGTCACTTTTTTTGGTGCAGCAATGTTGCGGGCTTTATCTATGTAACAGACGTTGACATTCAGAGGTTTGTATCGTTTGATTTTATGATTCACTTCATTGATTATAAACAACGTTTTCACGACACTTGGCTTTTCTGACTT